TTCTAGGCAAATGTTAATGCCTCACGTGGACGCCGTTACCGTTATACGTTGCCGGACTGCCGGCTCGCCACGATATTTGTCCCTTTTAACTTGAACTTTGCCTAGCAAATGAACCCTTACAGGCCAGTTGATAAGGTTCAAGGTGGTCAATCTCTGTAATAATGTCTAAGCTAGCGAATATTTGAGGTCAACAGATTCCTTTCTCATATTCTGCGACTCGTTCTAACTATAACATCCCGATCGACGACCAAGTATAACCGCTGACCGAGTATAGTATAGCACAAGCAAGCAATAAGAATTTATCGTATCATGGGGATCTAAGCTTACCCTACTTTAGGTTTAGGGTTCGTTATTTAACCAACCTAGGATAGTGATTAATACAAAACTAACTAACATATACTAAACACTAATTCTAGCTATTTACAAGGTTTGGGAGCTCTCTTGGGTTAAATCTCCCTATTTCCGACCTTTTGATTGATGTTGAGTACCATTCTAGCTAGATCGACCCACTATCCTACCATTAGGAGGTGAACTCCCTCACGACGGACCCGGAACAGTGAAGTGATGGATGTGTAGGAGCTCTATTCAACCTCTGGCACCCCTATATTGTAGGAGATTGATCCAATCGACTCCCTCGAGGATTACCCGGACGATATGGAGCGATGAGTTGTTTCCCTCCTAGGTCAAAAGCTCGATTGACTCAATTACTCTACCGTTAGGAGATGGACTCCCTCGGGAATGATCCGGAACGACGAATCGATGAATGTGATAGGCTCTATTCAACCTAGGGCAACCCTATATCGTAGGAGATTGATGGAACCGAATCCCTCGGGGATTACCCGGACGATATAGGGTGAGGAGTGACTCGAAGACGCCAATAATGGGCTCTAAGGGGATTTTCTCCCTCCTAGGTCAAAAGCTCAATACATGAAAATGGAAACCCAACTCATGTCATTCATGAAAACATCCATCAATTAAGTAGAATCATCAATCAAACATGGAATGTGTCACATACATCAACATTAAACCCAAATCTAGACCTAGGGTTTTTAAACCAAGAGAAGAGGGTGAGTTTCTAGAGAGAGAAGAGATAAATTACAAATTGGAGTCCAAGATCGTCTTCCTCTAGGCTTGAATCCTTATCTTCAAAATCAATCCAAGCCTCCATTTAAGCTCCAAGATCACTCAAGCACTCTCTCTCCCACACTAGAACTCCTCTTTGGTGTTTTGGGTTGAAACCCTAGAGAGATAATCGAATCCCTCTCCAAAAACCAGCTCTCCCTTTTCTTCCTTCTGCTACTGCCTTTTATACCCAAATCGAGGTTGTTCACGGTCTGAGTTCACGGTCATGAACTAAAAGCCTGGACCGTGAACTCGAACCAATTCACGCCGTTTGACTACAACACTTCATGGTCTGGAGCTGAAGTTCACGATCTTACGACCATGATCTGACTTGGCGCCAGTAACTTGTAGAAACGCTCTGGAACCAACGCACTTTGGACATTTTTTCACTTTTTGGCGCTTTTCGACCTCCAATCGACCCGAAACTCGTCCTCGACCTTCCCACACATACTAGGACCTAAAATATAACAAAACAAACTCAACATAGCGTAAAATAGGTCGAGGGACAGTGATCTACTAAGCAAAACAGACAAGAAATGAGGGGTAAAATGTGTGCATTTGGACTCGAATCAACACACGTCAACAGTGGTACTCGTTAATCTTTAGAAGCTCCTTAGAGAGGTCTTGAAGCGTCTGAATTCCAAAATAAAATAGCAACAAAGACCAGCCGACGAAGATGATGTCAAATCGGAGAAGGCGGTATATGACGTCACGAGTGATGACAATGGGCGAGTGAGGCAGGGAAGGGAGGAGGATATGGGAATGGGAGGGGACTATATTAGCCAACGTGGGCTCATGGACTTCATTATCAAATCCAAAAATCTCGTTGTTTGGGCAGGATCATGTCACTGAGGAGATCGAGTCTATGAAGGAGGTCGTTGAGTTGCTGGCTGGACCAATCCAGTAACCACTACAAAAAAGACTGTCATTACTCACCAAAATTAACGACGATAGCTAAACTTTGTCGCTAACAATGACTTTTAACGACAAAATTTTATAGTCGTCAGTTTTATTGTCAACTAATTGTGTATTTGTGACATAGGCTAACCTCGTCGGTAAAAATGAAAATCCTCGTCACTAATCTCATTATTTAAAGGAAAATTTTGACGCCATCATTTTTCTAACGAATCAAATATTTTTGTCACTATTATTCATCAAATAGCATTATATTTGTGACCAAATAAATACTACGTCGATAGAGAGAAAAGTTTTTATCACTAACTCTATCTTTTTAGAACTGAGTCAAAAATTGGTGTCATCATTATTTGTGATGACTGAAATATATGTAGTCAATAATATGTAGTCCATAATTTGTTTATTTGACATCAAATTTGCCCCTCAACTATATTTCGGTTACCAAACATGACATTTCGTTGTCATCTCCGTCAAAAATTCGGCAACCATTGGTTGAACCAGAGTTGGGCAGTCTGACCTCACTAAAATAGGATGGGGAATGTCAAAATTACCCCTCCCAAGAGTAGTAATAGAAACCCTTATTCAGCCCCGACCTACGATGTTTCTTCATACTGGCGTTGCCCCAACTTTCCCCAAACGACGCCCGCCTTGCCTCGTTGTCGAATGCTGGATCTCCTCTCACGATGATTCTCCCCTCTTTTTTTCTTTATTGATTGTTCAGACTCAAATGCCATTACCAAATTCACCGTTCAGATAAAATAGAAGAAATTCACATGTTCCTTCGTCTTCTTCTTCCTTCGCCTCTGATCTAATCCCTTCCGTATCCCTCCATCATAAAAATGCTCATGCTCAATGTTGCCATTCACACCACCACCGCTGTTGTTATTGTTGTTTGCATGGTTAATTGCACAACATACCATATAAGTATTGCTTTCTTGCATACTTATCACTTAATTTTGTTAAGTTGCAACTAAACTATGTAACTCAATTTTTAGTTGCATCGTTACATTTTCCATCCCTAAATTTAATATTGGGTACCAAATTGTAGTTTTCATTCCACATGGGCGTTCCAGCTCAGCCTCTAATTGTTGAGTCAGATAGTAAACTACTAAATCCATATGCGCCCTCTTTTCATTCCCCTTCTCTACTATTTTCCTCTCACATTGCTCTGCTTTCTTTTCCTAGTCCTTCATTTGATAACATGACTCAATCATCTTGGTCCACCGACTAATTAATTTTCATATCTATGAATTGGAATTTCAACTCTTCTCCGGAGACCTCCGCGACGCAACTTCCCAGGAACAAGCTCTGTTTCAGCCCACTTTCGATGAGATGAAGCTCGTCGTCATTTCCAAGACATGGCCGATCGGTGCCAACCTGACGGAATGGAGGGTCGCGCCTTCGCTTTCTACCGCGCCCTCGCCGACAAAGGCCGCGTGATTCAGACATATGGAGCCATGGCCAGCGAAGACAAAGCTTTCGACACTCTCAAACTCGAATTGCTGATGTCGACTACAAAAGGTACACTTCCCCAAATCCTAAGTAAAGGCATGCTATGTAAGTCCCCATCCTCTGTTTTTCTCCCTCTTACTCTTTTCTAGGCATAAAGACAACTTTTGGGTTTTTGGTTGAATTGCATGTTGGATCTAAGAATTAGGGAACTATTCAAGCTTATGTTTACCTCTTATTAATCCCTTGTTTTAAATATCTCCAAGCTTCTGGTTCTCTCTTCATATTCTGAATTTCTTTACTAATTGTGTTACTATAAATTGTTATGCTTTGTTTCTTGCTTCATTTTTTCTCTTTATTTTTCTTTGTCGAACCGGGCAAGGGGAGCTGAAGGTCGTTGGTAGGGTCGGAGTTGGGATTGACAAGGGGATCTCGATCAGTGCTACTCAAGAAGTCGTTCAGCGACAGCCGACGGTGAAGCAAGCATTGAAACACCTGGATTTCAAAGGAAACACGTGGATTTTTTGTGGTTCACTATAGTCTATAGGATGAGCTCAAATGCTTACATGGTGCGAAAAAGTACAATTTGGTACCCACAATTAAATTTTGAAACAGAAAATATAACAATGCAACTAAAAACCATCTTTTATAATTTAGTTGCAACTAAAAAAATTTAAGTAATCAGTGTGCAACAAAAGCGATACTTATATGATATGAGGTGCAATTAACCCTTGTTTGCATCACTGCCCTTATCCAGTTATCCTTTCCTTCCACCACCACCAAAACCAAACCCACCGGCCATAAGACCGTCAACTCCATTGAAACCGCCTGACGCCTCCCGAATCCACCAAATCGAGCGCCTCCTCATAAGCTCTTATTCTCGGGGAAGGGGAGTTGATTGACGAAAACCCTACATCAACTCTCTTTCTCCGTTGTCCAATTTCAACCTTATAAATCCGTCGGCTGGATTCTTGGAGCAGATGGTCAATAGATCTGTACCTCTTCTAAAGAAACTCCTCTCGCCGAAAGGTCACCTACATGCCCCGTCCTAGAGACGGTGCTCCACAGGCTGTCACCTCGAATCCCAGCGACGAAATTGGTCCCCTCGTCACCGGCGCCGTTGATTGACGGAAGGGGAGAAAGGACGGAGGGAGATCGATCGGATACTGCCAACAAATGACCCGTCGCAGATTAGGGTTCTTGAAATTGATTTGGGGGAAATTTCTGGGGTATAATTGCGACACAAGCAGGGTATTCGAGTGGGAGAGAAAGGCGACGGGGTTCTGTCGGACATGGAGAGCTGCATGTTGATGAAGAAGCATCCAGGCGACGACAAAACAAAATGGTGGTGGAGATGGATGTATGAAGTGAAGTTGCGACCGCTCCCATTAGTTGTTTTGATTTTGGAATTTGTTTTATTTTAAATATTAAATAATTTGATTAAAAGTAATAAATACTTATTATGTGATATAGTTAAATTCTTAAATTCTTGCCACATCATCAAAATCCTTCCACATCAATAATAAATTTATAATAAATTTGTTATTAAATAAATTTGACTATTATTTTGTTTAAAATAAAATGTTTGGCTATTAAATTGTATTTAAAAAAAAAACTCAAAATCAATATCATAAGAGAAAAGGAAAAGAAAGAAAGAAAGAAAAATGGGAGCATTTTGCTCTGAGCTTTCCCTTCTCTCTCTTCTGCTTCTTCTTCCTCCTCCTCTCATCTTCTGCTTCCCCTGAGGCTGAAACCCTTCCTCCCCCGCCCCTCTCTCCTTCTTCTTCCAAGTGGGGGTTCTCCTCCTTTTCAACTCCCATTCCCCTAATCCTTCTCAGCTGCGGATGGAAAATGAAGCTTCTGTTCTTCTCCCAGTTCCCTAAGCTTCCGTGGTTTCTTTTCTAGTGGTCATGTGGTCTGCTGTGGGCGAATCATCTTCTGAGCTCTGAGCTCCATTTCAGCCGGTGAGTCTTTCTGATTGGGTATCTATATGGGGGGTTTGACTGTTTCACTCTTCGATTCGCATTTTCTCTGTCTGTGAAAGTACGGAGCTTGTTTAAGCGGTGGGGAGCGGTTTCAGATTTGGATTGAGTTGTTCTTTGCTTCTCCTCTTTGGTTTTGGCTTGTCCATCAGCTCATCACAAAATCGTGAATGCTTGAGCTCTCCCAGCTCCATTTTTGTAAATGAAATGAGTAGCATTTTGGAGTATGTTTTAGTTCAAGCTTTTTGATGATGCCAAGGGACAACGAGTGGTGAAATGTTCTGTTTCTAATATCCATTTCTCTGTGTTGAGTGCCGGAAATTAGTGGTTCCTGATTGAGTTGTACTGTTATAAATATTGGTGAAAGTTCAGGGCTAGCTTGATGTGTTGCATTCCGCCTATGGTGAGTGGGAAAGCTTCAAGATTTGGATCTAGGAGTTGAATCATTCCGCTGAAGTTGTGCTATCTACTAGTACTTTCCCCCTATTTCTGGTAAGAAATGGGGTCGTATTCAGGCACTTCTGAGATCGTTGAAGCTCGAGAAGATTTGGATTCTGCACAACATTCTAGCAAAGGAGCTTATCCATATCGATGCCACTCAGGATTAAGTCTAGGTGGCCTCGATCGGAGAAAGCCTCCAGCTTTGAAGCTGGGAGACAAGGATTCACTGGAGGATGAAATAAACCAACTGTTCGATGCCATCAGTCTAAAGAATGTTTCCAAGGGTTTTGGAGTTTCAACTCAACCCAGCACGAGCTCGTCTAGCCCTCTGAATAGAAATGCAATGATGAAGAGGCCTCTTGTTAGCAGTGTGTCTAATTCACCAAGAGTCAGTAGCTCGGAAGGTGTGTCTCTGAAGCAGGCATTGAGGGACCTTTGTCTCTCCAAGGCATCTGAAATGGCTGCCATGAAAAGGGTTTCAAAATCGACTTCTGCTGCTCCCTCCCCTGGAGAACCCTCGGAGGCTGGCAGGATCAAGAACTTGTATAATTCAGTGTTGGTTAAAAGCAAGGTGGGTGAGGTTACTCGAGATATTGGTAAAGGGACAACTATGGTTGAGATATCCTTTGTTCATGAAGAGAGCAGCAGCAAGAAGAAGATGCTGCACCTTGAGATTCCTAAGATGAGGTCACTGAACCCGAGTGCTCAATCGTCTCCTCGGCTACAAGCATTGAAGTCACCAGCTAATCTAAGTGCCCAATGTTCTCCTCGATTCATAGCACCACCTATGAAACCAGTGCAGAATGAGAATCAGTTGGAATCCAAGAAAGGTGGAAGCCAAAGCACATTGTCATCTCCTGGATTAGCTGATCAGAAGAAATTACAAATGGGTTCTTCTGCAACTAGAAAAGTTGGCAGTCAAGCATTGAAGTCACCATTCGAGAGTACTCATTCTTCTACTCGGTTGCCTCCTTCCATCACGAAAGGCTCGAATAAGACCAATTCCTCAAGTAATGGTACTACTACTTCTGGACCAAAAAGATTGGGAGCTCAAGCAATGAAAATCGAGAAGGTACAAAAGGAGAAGAAGGTTATGACACTTGCAGATTCCATATCTTGTCCTGATTCTCCTGACAACTCTCCAAAGGCAGCAGCAGTAAAGCTTCCTTCCTCAACCAAATCGACAACAAAAGTTTCTCCACCAAAAACAGGTCGCAAAGGCAGTACCAAGAGCACGAAACATGTTAAAACAGTGATAAGAAGCAAGATCAGCACCATTAAGAAGAAGAGAAAGCAGGGTGCAAACCCTGCATCCTCAGTTTGCACTGAAGGTGATGCCAATTTGCTTCCAGTCCAAACTCCGATGGTTTGCCAGAAATGTCAATGTGCACTAAGTAGTAATGTCAATGAAGAACCAGTTGAGCAAAACCCGGCTCCTATCTCTGCTGAGATAACCTCTAATAATAAGCAAAACCCGGTTGAGAAGATAAAGAAGACTCCAAAACGAGAGAAAGGCGAATTCTCTCGGAGCTCAAAAAGCAGTTTGGGAGACTACAGCACTAGCACAAGCAACAGCGAGGAGAGCAATGCCAGCAGGTTCAGCAGCTGCTGCAACAGGCCACACATGTCGAAGGACGTCCGATGGCAAGCTGTTCAACATGTCAAGACAAGGGATAAAGTGCTGACATTGGCTCACTTCAATCTGTTGACGAAGCTCGGTTGTGGAGATATAGGGACGGTGTATCTGGCTGAGCTCATAGGTACGAACTGTCTTTTCGCAATCAAGGTGATGGACAACGAGTTCCTGGCAAGGAGGAAGAAACTGCCAAGAGCCCAGACAGAGAGAGAGATACTGAGGATGTTGGACCATCCCTTTCTTCCCACGCTTTATGCACAGTTCACTTGTGATAATTTGTCGTGCTTGGTGATGGAATTCTGCCCTGGTGGGGATCTTCATGTGCTAAGGCAGAAGCAGCTTGGGAGGTGCTTCCCTGAGCCAGCAGCCAGGTGATCTTACTTTATGATCAAATGCAACTATTTCTAAACTCCTAGAAATTTGCTTCACCCATCCAAAGCCTCCAAGTAGCCGCCTTTAGGAGGAGAACCTGATGCTAAATTCAACTACATTCAAGTCATGATGATTTCTCTTTGATCTAACGATGTCCAACGTTTGGTTGCAGGTTCTACGTTGCTGAAGTCCTCCTAGCTCTAGAGTACCTCCACATGCTCGGAGTCGTCTACCGAGACTTGAAACCCGAAAACATCCTAGTACGAGAAGACGGCCACATCATGCTCACAGACTTCGACCTCTCACTACGATGCAACGTAAGCCCAACTCTCCTCCAATCATCATCATCAACAGCTCCTGCCGAACCCCCGAGAATCTCCGGCCCATGCACATCTTCCTCCTGCATTGACCCATTCTGTATCGAGCCATCCTGCCGCGTCGTGTCTTGCTTCTCTCCCCGACTCCTTCCTCCTCGAAGCGCCGCCAAAGCTAAAGTGAAAGTCGAGCTCCTCCTTCGATCAACCCTCCCACAGCTCGTGGCAGAGCCCACCGACGCTCGTTCAAACTCTTTCGTCGGAACCCACGAGTACTTAGCACCCGAGATCATCAAGGGAGACGGCCACGGCGCAGCAGTCGACTGGTGGACGTTCGGCGTGTTCCTATACGAGCTACTCTACGGCCGAACGCCTTTCAAAGGCGCGGGGAACGATGAAACACTAACAAATGTAGTGCTGCAAGGGTTGAGGTTTCCTGACGGCCCGCTGGTGAGCTTCCATGCGAGGGATCTCATCAGAAGGCTGCTGGTGAAGGAACCGGAGGGGAGACTAGGGACCGAGAAAGGTGCAGCGGAGATCAAGCAGCATCCTTTTTTCCAAGGGTTGAACTGGGCGCTCATACGCTGCGCCGTTCCCCCCGAGCTGCCGGATAATTGGTATGATCATCACAGTAGTGGTGGTGTTGGGTATGAAGGTGGTGGTGGTGATGAGTACTTGGAGTGTAAAGCTACAGGGGAACACCTTGAGTTCGAGCTGTTCTGAAATGTTTTACTGTGGGATATTTATTAGCACGAATTAGGGTTACTGTGGTAAAAGGAAGTCTAGTAAATGGGGGGTTGACCAATCAGTTGCCAGGGGCCATGGTTGTTCTTAAGTGGAGGGAAATGGGGAGGTGAGATTGTTCTCTGGAAGTCGAAATCCAGATTTTGGTAACTGTGAAAAGCAGAGGTTTTTCTTATATAATCAGCAGCTTCGTTTTTGTATATATTAACCGGTCTGATCTGTTCTCTCGGTTGAAGTGAATGAAACTCAGAATAAGATTTAGATCATGATTCATGACAGATCAATTGGTTTAAGCAACTGATTAAGACTAGAAGACTCATCCCAACACTGTTCGTTGGATAAAAAAAAGACATTTATCTTGTTCTAGCTCCACTTGTGAGTCGGAAATTATTAGACCAAACTGAAACCAGATTAACATATTGAAATCACCAATGATATCCTTTTTGGCTAATTGCTCGTCATAGATTCCCCCAACTTCCATTTGAGAGTTGAGACTTGAGATCCACTAAGCCATTCACGCTTGTGGGAGTAGTGCTTGACATTATTGCTGAACACCTTTTATCATCACTATATCTCACCTACCACATTTGCTCCACAATCCGAAAGTTTGATCCAAAACAGATGGCCTTCTCGTGTATAATGTGACATGCTCTGTTTTCGTCCCAATATAGACATCACAAACTTTGACCACTTCTCCAAGTTACTCTTTGCAGCCTGAGGCTTTGCATCAACTAGAAAGAATCGTCGTCACCTCCTCAAAGATAAGCATCACTCATACAACATCCAACTTTTGGTTGCTTAGCCCAATACACACACTGAAATTTGGTGGCAGAGGACAAAAATACTTCATAAAGTGATATGCTTTTATGCAGTGCCAAACATGTTTCCGGGCTTCCCTCCCTCCTATAATCATAACCCAAAAGAAGATTTCGGGGAAAGAGGGGAGAAAAAAGAAACTATAGTTGGAAGCAGGAAGTGGGTTAACGGCTTCCCTTGGGAATGTTGCTTTTGCTCCTTACTTCATGACCCTCTTCCTCCTTAAATTCCCTTCCCCTTTCTCTCTGCCGTTACCTCTCCGAGAGAAACACGCCATACGTGCACTGGTAAACTGTCTTCCTACCTAGGAACAACAACAACAAAGAAAACAGCTTTTCTTTGGTTGAGGGTAAGAAGAATCCAGGAAAGGATATGGGTGTTGAGTGGGGAGCTAGACTTCTGGTTCTAGCTTTAGTTTCTTCAATAGCTTTTGCTGATCCTCTTGTTCCAGCATTTATCATCTTTGGAGACTCAATTTCTGATGTGGGAAACAACAACAATATCACTACTCCAATCAAAGCAAACTTCCTTCCTTATGGAAGGGATTTTGTTACTCACAGCCCGACTGGGAGGTTCTGCAATGGGAAGCTGGCTGTAGACTTCACTGGTAAAAAGATCATTACTTTTCTTTCACCTGTCAGCAACTTCAATTCTGCCTTTTGAATCTAGTTTCTCATTAGAGATTCTTCTGGTTTTGGTTTCTGAAGCTGAGTATTTGGGTTTTGACACATACCCACCACCCTATCTAAGCCAAGAAGACCGAGGAGGGAATGCTATAACTGGAGTCAATTTTGCTTCAGCCGGGTCGGGTCTGTTTGATCTCACAGCAATGACATATGTGAGTTTCCCAAACTCATGCATCAAGCAGACCAAAGGTATAACTTGTTGGGTCTTGACTCTTGACTATCTTTCTTGTGGTATTTTTGCAGGGAGCAATTTCATTAACACGGCAGCTGAACAATTATAGGGAATACAAGAGAAGCGTGGTGAGCACGGAGGGAAGCAAAAAAGCAGATGAGATATTCTCTAGGGGAATCCATCTGCTGAGTGCTGGAACTAGTGACTTTGTTCAGAACTACTACATCAACCCAGTTCTAAGGGGACTCTATATAACACCCGATCGGTTCTCTGACCAGCTCATGAGATCTTACTCTACTTTCATTGAGGTGTAGTATTCAGAAAATTCGAGTTGAGCTAAATCCTTTTGCTCTTGCAGCTTTCACTAATAAGAAATATGGTAAAACTGAGACAGAACCTGTATAAACTTGGAGCCAGAAGGATTGGAGTGACAAGCCTGCCACCAACGGGGTGTTTGCCTGCAGCCATTACTCTCTTTGGTCTTGGGAGCAACAATTGCGTTGAGAGATTGAACCGTGATGCCAGTTCCTTCAACCAGAAGCTGAACACAACTTCTCAGGGCCTTGTGGCACGATACCCTGACCTTAAACTTGTTGTCTTTGATATTTACAAGCCCCTCGTGGACTTGATCAACAAGCCTAGTGACAGTGGTAAAAAAGATCTTCCACCCTCTCCTAATAAGTAAAATAATGCCAGTTAGTTTAACACAACTTGACCCTCTAGATTTCTTCGGTTGATTCTATTGACAGGGTTCTTCGAGGCAAGAAAAGCTTGCTGTGGAACGGGTATGCTAGAGACCTCCTTGCTATGCAATGCAAGATCTCTGGGTACATGTTCTAATGCCACATCATATGTGTTTTGGGATGGATTCCATCCCTCTGAAGCTGCTAATGAGGTCCTCGCACAAGATCTGCTGGAAGCAGGATTCTCCCTCATATCATGAAGCGCTCCAGAAGTCCTACAACAGCTTCAAAATCTGCTCCCTGAAGATACATGTACTTCATTTACAAAATGCCTTTGGTTTGTTACTAATAGTACTCAGGGCTAGCTTCTAGCTTTTCTTTTAGTATAGTTCTGCATTGTTTGAATAAAAGATCACTGTTGTCTATGAGAAGTTGGCAATTCATTCCAGTTATTGAGCTTCAAAAGCTACCTGAATATGATTGAGTTGAAGCCTGGAAATTTCCTAGGAAATCTCGAACCCTGTGTTGGAACTGATAGCATAAAGAAGCTTTGCTCGCAAAGTGCTGGCCCTTTTGTACGTTGGCAACTGTAACCATCAAAACCAAAGCAAATAAGAAACACAAACATGAAAAGAAGAAAAAAAATCCCACAAGCAGCAGATGTTGCATTCAAGACAACCTTTAGAGTGTTGTAGCAAGTTGAAGCCGATGGGGGCCTTTCCACATCCTGTCCTCCAATGGTTGCCCACATCCTGTCATTCCAGTTATTGAGCTTCAAAAGTTACCTGAATATGATTGAGTTGAAGCCTGGAAATTTCCTAGGAAAGCTAGAACCCTGTGTTGGAACTGATAGCATAAAGAAGCTTTGGTCGCAAAGTGCTGGCCCTTTTGTACGTTGGCAACTGTAACCATCAAAACCAAAGCAAATAAGAAACACAAACATGAAAAGAAGAAAAAAAATCCCACAAGCAGCAGATGTTCCATTCATGACAACCTTTAAAGTGTTGTAGCAAGTTGAAGCCGATGGGAGCCTTTCCACATCCTGTCCTCCAATGGTTGCCCATATGGAAGAATCACAACTGACCTATACGATATTAAACCCTCTTTCAGAATTTGAAGTTAGAAAGTAGATATGTTTTTTTGAGTGAAGAGTGAATCAAGGATCATGCCTTGTGAATAGTAAAGGAAGGATGCAGGTGTTTGAACCCAAGCAATGGAGCACGAGAACAGCTAGTGACAAATTTAAGCAGCAAACAACGTTCACTTGGTTGAAACCCTTTCACCACCTGAACCAAGAGAGAATAAGTCGGCCCAACATGATCACCAACAAATGAAAATTCACCCGTTCAGGAGTCGAAAACCATGAAAATATGATGATACCTCCCAAAAAAGTTTGATTGTCCGACTTCCATCTGCATAACCTGTATATCGCGTGTTCCTTCTTAGATCATCGACATCAATGTCAAGATCACCACCGGAAAGTAACTGAATAGATATATCTCACTTAGCACTTGATTAATCAAACAGTGACAAGCTGTTTTGACATAAGGCTGCTTACCTGATTGAATTCACTTGCATTAAATAGCTTCAACCAAGATGGTGATACGAGATCAGTTAAACCCCTATAGAAGGCATTTGAGAAGGGGAAGATCTGCAAAATCAATGAATCAGAATAATCACGAAAGGACAGACAATTTGTGAGCTCATAAAGTGTTCTCTAAGTTCAGAAAGCGAAGGAACTTTTTGAACGGACCTGTCTATTAAGCTTATAATCTGCCATTGCATGCACATATTGCATCTTGTTCTCATTGGTCACTGAAATGTCTTTGCCACAAGGTTTAAGCTCAATAACATGTCGCTTACCAAATGATTCTTCCGTAACTGTGAAGTCCAGCAAGAGTTCTATGACATCACCATCATAATGCTGTAGCAACCACATCTAACGGTGTCAAGATTTGTGAAATTTTTTTCTCAAGCAATTAGGGCAAGTAACCAATTCAAAGCACCAACAGAATGCAACAAGGCTACTTGCAGTTGACAAGTGAGGAAAAATTACCTTCACATACGTCAGATTCCGGTACAGCTCTTGATCAAGTGTTGACAGTTCATCAAGAAAGCTATACCTTCCTAACAGCTTTTGCACAAAAACATGTGCAAATGAGTAATCTAGTAATATTCCTTCATACAGAGCTTTCCCAACAACTCTTCCAAGGAATTCAATCATCTGGATGCCATTTTCCAAGTATCTAGCAGCTGGGTTTGGGACTAGAAGTCTGTCTGAGGTTGAGGTTTGGGAGAACAAACCATAGCTGCAGGAAATAATATGATATAATGAGTAAATGAAAGAAAATTACTAAGGTACCACGAGACAGTTATTAACTCACTCTGGAGAAAGTGCTGCTTTTGAGATATCAGTCAGAAACTCCTTGGATAATCCACCATAGTCCAATCCTGCCTCTGGAAGCCCACATTCACTGACAAATGAAACATGAATGGACGATTTCAACTTAGGTCCCAGAGAATTGAGTTGGCGAAATCCATCTTCAACAATACGACCTCGACGAACTACAATCTCAACCGCTCGTGAACCAGGTTCAGTGAAATCCCCAGCCATTCGGCGGGATACTTTATCCATGCTGACAAATTCTCTGAACACCTGGACTCTGCCAATAAGATGTCCAGAACATCTTCAGAATTCAAAGAAACTGAACTAGATAAACTAACCTATTTTAGAAGTAATGCAATTCAGTGGGAAACAGACTGAATTGAATATACAGTTGTTTGAAGGGGTGATAAGTGAAAATGGAGATGCATTGCGGTGAATAGAAACGAAAAAAAAAAAAAAAAAGTGATCAATCCATTAGGATCTTTAGAGACAAAAAAAAAATGATAATTCTTTCTCAGTTGCATCAAGTCAAGATTCCGAATGTTCAGATAAAGAAGATGAGTATAGAAGGAAAGTAAAAAAGAAATGAAATTATCAGGAAAGATCGAAGGCCTACCTTTCTTCAAATGGATATATGTGTGGAGTAACAGTTACCACTGAATTAAGAACTGGACTTGTCACTGTATCATCCGACTTTACATTTGTCAGCATAATCTCATGTGTCCGAGCAGCAACAGCAATAGGAGGCCGGTTTTCTTTGGCTGGCGAAAGCCACAAAGCAGGTGGGCAAAACTGGTGCCTACAGTCCCTTTCATACAATAAATGCAGACATCTAACTGCAGAATCAATTAAGGGTCTATTTTGCCGAAAGCTATTATTGGCCAATGAGTTGTAAACAAATGTGTTCAATGCTGATGTAATTCTTCGTTGTTGCTCCAGTAAGAAAGGAACCTACGATACACAAGGAATATGTAAGTAACAATCTTGAATACTGAAATTTTCAGGTAAAAGAGAGAGAATAAGCTTCCAACCTGCTTTTCATAGAAATCAATATCGTCAAGAACTAATAGCAAGTGCGAATAGGTAGCACAGAACAAATGAAGTAGACATGACTGATCTTTGGAAACTTTTGCTAGGCCACATCTGAGAGTTTCAACATTCCATGTATCATCTACCTCCTCAGTGACTTGCCCAATAGGTTGTCCATTGCCTGAAGACACAACGTCGGGCTTACTTGTCATTCTATTCAGTACGTTACCCCACTTACTTCCTGCTTCCTTATTTGAAGGTTTCTGTTTTTTCTCAAGGACCTGAGCTTTTGAGTTCTTTGAAGTTTTGCTGCTATTGGCATTATCCCCCACAGACATCTGACCTTCAAAGAGGGAGTTCTCCAGTACTTCCCATAGACTAACAAGATATCCAGGAGTAAAGGACAGCATATTGAGAACTGGCAGAGCCCCCATGGGATTCATGAATGAGAAGAATCTGAGCATGTAGGAATATAAATACGCAATATCAATAAGCTCCAACGTCATTGAGAAATTGGGACTTGGAGATGCGAAACCCTCTTTTGTAATAGATAGAAGCTTTTTTAGGTGCCACTGCTGGAAAATAGGCTTGAGTAGCTCCACATATGACATAATTAAGGTATGTACAGCCCCATTCTCATGAAAAACTCTAACATGCTTGGCTGAAGTTTCAGCATTGACTACAGGATCTTGATGCTCGGTCCAACCACCATCACTAAGCCATTGCAGCAGGCTCTCAGAAAGAACAGCAACTATACGTACATAGGATGCATAGTCTGTATCCTGAAATAGCCCCCCTGAACCTGTGAAGTCGTTCTCGGTGCTAGCAGCTAGACAAACTATGTTTGCAAGAAGCCAGGCCACAGGTGGAATAACGTAGGAAGAATGTGGTACTTTCAAGTAATCCAACCTCGCCATCTCAGAAAGAATATCATCTCCCAGAATCTGCCATAATCTGCCATAGTTTCATCAGTTCTCGCATGTGTTGAATGCAAAGTGGTTTGTGAAATGCAATCTTAAGCTTAAGATTTAAGTACAAATTGGAAAAACTTTCAGTCATGCTGTACTGCATTGATATTGCAGTATGAAATTTGAGATTTTATGGCCTTAAGCATTAAAAGAGCTAAGTGGATCTATTAGAAAACCAGCTGGTACTTCAGTGAATCATCAATGAAAGAGAAATTACAAGGAATTGCGCACTATAAACTTCGAAGTAAACTTCTATGCAACTTCAATGAGTCTTACCAACATTGTCTTGAGGCATGGTGAGAGTACAGTATTGTGCTTCACAGCTGGCAGAAGCACAGCCGGTAAACGTCCAGCAAGCCAGGGAACAGTAAGGAGAGACAAACAATAATGCATGACAGCAGATTGCATTTCCATCAAGCCAGAGCCATGAGAATCAGAATGGATAGCATTGAAAGGACGTAGAGCTAAAGTTACTGCACTAGCAGTGACCAGAAACAGATTGTCGGTCTGAGAAGCCAACTTTTTCTTTGGGGAAGGAGTGGAAATCTCTAACCTCTCAATGTATCTTCTTAGGGATCCGTAAAAACCACTTTCAGGATCACCGATAAACCTAACCAAAGCCTTCACTGCACTATCAGCATCCTCAGGACGACCAATAGTAACACTGCTCCATGCGTTCAGATTGGTTAAGACTACGAGAACACGCATCCCCAGAGATGCTAGAATAATTACATCGCGTCCCTCTGCATGATTTTTGTCACATTTAGAAAGGACAAATGAGCATATTGAGACCAACTTTTTTTATTGAAAAGTCCATGTTCTTCGTTCTTCAAGTGTACCGAACGCCAAGGAGCAAAAGTTCTTTTTCGAATCTACCCTTCAAACAAGTTCCACTTGTCAGCTACTTCGAAATACAAGCATTTGAATTCTATCAAAGAATTTAGAAACTATGGACACACAACTTAAACAATCAAATGTCCAAAGCATCAGCATACCAGTAGAATTCACGCTTTCCAGCAAGATCCTAAAGCAATTTTGAATGCAATTCCTATCAACAGATTGAATCTTTTGATGGCGTGAGGATAAGATCTCGACATAGAAAAAGAATGGTCTTAAAACACTGCCGGAAACCCAACCAGCAGAGATTGAACCACCATGATTATTCGCCATAACTTCTTCCCATTCCCCTTGGAGCAAATAAAACAAAATTCTTCAAACCCGGTCTCATAATATGCTGACCAAACACAGAAATTAAATAATATAATTCCAACAGTTTAAATTTTAAAAGAGTCCCAAACCAACCTGTATGAAGATAGCAGAAGCACGCCTCGCGTAATTGCGGAGCTCTCTTTCATGGGAGACCTTCTCGAGCAGGGCATCCCGAGATATCTCTCTCGCACTTGCTTCCCTCAAGGACACCTGAAAGTTTATGAACCCCGGAAATTACTAGCCTATTCCAATGATATCCCACTATCCTAATGTGCCAAAGTTTCCAACTTTTCAAACCAATCTTCAAATTTAACCCCGTAAGGGTCTCAATCGGTGGCAATTTCGAACGGATCGCGAGAGAAAAAGAGGGGAATAAAGATGGGGAAAACCTGATGTTTACGAGCCTCGTCCATGAAACTGAGGGAAACAGCGCGAACTTCTGTCGATGATTTGCTGCGTAGGAGTCTTTTGCCCAAAGCCGGAGCAGAGAATTTTGCTGACTATGGATTTCGACCGATGTATTGGTTTTTTACATAGAAGGGTCAATTACAATGGAAGTCACTCACTTCAGTGTTATTGACTAATCGATTCCTAAATTTTGAAGGGAAAACTTGACGAATAGATGACAGACAAAGCAATTATTATTTTTGTTATTATAAACTTCAGTGGCAATTTTGTTAAGGAAATAAGTTTAGTGACCTTAAAGATAAGTGATCATTTTTGTATTTAACCCCTCGTGAAGAGGATAAGTTTTCGGCGCGACGACAGTTAAATTACAGAGACCTCAAAGATTTGCCGCCTTTACTTCTCAGGGAAGGATTCGCCAGTTCGACGATTGCACGCCGGCGGAGAGGAGATGCCATGATTCGGTCCTCCGCCGCCGCTACTATCTTACCGTGCTTTCCTACCCAACCTTCCTTCCACTTCCCTTCTAAGTCAGCGAGAGGAGGACCAGTTCCCCCGCCGTGCGTTTCTAACCGTTCCGGCGAGCTCAGTTGCCGCTACACATCCTCTGTTCAGGCCAGATTACCAGGGGAATCTTCTTCACTGCGTAAACATAATCAAGATATTGAGCCGAATTTCCACCCTTTTTGGTCAGCGAACGGCAGCAGTTCAGGGGACTAGATACTATGACAACACTCCTTGTGTTGTTATTGTAATAACACTAGTCTCCAACCAATAGGAAGTTAGGGTTGTGATGATTTTTTATTAGATGAGTTGACCTAGTGTAAAATCAAAACAGGGGTATAATTGTCATTATGAAAAAATATGTTTAAATAATGAAAAAAAAAATATTTTTTTTATTTTCGGCCCAAAATTTTGGTCATTGGAATTCGACCACCGGTCGCCAGAATCTGGTCGTCGGTCATCGGAATATGCTTTTTGTAGCCGGAATATGCTACTTGTCGCCGGAATATGCTTACCAGCGTCGGAATCTAGTCATCGGGGCCGGAATATGCCTATCGGCGTCGGAATCTGCTCACTGACAGTCATCGGAGTTTGGTCAACGAACACCGGATGTTATGGTCTGCATTGTGAGATTTATGGTTTGGTTTCTCATATTTTTGTATGCCTTTTGTGGTTTGCTTTATCGTGTTTGTGGTTTGCATTAAGAAGTTTCTGGTTTGCTTTATCGTGTTTGTGGTTTGCATTGACAAGTTTTTGGTTTGCTTTCAAAAATTTTGTGGTTTGCTTTGCGGGGTTTCTGGTTTGTTTTAATAGATTTTTGGTCTGCATTAGGACGTTTCTGGTTTGTTTTTGTGGTTTGCTTTATCGTGTTTGTGGTTTGCATCATGAGGTTTCTGGTGTGTTTTTTAAAATTTTGTGGTTTGCTTTGCGGGGTTTCTGGTTTGTTTTAGTAGATTTTTGGTCTGCATTAGGATGTTTCTGGTTTGTTTTTTTGGTTTGCTTTAACGTGTTTGTGGTTTGCGTTATGAGGTTTCTTGTGTGCTTTCAAAATATTTGTGGTTTGGTTTATGGTGTTTCTGGTTCTAGTGTGCTTTTCGAAATATTTGTGGTTTGCTTTGTGCGATTTCTTGTTTGTTTTAGAGGATTTGTGGTTTGAATTAGGAGGTTTTTAGTATGCTTTTTGTGTCTTATTTTATCATGTTTGTGGTTTGTTTTATGAAGTTTCCGGTGTGTTTTAGAAATATTAGTAGTTTGCATTCTTGTGTTTCTGGTATGTTTTTCGAGACTTGTGCTTTGCATTTGAAGGTTTCTAATATGCATTTTATGGTTTGTTTTACCATATTTGTGGTTTATATTAGAAAGTTTTTGGTGTGCTGTTGGAGAAGAATCGGCACCGTCTCTTAATAGTGACTTCCTACAAAGTCATACTTTGCAAAATCAAAATCAGAGGCAAAACCCAAACCCCCAAAAGCCATATCCACTCGTAACATCCGGTAAGCATAGAAAGAATAGATTAGGATTCGTTACCCCCATAACATCCCCAAGCCCGACTCTTGGCTGCCATGGTGTTTTCTCAACTTCTTCACCCTCCACCGAAGCTCCTTCTTCTCCTTCAACATCCTCATTAGCTTCCGCAAGCTCTGCTCCTCCGTCTCCTGCAAGTTCACCGCTACTTCCTTCCGCCTCTGCCCTGGCGACAACTCTGTGTCTGGTGAATGCCGCGACAAGTTCAGTAAGAGCCAACTCTGTGTCTGGGGAAATCGAAACCCCAGAACCGGAAATGCGGGAAATCGAACACTAAGCAGAGCACCCCTAAAGTTCGAGATTTCCTATAGCATAATCTTCCTTACAGACGCCCTAATCCACCCAAATCCCCTCTATTCTAACAAATCAATCAATTAATTGACACCTAACTAAAACAAAGCCAGCACACACATACAAAAACAGAAAACCCTCACATAGCGAACAACAAAACCAACAACCCCTCGCACCTGAGCTTTATCAGCGAGCTTAACGACCAGACGGCCGACGGGGAGAGGGGACTAGTAGGTGAAGCTGTAATTGATGCACTCGGATCGCATGTACCGGGAGAGAACTCGCTCGTTGGCGGTGAGTCGAGCAATCGCAACGCCGATGTGGTCGTCGACCTTTAAGATCTTCCGCTGATGGGAAGAGAGCTATGCGGGAAATCGAACAGCAAGCGGAGGAGGGAATGGCGGCGGGAGTAGTTGAGCAACTAAACCCCAGTCTCCTTGCCGGCGGGGATTGAGCGGCGGCGTGGTTTATCGGAATCGTAAGCAGCGCTTGAGGAAGAATTTTGGAACGACGATCTTGCCGATGGCGAACGAGAGAGTGCGGCACCGACGGCGATCTTGCCGATGGTGGATGCGAGAGTACGGCAGAGAAGCGCCAATGGGGGATATCGGAGGAGAAGAGCTCGAGAGACGGAAAGGGGAAGGCTGGGATTGAAGTTTATTTTTTTAATTTTATTTCTTATTTTATGTTAATTTACCCTTTTACCCTTAATGAATCTTGTTGTTATACTATCCGCACCCGCAATTCAGAGCGTGGTGGTGAGATTATGATAATGCTGATTCCTTCGTCGTCGACAATTTGCTCTACTTGCTTCGATTCTCCACCAAATACTCTGACGTCGAACTTGCCAGAGCGGTGCACGCTTCGATTCTCAAGATTAAAGAAGACAGTCATCTTGGAAACGTTCTAATCGGAGCTTACCTCAAGCTGGGCCTTATTCTCGACGCGTATCAGGTACTCAAGAACCTTTCCGATCCCAATGTAATGTCTTACAGCAGTCTGATTTCCGGTTTCTCGAAATCGAATCGAGAAATTGAAGCTGGTAAACTCTTCTTTAGGATGAGAAGTTCAGGGGTTGAGCCCAATGAGTTCAGTTTCGTTGCTATGCTAACGGCCTGTACGAGTGCTTCCATATTTGAATTGGGATGGCAAATTCATGCTCTGGTGATCAAGATGGGGTTCACAGAGTATGTTTTCGTTGCTAATGCGTTGATGGCGTTGTATGGAAAGTCCTGCCGGTGTTTAGATTCTGCAATCCAACTGTTCGAAGAAATGCCTGAGAGAGATATCGTCGTGGAATACAGTTATTTCCAATTTGGTAGATGGCTCATTGTACGAAAAAGCATTGAAATTTGGTCGTGATTTGGTCAAGTTCGATGAGTTTAGAGTCGACGAGCTGACCCTTTTGACTCTACTGCCTGCCTGCACCAGCTGCAATGCTGTCAAACAAGGTAAGGAGATTCACGGTCGCGCCATGAGACTCGGGTTAGCAGGAAGTCTGAGTCTTTGCAACGCCATGATTGGATTCTACACCAAGTGTGGAACTATAGAAAATGCGCTGACTGTCTTTGACACGACGCAAATCAGAGATGTAATCACTTGGACGCAGTTGATCACTGCTTACATGGAATTTGGTCTCGTGGATTCAGCCGTGAAGACTTTCGAGAAAATGCCTGAGAGAAACTTCATCTCTTACAACGCCATTTTAGCAGGGTTTTCCCACAACTCCCAAGGGCTGAATGCACTGAACTTCTTCACGATGATGGTGCGTAACGGTGTGGAGCTCTCTGAATTCAGTCTAACCAGCGTTATCACTGCATATGGGCTATTGGTTGATCTGGAAACTAGCAGGCAAATCCATGGTTTCCTCACAAAGTTCGGTTATGGTTCGAATGCTCACATCGAAGCGTCTTTGCTTGATATGTACACTAGGTGTGGAAGAATGAGAGATGCAGAGAAATTGTACTTCAACCAGAACATCTCCATTGCTCTAAACTCGATGATGAGTGGGTATGCACGAGCACGAAATGGGCAGCCGGACGAGGCTGTTTCTCACTTCCGTCGAAGTCTATCAGAAGGCAAGCTAGTTATGGACGAAACGGCATGGACCACAACATTGGGAGTCTGTGGAGCTCTAGGCTTTCGGGAGCTCGGGAAACAAATCCATTCCTTTGTCGTTAAAGCAGGCTTTGGAGCTGATTTAGGGGTGGGGAACTCTTTAGTGAGCATGTATTCCAAGTGCGGCGAAATGGATGAAGCGATCAAATCGTTTGATGCAATGCCAGTTCGTGATGTGGTTTCGTGGAATAGTTTGATCGCAGGCCATGTTCTTCACTGAGAAGGGGACAAAGCTTTGACTATCTGGTCAAGGATGGAGAAAGCTGGCGTGATACCAGATTCCATAACGTTTGTGCTACTCATTGCAGCCTACAAGCACACATCCTCGAACTTGGTCGACCATTGTCGTACAATGTTTCTGTCGATGAAGCCAACTTACCAAATTGAGCCAGCATCAAAGCATTATGCTTCGCTTGTCGGCGTGTTGGGATCCTGGGGTTTCATCGAAGAGGCAGAGGAAATGATTCTGGAGCTGCCATTCGATCCTGAAGTTTCAATATGGAAAGCTCTACTCGACAGCTGCACGTGAACACAGCCGTCGGAAGAAGGGTTGCCAAACGCATTTTAGCGGTGGAGCCTCTAGACCCATCGACATTCGTGCTTGTATCGAATCTGTACTCTGCATCAGGTACTTATGAAGATAGATCAGTAGTGTGATTATCTCATAACCATTTTGTGATCTCAAATTTTTATATTCTCTCTACTCATCCAAAATCTGCATTCCCAATATCATCAGGAAGATGGCATTGCTCGGAAGCCACGAGGCAGGAAATGAGAGAGAAGGGAATGAGGAAGCAACCATGCCAGAGCTGGATCATCCACGACAATGAGATCCACTCGTTCCAAGTACGAGACGTGTCCCACTTACAATCCATGAACATTTACAGAGGCCTGGAAGTACTGCTACTGGAATGTATGAGGTCCGGGTACGAACCGGGCACCAGCTTCGTCCTCCACGAAGTAGAAGACCACCAGAAGAAGGATCTCTTGTTCTGCCACAGCGCGAAGCTAACCGCGACATACGGCCTCCTGATGACGAGCCTAGTGCAGGTTATCCGGATCGTGAAGAACGTCCATGTTTGTGGCGACTGCCATAGCTTCTTGAAACACGTGTCGGCGGTGTCCGAGAGAGAGATATCGCTGAGGGATGGTTCTGGGTTCCATTTCTTCTCGGATGGGCAGTATTCCTGCAGAGATTACTGCTGAAAATTAGAGCAGTGGTCTTTTTGTTGTTCGAATAGAACTGTCACCACTCACCACCATACCATACCCGACTCGACTCTGTTGTGTTTGTACAATCAATGTAAAAAGCTTCTTTATTTTATTGAAGGCGCAAAGGAAAAGATAAACGCCAGCGTTTCGAGGGGAGGTAGTCATTCTTTCAGGGAAAACTGGGCTTCTATTTGACAAGGACCGGAAAAGCTATTTAATCAAAAGCCCAAATTACTGAAAATCCGGTGGCGTTCCCGGAAGGAGGCATGCCCACGACGAGCGAAAATCAGAAATACTTGCAAAATGAAGAAACGGGTTTTAGTCCAGAACGCGAAACGGCCCGAAAATCTTCTTCTTTATTTAATTGAAGGCCCAAAGGAAATATAACTGGCAACGGTTTGGAAGGGAGATGGGAGTAAGGTTGGGCTAAAGTGGGCTTCCTTTTGACAAAGGCCCAAATAAGCTTATCTTCCATTTAATCAAAGGCCCAAAGAACCTGAAATGCGGCTGCGTTTGGTGAGCAAGGTAGGCCAACGTCCGGAAAAAACTGGAAACCTCTGAGAACGGGAAAATGGGGGTCAGAAACGGCCGAAACGCGAAACGTTTCTTGTCCTCAAAACCAAAATCGAAACGCGAGAAATTGACGAGATACCGCGATATTACGACATATCGTGATATTTAAACGTTTTATTGACTTTTGACGATATATTGACCGTGTGTTGAATTTTACCCCTCTGGCCTCTGGGTACCAAAAAAACCGAGGGAGAAAACCAGAAATACACCGGACGATCGCATCAAAATACGGGGAAACAACACAACAATGATTCGGTTAATGAACTTTGGAGACTAAATAACGCTGGGGTAATTAGCATAAATGGTCACAAACCTTTGCACTTAGTACAAAACAGTCACAAACCTTTAATTTGTAACTATTTGATAACAAAACTTTTTACTTAGAACAAAACGGTCACAAATTAAACAGTGTGACCATTTCATACCAGTTCGAACTTTTGTTACCGTGTCGTTGCAAATTAGACTTTTGGTGACCGTTTTGTACAAATTAAGTTCAAAAGTTTGAACGATCAATCACCGTTACAATTCGCTCTAGTTGTATGGTGGTTTTATTAATGTATGTGAATGATATGATCGTCATAAAAGATGACAATGAAAGAACTCAATGGCTCACAAACGGGTTCCAGACTGCTTTTTAGTTGAAAAAACTCTGTCTACTTTCTTACTTTCTTGGTATCGAAATTGAAAGGTCAACTGAGGGCATTCTTATTCGGCAAAGCAAATATGTCGATGAACACATGACCTGACATCTTATATGTCGTTCAAGTGGTTAGTGTCATATACTTAACGAACAAACTACCCTACCTCAAAACATGACAAACATTTAATTTGTAATGATTCGGTAACAAACCTTTGCACTTAAAACAAAACGGTCACAAATTAAATAGCGGTGACCATTTTATATAATTTCAAAGTTTTGTTACCGTATTGTTACAAATTAAAAGTTTGTGACCGTTTTATACTAAGTGCAAAGGTTTGTTACCATTTATGCTAATTACCCAATAACGCTGCCCTATTGCGTGCGGAGAAGAAATCGCTGCAAGCGCTTCGGCGGGAGGAAGCAGCACCTATCCGGCGCGGTGGCAGTAAAAGCGGCGAGGAAGCGGTTTCTGTGGGGGTGAAATTTGAAAAAAACTCCTAAACATCTACATCTGATCGGGCCGCTGTGTAGCTGCCGTCATCTCTTACTCTATCAGTCCGCCTTCTTGCCTCTCACTTGCCACTAGTAGTTCGCTGGAGCGTCTGCATCTCGCCGGCCACCTCTGTATCTCGCCGGTGGGCTTATCTGTTGGTCTGGCAGTTGGGCAATCTTCAGTAGCTGATGAAATGTCCAAACTGATTAAGAGACCTAAGCTCGAGGCAGGTATCTGTTATGACCCAGATGATCTTTCACTGGAATTAGGAAGTTCGGTTGATATATTGGTCGCAAGGCGGGTAGGTTTATGGACCACATCACAACCACTAAGGGATTTACGCTGGAGCTCCTCAGCTATCTAGTAAGTTGTAGTGTTATTTCTCAGTTTGGTCTCTACCACTTCCAACTGCTCTCTTCAAGTTTATCATTTTGGTTAGAATGTCTGGTTCTAGTGTGCTTGGTCAGTTGCGACTACCAAATCGAAGCTGGTTTGTACCAGTAGCGGAGATTTGACCCTTAATTGTGAACTAGCAGGAGTTAGCTACTTTAGGTGGTTGATGAAACTTATAGATTCTCAGGGAGGCATACCAGTCTTGGCTTCCTACTGTTCTTAGCCTGACTCGTTCTGATGAAGAAGTTCATATCCCATGTATTAATAGTTTTCTTCCTTTCTGGGTTTGGTCCTTAGAGAACCATAAGAAGATGGTAAGTTCCACGTTCTTGTCTTGTATTGTATGCAAACTAGTTCGTCCTGAAGATGTATGCAATTTCATGTAAATTTTCTTCGACGTCCTGCATCTTTTAAGTTTTTTTTCTATCATTCTGGTGGAAAGTGGAAATAAATGCTATTCCCTAATTTGCCACCTCTTGTAAATGCTATTTCATATTGTAGTGACGTTGGAAAAGGGTTTAAGGGAAAACCTTATCCCAGACTTGTGAAATTGGTTTTATCTGCCACATTAACCCAAGATCCAAGCTGAATTGGATTAGAAAAAAGCAGCTTGTGATTACTAATGGCTAATTGTTTGGTGAAGTAGCTTTTGCTCACTGAACAATAGTAACTATTCCACAGTGCTATACTGATATTGCGATTGTCGAACTGAGTTTTCTTTTTTGCTCTGATCAAATATTCGTCCTGATTTATATTGCCACACATAACTTCCCTAGTTAACATGGTTGAATGAATATTAATTTTTAACCGTGATTGTTTTGGTCAAAAAGGGAGGGAAGCCTCGTGTTGCTGACTTTGTCCATGGTTCAGATGGATTGAAGAACACATAATTGTCATCGCCAAATGCAAAGAAAAGTGAGAAGAATGCTACTGAAATTTTAATTGACCAGGCCTCTGAGTTCCCTGAGAAAGTATCTGTACTTGCACTTGGACCATTGACAAACGTGGCCTTGGTGAGTTACTTTCTTCCTTGTTTCCGTGTTTCTTTTATAATGACTACAAAATCAAGAACTTGACAATGATGACATCTTTTTGGACTGACAATCAAAAGGGATTCCTCATTCGCTAGCAAAGTGAAAAAGTTGTAGTTCTTGAAGGAGCCTTATTTCCTCTGGGAAATTTAAACCCTGCTGCTCAAGCCAATGTAAGCTACTGTCACTTGTCTTTCTGAAACCGAGTGGTTATCAAGTTATTTAGCATTTTCTCTGACATTCAGATATATGGAGATCCAGAAGCAGCAGACGCTGTATTTACATCTGGGGCAGACATTGTTATAGTGGGAATTAATATGACTACTCAAGTTAAATTGACGGGTAGTAACCCAGAGATCCCATCCGCTCAGCTTCATGTCTAGTATTCTTCTGTCAAATCTTTAGTCAAAACCTCTCTGTATTACTTATGTTCTATGTTTGTTTGCAGATGCCGACCTTACTGAGTTGAGGGAGTCGAAAAGGAAGTATGCTCAAGTAATATGCAATATGTGCAAGTTTTACAGAGATTGGCATGTAAAGTCTGATTCCTCCAAATCTCTTGAACTAGTTAGCTCCCGAGAATAGTTAATGTTCCACAGTAGAGTTTCACTTATCACATTATCTATAACCCGGTTTCTGGAATATGTCTGCACGATTCGGTGAGCTTTATGGCGGTACCGGAAGGGTGTAGTGACTAGTGAGGGTGGAGACTCAGGGCATCTTCATTGGCCACACCCTAATGGACCAAGGCCTCAAAAAGTAGGCCAACTCTCTAAAATTTGATCCATAATGCGGTGAATTTCCGTTCTAGCCGTTCTGCCGGAATGCTTATTGATTTAAGCTTCTGGGGTATGTATGTTTAGTTGTTTACTCTAGGGTTTCAGTTTATCACGACATCTCTCCCTATTTTTTCATTGGTGTTGTTGCTTTTAGATTGCAGTTCCATTCGGTGGAGGGCGATTCCAATTCTGCAGTTCAGTAGGGTGTAACATGCCCGTGTTAGAGGCCAACGGTAAAATCTGATAATCTCTTAGGGTTTGTTTTAATCGTAGCTGTATTCTCAAAGTTGCATAGACTTTCCAGATTTCCATGATGATAGCAAAATAGGAAAGTAAACTATCTATTGGTATGATGGATTTCGTTAACTTATCTCCTATATTGCTCATCTTAGCTTGTTTCATAGCTTATGATGTAATGTACCTTTTGGGTTGATGCACCGTATAAATCCCACAAACGTGTGAAGATCCCGTTTCATTTAGATCACATCTTTTTTCCCAGAGGGGATCCACATCTCACCTAATTGATGCGCAAGTCTTCCCCTCACAAACTACATAGATTGTTTCTTTAAACTTGCAGCTTTCATGAACTACCATAGGCAAACAAAAACTCTCATTCAAAAGACACCTACCATAAACATACGCCACCGTTGTTTAGACTTTCGATTGGTAAGCTCATCAAAGATTAATAATGCAAGTCAGACCTTCTTACTGTCCTCCATTTCCCTCTGTTGGCTTCTCCTTACCTCAATTTGAATACCTGCACCTTCCAGGTTTCTATTCCTTTGTTGCAGTCTCTGTTGACACCTTAATGGTTGGTCATGTTTGATTTTCTCTTTTCCATCATATCCTCTGTTGACACCTTTGTTGCAGTCTCTGTTGACACTAGATTTTGTGCCTTGTTGAAACTCACTTCCTGTTGTCTATGCTGATTTCTTTGTTTGCACAGCTCCAGCAACTAGAGTTGTAGGAACATAGAGTGGAAGAGAGAGGAATTGGTGGCTGAGTGGAGTGCAACAGTTGTCCCGTTTGCTATGCTTTGAAACCCACCGAAGCAACATTGGAACCAACTCTGCTTACCAAGGAGAGCAATGTTGTTGAATTTCCAGGAATCCATCGAAGTTGCCAGCCCCAGGTGCTTGAAACCTGGCTCTGCTTATCTAGGATGAAGGTTAATTCTTCTCCCAGAAATCAAGTACAACATGTAGAATGTGAATTTGTGGTGAACAAGTTGCTTTATGTGTGTTTTAATTTTTAAATAGCGAGGGTTAATTTTTTTTTTTTTTTTTCCATTTTCATGGCATGTCATATGGTTAGATGATCTCAGACTCATATGGTTTAGAGGTTTGTTCCATATTGCGTCTATGTTTAGCTTTATTTGTTTAGGAGATGGATGGGCCGGGGGAGGAAAGAAAGAGGGACGGGTGGTTTATTGCCTTATTGGACCTTTTTTGCATGGTTTCAACAAGACAAGAAGAGCCTCTTTATCTTGGGCCCAATCCCTTCATTTCGCAGATCGAATTTGACACCGACCGGCCTTAATTACGGCGGGTAGGTGGCGGGTGATGGAGTAATAAGGGAGAAGAGAAGGAGAAGAGATCACACGGGATGGGAAACAGTAACAGAAGAATGCGTTGTCGTCTCGTCTCGGCAGTATCAAAACTGCAACTCGAAAGCATGAATGCACCTCGACATCTGCCTGCAACGCCGTCTACGGACTCTCGTCGTCCACCATCCAATTATAACTCCCCTCCCCTCCAACAGCGGGAGACCGTAATAATTAATAAATTAATTAATGAATTGAATGCCAAATGTAAATTAATTAAGTGGGCCTGCCTCTTCATTAAGCTCAGTCAAACTAGCTAGCTCGATTCCAATTCATTCCCGTAAAAGTACTCCAACAAATACAAGCAGGCGGCAAATTAAACCCGCCGGCCCTAGAGACTCTTTACTGTTCAGCCGATCGACCGGCCGGCCGGTTTGTAGTATCGCAAGGGCCATATAATTTGTGCCCGGCTCCGGCTCCGGCTCGCTTTCAATAATTATCAAGGTTGTCAAATCGGGTTAAGTCATTCGGCCGGTTTGACAAGAGGTTTGGGATTTAATGGTCGGATCGGGGTTCAACCGGGTTAAGCCGGTTTTGACAAGATATGTTGGAGAGCCATTGACACCTAATAAATTATGCATATATATATGACATCTCAAAGGCAATCTCAAGATCATTCTTCAACCTCAGATTGTAAGTCACATAAACAAGATCATTCAACCTTTGATGCTCCAATCGATTCCTCCGCTTACTATGAATTTGATCAAACACGCTCCAATTTCGCTCACAGCTAGAAGATGATGATGTTTGAGACAAAACTCGTATAGCAATCTGCCTCAAATTCGGAGCATCATCTCCATATAGTGTCCACCATTCAGCTATTCAATAAAAACAATTTTCAAGCAATTAGAATTTCATAACATAAATACAAGATACAAGCTAATAAGTTATTACAATTGATTACCTGGTGGTAAAGTGGTAGCACATAAGATAGCTGATTTCTTCCCGAAACTCCCCAACCTATCTCTATAAAGTCTAATCTCTTGAATAGCTTCATTAACATCACTACATAACCCATCAGTTTCAAGGAAGTTGATAAGACAACCTTCCTCGGTATACTGAAAAACTGGATTCAAGAAATATGCAACTCCATAAATGTTACGCTGAAGATGCTTCTCCCACCTCGCATCAATCAACCTCATATACACATCAGCCCCTGTTCCATTACCCAAAAAAGTATTCTTGATGGTCTTCTTAATCCTAATCATTCCATCATGAACATATCCCAAAGATGGCTGCTCATCAGAATCGACGATCCTCAACAATTTCACAATTGGTATTGTCAACTTGACCATTACCAAACACTCTTGCCAGAAGTTGTTATCCAACACAATAGACTTGATATGCTTCCCTTCTGCACTTTTCCCCAACTTGTGAGATGCAAAGAAATTACTTGTAACAAGCTGTTCCAACAATGACCTATGCTCATAAATGCTTCTTAAGCAAATGAAACTAGTAGCAAATCGAGTAGCTCCAGGACGCACAATTTGTTTCCAACCCTCCAACTTCTTCAAAAAAGATAGGATAGGAAGATGACTATAAACAAACACACTAATCTTCTGAGCTCGAGAGACTAAACTTGAAACATGTTTCAACTTGTAAATGTCTTTCAATAGAAGATTGAGAACATGCGCCATACATGGAGACCAAAATAATGTCTTATACTTCTCATGAACAAGCCTTCCCGCAGCAACATAGTTAGCAGCATTATCAGTGACAAAATGCACAACATTCTTTGCCCCAATCAAATCAATCACACCACCAAATAACTCAGCCAAATTCTTAGCATCTTTAACCATGTCTGATGCATCCACCGATTTGATGAAACACACACCCTTTGGACAATAGACTAAAAAGTTAATCAATGATCTTTGACTCATATCAGTCCAACCATCAGCCATCAGAGTGCATCCAGTAAGTTCCCAAGTTCTACGATAATCATGTATAATCGAAGTGCATTCTAGTTTGACTTCTCTCAGCAAAGTCACTCTCAATTGGTGGTAAGAAGGTACCTTATATCCAGGTCCAATTGCAGCAACTGCATCATATGACATCTGATAAAACTCGGAGTGTGCAGCATTGAAAGGGAGTTTTGCATGGTAAAACCATTTAGCCACTATGAGATCAGCATTCTTCTTTGCATCTCTTCCAGCTAAAGCACTTCGAATGCCATGTTGGGCTCCTGGAGTTGTTCTTGGTGCAAAGAAATTAGGTTGAGATGGTGCACTAGTCACTTGGCGCACAACACTTGTACTATCTTGCTCCCCAGAAGCATCATCATTATCTTTTTCAGCGGGCTTTCGCTTACCGGAAGATGCAAGTAGAGCTTTGAACCTCGCACGAACATCATGAGTAACGGCCTTGCAAGCTGCAACATTACCCCTTTCTCCAGCCAAATGCTTCTTCACTCGATGAATTCCACCTCCTTTTATCAAATGACCACACAATTTGCACTTGATCCATGTCTTTCCATCTTTAGTGCGAATTTCCTCAGCATAGCCCCAAGCAGGATCTTCTTTTGTCCGAGATCCAGTAGCACCAATAACACTATTGGTAACTGAGGGTTGACTTGATGCATTTCCTGATTCCATCTATCAACCTATAAAACAAGTAAATTATTAACAAAATAAGTTTCAACCTGCTGAAAAAAATCTCTTTCTTTCCATTTTCTGCAAATGAAGACCAATTGATCTTTCTTTAACACTTGGATCTTTCTTAACACTCACTCACTCACTTTCCTGATTCCATCTATCAACCTGTAAAACAACCCAATATCACTTCCACTGCTGAAAAAGGAAATCACTTCCACTGCTGAAAAAGGAAATCATACCTGGGTCGAGGCGGCCGACGGCGAGCGGCGTCGAGGAAGGGGGCACTGGGTCGAGGCGGCCAACGGCGAGCGGCGTCGAGGAAGCGGCTACCTTGGTCGAGGAGTCCGGCGGCGAGAAGCGCACAGCTGGGTCGAGAAGAGGGCAGCGCCAGCGAGGAGTGGCGACTGGCGAGTGGAGCGCCGGCGTGGCGCGACGAGGGGAGCGCCGGCGTGGCGCGACGAGGGGAGCGCCGGCGTGGCGAGCGGCTGCTGTGCTGGGGGTGTTCTCTGCTCTGCTGGGCTCGACGAGGAAGACGAATGGGGAACGGCGGACGCGATCACGCGATAGATAATTAGGGTTAGTGAAGTTGGAAGAATTCCAACCCGCCGAAACGACGCCATTTCAGTCAAAACCGGTAGCCGGATCAGTCCGTTCAGACCCCGGTTTTGACCGGCTACCGGCCAGCTCTAAATATGGCTGGTTCTGGCCCTTTTAGTGCCCGGTTCCGGCCAGACCCGGTTCGACCCCGGTTTGACAACCATGATAATTATATTCATGCGCCACGCGGCACTTCCAACAACGACTACCCGGCCATCGCCAATTCGCCCCGTGGCGGAGCTATGCACACTTGAGGGGGTGCATGCACCCCCTTGGTTTTGGGATGGGAAAAAATCCAATATATATAGTAGGAAGCAAGGATCGAACTACCATCTCAACTAAGAGTTTTTCATTTATAATACGTACATGTTTAATTAAATCAATGTTAATTATCTGTCCTAATATCAAAACGCAAAACTCTAATCGTCTATCCCAGCAATCCCCAGTTACAATTTCGTTCTTCCTCCACCCAGCAGTAGCAGAGGCGCTGCGAGTTGCAAGCCGAGCTCGCCCAACCTCCAAGCTATCCATCCTCCCGCCCCAAGCTCTCCATCTCCGGCTCCAAGCTCGCCGAACCTCCACCCACCACCCATATTTCCGGCTCCTACCCAACAAATCCAAACTATTTCTAGGCTCCAGACTTTCGTTCTACGTCCTTCACCTCCAAAAATCCTTCTCTTTTCAATCGTGAGCAGGGTAGGGGAGCAACAAGCCAGCAACACAAAATTACTTTGTTTGACATCATCAATCTTTAACAACAAGGTAAAATCTATGTTTTAATTTCAATTACTTGAAAATTTTATTATTTGTGTTAATTTAGGGTTAGGTTTGTGTGTTTGTTATACTCAATTTCATCTTCAAATTAAGTACATAGACTGAATTAGTCATATAATGAAATTGATTTTCATATTTTCGTTTAGAGTTGACTTTTCTATTACATAGTTGACTTTTTCATGACATGAAGAAGCACCCCCTTGACCAATTTTCTGGCTCCGCCACTGGATCGCCATGCACCATTTCATACGGTCGGTGTAGCGCATCAGCCTAAGTTAATTAGTTCCTAATTGGATCAACTAATTCTGTGCATGCTTTGATAGATTAAACATGTATGTAGATTCGTTGGGATGATTGATTGATGAAAGACAAGGTGGTCGATTTATTATACATATCGTAATACATTTCCTAATTCTTTAATTGATATGTAACTGGAAAATGACCTCTTAAGAAAGAAATGGGAGTGGGGCAACTAAACTTAGAGACGTCAGCGAATTCGCTTCATCTGTTTGGGTTTTGTCATTACCATAAATATTCTCGGTCTCGGAGACGAATAATAAATTGAAAACTCAAAAATGGTCCCAAAATTTTGAAGATCAAATTAAATTCATCATAAACAACGATTTAATTTGTTAGGAGATCTCTTTGAGAATGAATCATATAGGCTAAATTACACGTTTGGTCACCCAAATTATATAAATCTTTCATGTTTGCATTTCAAATCACTTTCCTTTCTTATTCGCCACTAACTTTACCAATCTTTTCACAATTAGTCACTGGCCGTTACACTCCGTTAAATTTGTCCCACGTGGCAGTCAACTATAAAGTTTGACCGTTAACTAGATGATGTGGAAATTAAAAAAATTAAAAATTAAAAAAATTAAAATGTATTTTTACACCTCATCATTAGGGAGTGCAGGACAGCAGGAGGCGGTGGAAGTGGTCGATCCCGGCGACGAGGGTGATGCAACAGGGTCGGGCTCCAAGTAGATTCTGAGCGTCGGATCTATCTACTCCTCCCACCATTCTTTTCCAAGTTTCTATTTCTCCCTTCCCTTCCCTGCGAGCGATCAAAGCTAAAGCTAAGAAGACAATCCCGCTTTCCTCTATTACCCACCATCTCTTCTCATCGATCTTTTCGTCTGCACGATTTTTCTTTTGTCTTTTCGCATCGTCTTCTCGATCACCTCATCACTATTTCTTTCTCCGTCTTCCACTCCACAATTTCAAATCCCTAGACCCAATCCATCCATTCATGTCTTTCTTCACATGCCCCTTCCGCATATTAGATCTACCAATCTCACCTTCGTTCTCCCTCTGAAAAACCCACCTCTTAGCTCTCTCTCTCCCCCCCCCCTCTCTCTCTCTCTCTCTCTCTCTCTCTCTCTCTCTCTCTCTCTCTCTCTCTCTCTCTCTCTCTCTCTCTCTCTTCTCCTCTGGGTCTTCCCTATATCTTCTCTATTTCTCCACCCCTTTTGTATCTAAGGAGGGGAAAGCCCAGTTACCCGGGGCATGATAAGCATGACGCTCTCAATTCGCCCAGATCCGACTCCAAGAATCTACACGGAGCCCGACCCATCATGCTGCTCAGCCGCTGGGATCGACCACTTCCACCGCATCCCGGCCATCAGAATACCAATAATAATTCATTTTCTTCATTCTCTCCTTAAGGAATGAAATAAATCAATCCCAAAGTAGACAATGTGGAATCTATGAGGTAATTACGCTCAATCAGTTTATGCCAGTTTGTTTATAAAATCATAACCAAGATCTTGGCTGAACAATTATCTTGCCTCTTACCTCATATCGTCTCGGCGGCCCAAAATGCGTTTATCCGGGAGCACCAAATTGTTGAGAATATTCTCCTAGGGCACGAGTTAATGCATTACTTGGAAATCAAAAAGCAAGGAAAGAAAGGGTATATGGCTCTAAATGTTGACATAGAAAAAGGCCTATGATAGAGTCGAATGGCCGTTTCTTCTTGCGATTTTGAACAAGATGGGTTTTAACTCAGTCTGGCAGGGTTGGTACATGAATGCCTCCGATCTTCGTCCTTTTCTGTGTTGATGAACGGTACTCCGGCAGGGTACTTCACGCCATCCAGGGGCTTACGCCAAGGGGATCCTCTATCCCCTCTTTTGTTTGTGCTCTGCACAGAGGGGTTTGCGGCTCTCCTGCGTAAGGCTATCTCGGAAAATCGGCTCGCAAGGGTTAAAGTGGCTCCTTGTGCCCCCCAGATCTTGCACTTTTTTTTTTGCCGATGATTCTTATCTTTTCCTGCGTGGCACGTTCCAGGAATGTGAGAATTTGATTGAGGTACTGAATGAGTACAAGGAGCTTAGTGGCCAGCGAGTGAATCTGGCAAAATCAGCGATTTTCTTCAGTAAAAATATTGCTTTGCCTGACCAAGAATTCTTAGCTACGATTCTGGGAATTGGAGCGGTAGGGGTGCATGATAAGTACCTGAGACTCCCTACTTTTATTGCTCGTTCTAAAATGGAGACTTTTCGGTACTCGGAGGAGAAACTGTTGGAGAGGTTACAGGGATGGAAGCAGAGACATTGTCTTGGGCAGCTAAGGAGACTCTGATTAAGTCCATTGCTTTGGCTTTACCGCTGCATGTGATGTCCTATTTCAAAATGCCTCTCTCTGTGTCACCTATTGGATAAACATGTAGCCCGCTTCTGGTGGGGTGATAATGAGAGTCATTCGAGAATTAGGTGGATGTCTTGGCGAGACATGTGTAGGAGTAAGCATGATGGGGGATGGGATTCCGTCGGTTTGAGCATTTCAATCAGACTCTTTTAGTCAAGATTGGCTGGCGTATCCTTTTTGAACCCCATTCTCTTCTTGCCCAAGTCTATAAGGGAAAGTATTTCCCATCTAGTCACTTCCTAAATGCTAAAGCTCGCTCTCGCCCGTCTTGGGGTTGGCAAAGCATCTTGTATGATCGGGAATTATTGGAGATGGGACTAAGATGGCAAATTGGGAATGGGCGTTCGGCCTCTCTGCTCCGATCCCCCTGGATACCTCAGCTACAGCTTGATCCCCCGCGATACAATCCATTCTACCGGAGGGGGGGTGATCCAACAGTAGCAGAGTTGATTTGTCAAGGGGAGGGGCATTGGTGTGATCTCAAACTCAGCCAGTGGTTTGATCCACCTACTTGTCGTATTATAAAAATTATTCCCCTTCCGCGGTAGAATCTAGAGGATAGGATGATCTGACATGATACACCGGACGGGGTGTTCTCGGTTAAGTCAACCTATCATTTGGCCGTCTTCCTAGATAAGAGAAAGGGTCAGTGTAAGGCGACGGCTAGTTGGATGGATAAGCCCAGTTGGATTCGTATGTGGGAGGCTAATATCCCCCAAACTTAAGGTATTTGTTTGGCAGATACTCAATCGAATCCTGCCCACCACGGAAGCCCTTATTGGTAGAAAAATTCCGGTACTTCCACGATATCTGGTTTGCTGGGGTGGTACGGAAACTATGGGACATTTGTTTCTTGATTGTCCGATGGTGCGTGCCCTTTGGTGATATTTGGGGCTGGAATACTTAGGGGAGGGGTTGCCTTGACATACTTTCCCTCTGTTTCTTAAACGATTAATGGCTTTAATCCAGCAGCCGACGCTTCTCATGGCAGTTGTAGCCGTCCTGTGGCGCATCTGGCGGTCTCCTGATTGGGTGGTATTTGAAAGCAAGCAGTTTGGGTTCTCTGCGTTGATGCGACAGTTTTCCCAGCAATATGAGGAATAAGTGGGGTTGCTGGTGATGCGTCCCCTCAGCCCTTTTTCCCTGGTTACAACAACAAGGGCTGTTGAGTCCTGCTGGGGTTGTTTGTCAATGGGACGGGGCTACTAGGAAGGGATCTCATTCGGCGGGAGGGTTGGTTCTTATGACTCCGACTCGAGATGTTCTTATGGTTAAAGGGGTTCAATTCCATGTGATTGATGACCCAATGGTGGTGGAGCTGCTTGTGTTCCGTGAGGCTATTCTTTGGTGTCTGGGTCATCAGTCATGGATTCACGGAGATAAGATTCGAAGGGGATGCCAAGGGGATCAATGATCATCGACAAAATCAAACGAGCTGATGCAAGAGATAACCGGATGGGTGCTATTCTAGAAGAAATTTTGCAATATTTTGGCAGTAACCCCGGGTTTAGCGTTCGATTTATAGGTCGGAGTAGTAACAGGGTAGTCCATATGATGGCTAGAAAGGCTCTCTCTTTGTACTCGACTATGAGTCGATTCTTCGATTTTTAGTCCTGACTGCTATCCAGGATGTAACTATCTTTGTTTGGAATTTATCTTTTGAAAAAAAAAATTCAAAATCTTTGTCCAAGCTGTTCCATTCCATCGGTACTTTTGTTATAAGGTCGTCATTTTTCTCTGTAGTAATTAAGGAAAAAAGAAACAAAGAAGCTAGCTGCAGTTAGGAAATGGGACTTAAAACTGAAAGTAAGCTAAGCGGGCCGGCCATAATTTGGATTATGCACGTTTTGTCTTGATAATAAGGGAAAGGTCCATGGAGGAATCAAATTCAAAGCTTCCAAGGAATCTCTATCTCATGCATAAAGGTAAAGAGATCACTACATATACCAATAATTCTTCTACTGCCAATTAATATATATATATATATATATATATATATATATATATATATATATATATATATATATATATATATATATATAATTAAGCGGGCCACGATTTAATTTGGATTATGTTTTGTCTCCTGCTTCCATTCCATGGCCTTGTTTGAAGGCCTCTACGGGAAAGAAACAATTAGGTAAGGGGTTTGACTATATATTAGAATCAAATTTCCTTCCTTGTTGTGTTTGACTTTTGAGTAGCGGTGGAGCTATATATAAGAAGATTGGTAACAAATTTCGAGCACGAGCGTTCCAAGACTTTGCATGCCACATGCAATGCAAGCTAAGCTTGGCCAAACTACCAGCCGTCCGTCCATGGCTAGGCTACTTTCAAGTAACATCCAAAAAACTATTCGCAGAAAAGTAAAGCAAACTCCGCCTGCAGCAATGGGAAATAAAAAGGAAACAAGGAATTAATTATATAAAGCATATATAGCAGCATCCTTTTCTTTTTTGGGATATTAGGTTGAATTCGCATTTTCACGAGCTCGATCAGAAGAGAATATATAGGGCTCAGTGACATGTTTATTTAGTTAGCGGTATAAAAGATTTTCCCCTATTACCATTAATCAACCTAGCTAGCTAGCTAATTTATGTTTCTCACATGGATTGGACAGTACTTTGGTTGTCACGCCAGCCGGCGTGCCACCGGTTGAACCTGGTTCAATCGATACCAGTCATAAAACTGGCGTGACACCATCGATATGACTGGCATGATCAATCTACGAATCTCTGAGTAAAATAACATTATCTTAGTGAATTTAATTTATAAAAATTAATTTATTATTTATTTTATGAGTTTAAAAGTTAAATGTTGATGTTATTTGTTGGATTCAAGTATAAATGTTTAGGTTTTGATTTAAATGTCGTGTTTAAATATGAGTATTTGTAAATTTATTTGTAATTTTAACCGACATGAACCGGCACAAACCGATATGTACCACTGGTTGAACCATTCCACTTGCTAAACCGGCACACTGGTATAAACCGGTTTGACAACCTTGAGTACGTACGTTCCTCTACACTCCACAAATCTTCCCTGCTCCCGCCTAATTTCACTCATCAAAGTCACCAGATCAACAAGCAATTCTTATTCTTTTTGCTAACATGATAGAAATTCCTTACATGCCAACATGATAGAAATTCCTTACATGCCGCCACAAATTGCGACTCTCTCGTGTACAAGTTCAAGAAAATTATACAGACAAAAGAACACGACTCTATCAATAGACACCACAAGATAATACAAAAGTGACAACATGACCAATTTATAAATGATAAGACCTTTATAATAAAAACATATATGTGGCTCTATCAATCTCATCAAACCGTTAATCAATTGCAGTTCATATTTTTCACAATCACACCAAAAAATTTCCCCTACTCGCCTAATTAATTCAATCGTCAAAGTTGTTAATAACTGATAGATGATCCATAATTGAACCTCTTGCAACAAGTCGAGTTATTAGCATAATATTAAACATTTATGTGTGATGTTTTATTTGGAATTTGATAACCATATTTATTAAACACATCAGATTCAAACATATACATACATAATATTAAACTCACAAGAGAAACAAGCCGTTGTTGTTCTTTTACAATGCGTGATGAGAGAGAGATACAATTTACCCAAAATTAATATTAAACCGATGGATGGGATCGGATATATGGAGAAGGGAGAAAACGGTGGCCTTCAATTCAATTTTAGGGAGGGGTGCTTATAGTTATTGTACACACGGCTCTGCCTGCCTCATTACGTTGTGTTTGGAATTTCGGCCCTTTGCATGTGATGAATGATGATATCATTTCCACAACGGAATTGAAATTTTCCCAAATATATAATTTTGGCCACACCCAGACCCAGCTGTGTGAAGCCAAGCACCAACGAGAATTAACCTGCATCCATCGAATCTTCACCCAACCAAAAATAAATGTTTGCTGTAGTGAGTGGTAGGTGACTGCAATTCCCATTTACTTATTTAATTTACTCCCGTTAAACCCCCAGTGACAGTGAAGTGATTATTACTCTATGAATTACACACCAATTTTAGGTATATCCTAGGGCCAGACGTCCACAATAGCCACAGCTTGTATATTATGCAGATTCCATTATAAAAAAAAGTGAGATTCAAAAATTAAAAAAACAAACTTCTAAACAATAATAATTTGTGGTTTAACGAACAAGTTCGTATTTTGCAAAGTATTTGTTAGGATCATGCATGATACTTGTAAAGGTATCATTAGTCCCAACAAGATTGAAATTGACACCCAGATTAAATAATGCACTGGTCAATTAAATTTTTTTTTTCTTTAATCCTTCAAAATAGTGAATTAGACTTTTCCTAAATTTGTTACTTTGTTTGTTTGTTCTTCCAATTCCGAAAGGGGCAATATTGGAAATTAAGGGAGGCGGCCAGGAAGAGAGTGGGGGGAAAGGAAAATTGAGCTGCATGAGGGACACGCATATAGAGAGAGGCAGAGACACCGCAATACAGAGGCCGACGCTTGGCGGGTGTAATGTAAGTAACCATTCTCTACCAATTGTTCACCGTCGTCACCCCTCCTCGCCTCCATCCCTTCTTCTTTCTTCTCTCTTTAATCTATTCTATGGCCTTCTTTCTAGTTCGAATCTAGCTATAGCTGCTCTCAACTAGACTTAACTAACTTCTAAAGCGAGAGAAAAAGAAACGGTCCAAAAGAATGAGAGAGGAGGTGAAGAGGTTCTGCAGCTCTGCATGTAGGCTCTCTTCTTCTTCTTCTTCTTCCTGTTCATCCAACTCAACGAGACTGCTGTGGGTTTTGGTCCCCTTGATTCTGGTCTCCGGCCTGCTCTCCAATTTCGGCCCCACCCTCCCCGCCTTGCACTTCTTGTCAGCTTCTTCCCCTGCCAATGAGACCGCTAGTAGCAGGGGAGGAGGGATGGTGGTTGTCGGCGGCGGAGGGGAAGAGAAGAAAGCAATCTCCGACGAGTTACCTCTCCTCAATCGGTCATCTTCCCCGCCGGTTTCCGTCCGTGAGGTTCTTGATTTCCAGGTCCAACAACCATCGGTGAGTAGTCACTTCTAGTCTAGACCCCTTTTCTCTCTTCTTTTTCTTTCACTAAGCTGATTTTGGATCTCTCTGTTTCCGTTGTTCATCCATGCAAAGGAATAATTAATCTGAACACACTTTCTTTCTAGAGGTGATTTTTTTTATTACTCTCGAATTGATGGTTTTGGGTCTCAAGAAACGTTCGAATTCGATGCTTTCATCCAAGTTTTGCAGTTTGCATCTACTGTTCCATTCCATTCCATTACTCTAACTGATACTCCCAGGCCAGCCCAGGCCTTCTTCCCTCCTACCCTGTTTTCCCCCCCACGGCGTCCGTTAAAGAAAGAAACGTTTCTTTTTGTTGTGGGAGACAAGAAGGAAGCGTAGTCTAAACGTCTTCTCATGGCATGGCAAACCAAACCAAGCCAAGACTGTTGTTTTGTTATTTGTCTTGGAAACCCTCAAGTTTCTTGATTTCTTTCTCTCTTTCCCTTTCTTCCTTGTGATTTGATCCCCTGCAGTTAAATGAATTGATATTTTGACCGCTGCCTGCAATTATAATTTGTTACAGAACGGAACAGAGGACGAAGACGTGGATTTGGAATTCTTGACAGCCTCCGGTCCGGCGGCTTCCCCGGCGCCTGGTGCGGACTCTGAAGCAGTGAACGGAACTCTGGATCTCCAGTTGGGGAAGAGGCGGCGGAAGGAGATTACCAATTTAGACAAGGTGGAAGCTGGCCTACAACAGGCTCGTCTTGCAATTAAGGAGGCCAAATATGGAAACCAAACCCTTGAGGATTCTGACTATGTCCCCGCTGGCCCTATGTATTGGAACGCCGGAGCTTTCCACAGGTATCCTATAAAATCACCATCTTAATTATATTAATCCCCATTAATAACGATAACCAAACAGATTAATGACTTCAATCAGTGGCTGTTTCATTACGTACAGGAGCTACAGAGAGATGGAGAAGCAGTTCAAGGTATTTGTTTATGAAGAAGGGGAGCCTCCTGTGTTTCACAACGGTCCTTGCAAGAGCATTTACTCCATGGAAGGGAACTTCATCCATAGAATGGAGATCGACCCTCAGTTTCGTACCAGAGACCCCGAGAAGGCCCATGTCTTCTTCCTTCCATTCAGCGTCGCCATGTTGGTTCAGTTCGTCTACATACGGGACTCCCACGACTTTGGTCCCATTAGGAGGACCGTGACCGACTATGTAGACCGTGTCGCGGAGAAGTACCCTTACTGGAATCGAAGCCTTGGCGCCGATCATTTCATGCTCGCCTGTCACGATTGGGTCAGTCAGTGCCTTTAGACCTTGAAACAGATGATACGTACTAAGGCTTTCATTTTTCTCGATGATCTTCAAACAGTACCAATCTGAGATTCCGGTCAATTTGCAGGGGCCGGAGACATCATTCTCAGTTCCACTCCTCGGCAAGAACTCGATCCGCGCACTATGTAACGCCAACACCTCCGAGCGATTCAACCCTGTCAAGGATGTGTCCTTCCCGGAGATCAACCTGCGAACTGGGACTACCAACGGCTTCATCGGAGGCCCCTCTCCTTCAAAACGTTCCATCCTTGCCTTCTTTGCTGGAGGTGTCCACGGTCCCATTCGCCCCGTTCTTCTCAACCACTGGGAGAACAAGAAGGACCCCGACATCCGAGTCCACCAGTACCTCCCCAAGGGCATCTCATACTACGACATGATGAGGCAGAGCAAGTTCTGCCTCTGCCCCAGCGGGTACGAGGTTGCCAGCCCTAGAGTCGTCGAGGCCATCTACGCTGGCTGTGTGCCGGTACTAATCTCGGACCACTACGTCCCGCCATTTAGCGATGTGCTGAACTGGAAGTCGTTCTCGGTGGAGGTTCCGGTGGGAGAGATACCGAATCTGAAGAGGATACTGGAAGGGATATCGTCCAGGCAGTATATAAGGATGCAAAGGAGGGTGCTGCAGGTGAGGAAGCACTTCGAGGTGAATTCGCCGCCGAGGCGGTATGATGTTTTCCACATGATATTGCATTCGATTTGGTTGAGGAGGTTGAATGTGAGGATCCAGGGTGGCGAATTCGCTATCACCAGATGATGATAATGAATTCGATCGTCTTCTTATCAAGATTTTGGTTTCTATGTAGAAAGTGTAAATGTTAATTTGGTGAAAGAATGGAAGCATAATGTATCATGAGTTATGTAGTATTGCTTCAAGCATTGTTCTATTAATCATTGTGAAAGGTTATATGCAACCAAGGTATCAATACAACATCACAGTCGTGTGTTCTAGTCTTGGAATTCAAAATCAAAGGCTTCAACGAAGCAGTACGATTTAATACTCGTATTCTCTGCATAGCAATGTGACCTAACGAGGGTGTGTTGTAAGCCACAATGGCACACACTTCTCGTCTATTAAGAGTGTATTTTATTAGTTATAACTAGCAAAAGCCTGTTTGCTATCGCTTCGCGTATTAGAAAATAAATATTAGAAATAACAATAGAAATAACAAAATAAATATTAGAAATAACAATAGAAATAACAATAGTTTTAGAAAATAAATATTAGAAATAACAATAGTTTTAATGTTGATCCAAAAGTAGAAAATAAATATTTTAAATAATAATAGTTTTAATATTGATCCAAAAGTGAAAGTAATCTTATTTCATTCCTAATTATTCTTTCCATAGGTTTGTTATTTATAATAGCATATGGTCGATTAACTTGCATAAGGTAGAAGGATCATCGAATAGATTATTTATGTTTAAACTTCATTAATGACGCTAACGTTTCAATTTGTATGACTAGAAGTTGATCCCGTCGTAACTTTTGTAGAATGAAGCAGCTTTTCGAGATCTTTTCAAAAAGTATTTTAAAAAAACTGTTGACTGTTTAGCTGAAAAACTATCAGAATTACTTCTAATATAAGAAGTAATGGAAAATGACTAAAAAGGATTTCTAACATAAAATATCAATACAAATTCTAAAAACAAAAAAGTATTTAAAATGGATCACGTTAGATTTATTTCACATTAAATGATAATATTTTTCAATTTCTAACATAAAATATCAAGACAAATTCTAAAAATAAAAAAGTATTTAAAATGGATCACGTTAAATTTATTTCACATTGGATGATAATATTTTTCAATTTTTTTTATAATTATATAAATGAAAGAAAATTGTGTTTTCTAGAAAAGTAATAATATATGGTAGTGGTACGCTACCAATAGCGTACCACTACCACTGATAGCATTACTAGTATGCTACCGCTGCTCACTGGTACGTACTAGTGACTAGTGATAGTTTTTGCGTAATAGTAGTGTTAGTGGTACACTACCACTACCATGTACCAAATGGTAGTGGTACCAAATGATAGTGGTACGCTACCACTACCAGGTACCAGATGGTACTAGTACCAAATGGTACTAGTACCAAATGGTATTGGTACGCTACCACTAGCTCTGGACTGGTACCAAATGGTACTGGTACGCGTACCACTAGCGCACTGACGGAGTGATAATTTTTTACAGGTGCCCGGAGCGAGTCTGATTCAAGGATTTCGCCGGAGAAAGTCTGTCGGTCGAAAAGTCAGCCGGTCAGAGTAGAGTGGCTACTGGAAAAGAAAAAGAGAGATAGAAAGAGAGAGTTGTATTTATTGTAGGATTTAAATTCTTAAAAAAACATGTATTTAATATGAGTTTTTAATTCCCAATTTATAATTTATACAAAAAATTAATTAATAAAATCGTTTTTTTGTCATGCCCAAAATGCCTTGGTTGTGAACAATGGTTCTGAGTTCAATTGTCATCCTTAACTAAAAGGAAAATGAGAAATAAAAAAATATTAAAGCGTACAAAACTCACTTTCGATCTAAAACTGGTCAACAACGTGTTCAACTCGTTTTGAACAATTTTTTAACAAATTAGCGCTTGTTCCGACCTGCCAACTAGAAAAGTGGATAAAGCTCGCTCACAATACAACACTCGTCAATACCTTAGATTCGGGTTCAATTGTCTTCCCAACCAAAAGAAGAAAAAAAGAGAAATTTATAAATGCTAAAGTCGATTTCAAGTCGTTTGACCAGATCGAATAAGGCTGGATATCCATAGATTTGGTTTCAATTGTGATCATGCTCAATAAAAAAGGAAAAGTGAAAGAAAAAACACTAAAGCGGATGAAACTCGGTCCCGATACAAAACTCAACAACATTGAGTAGATATAGTATGGATTTTCGGTAGTGACTTTGGGAAATGGTTGAGGGGGACAACTTAGGATTCTGTTGACAGTATTTTGAGAAGGTTGTGAATTGGTGAGCGATGTTGAGGATTGGACAAAGTATATCTAGTATTGATTTTTGGTCGCGACCATGGCAAACAGTGGAAGAGGTCAACTCAGGATTCCACCGACAATGTTTCGAGTTGGGTTGCGAAATGGTGCAAAAAGTGGATTGTTGTTGCAATAGGGAGCTGAAAACCTAGTAGACAATAATTATTATGGGAAACACAATGGACAATAGATGTAAACCTCACGAACACCCATGTGTTTGGGTTCAAGTTAGGATACCCATGTGTTTGGGTTCAAATTTGATCATGCTCAACAAAAAGGAAAAAGAGAAAGAAAAAAACACTAAAGAGGATGAAACTCGGTCCATTTCTAAAACTCGTGGTAGCGGCCTTGGGAAACGATGGTGGGGAACAACTTAGGATTCCGCCGACAGTATTTCGAGATGGGCTTCAAAATGGTGGGGAAAGACGATGATTTGTGTTCAAGTTAGGATACCCATGACATTTGGGTTCAATTGTGATCATGCTCAACAAAAAGGAAAAAGAGAAAGAAAAAAAAACTGAAGAGGATGAAACTCGGTCCCGATACAAAACTAGTGGTAACGGCCTTGGAAAACGATGATGGGAAACAACTTAGGATTCCGCCGACAATATTTCGAGATGGGTTGCAAAATGGTGGGCAAAGACGATGATTTGTGTTCAAGTTAGGATACCCATGTGTTTGGGTTCAATTGTGATCATGCTCAACAAAAAGAAACTCGTTCCCGATACAAAACTCATGGTAATGCCCTTGGGCAACGGTGGTGGGGAACAACTTACGATTCCGCCGACAGTATTTCGAGATGGGCTGCAAAATGATGAGCAAAGACGATGATTTGTGCAAGAAGCCATAAACGAAAACCTAGCGAACAATAACTAAACACAAAGGCGATGATTTGTGAAAAATGTCATAGATGAAAACCTAGTGAACAATAACTAAACACAATGGTTGTAGAATGGAGAGTGAGGTAAACCCGTAAAAGAAGGATTTGGAACTTCTCCACTTGCATTTTGAGAAATGTGAGAGCCACTAATGAATAGTAACTTACAACTTTGACTTTTGTATATTGATTAATTAATTAATAATTAATATATTAATGACATGTTGTAGATGTCTAGCAGTATCAAGGTAACATGGTGACCTAGTAAGTAGTAATCGGTGGTGGTGGAGCCTTCTTAGTAGGGGTGGAAGTTTGGTTTGCGGATTGCAGATAATCCGCAAACCGCACTACATTGTGGGTAATCATACCCACAATTTGTGGAAAGTAGGTTGGGTGTGGGTAGCAAAATATTAATTTTTATGGTTAGCGGTTAACTACTATCCACAACGGTTAACCCACAAAACCCACAATAACCACACTAAGTATATTTAATATAATAATTTGTAATATTAAAATATGTGTAGAATGCTACAAATTAAAGTAGGCTCCAAAATCGAATATGTACTTATTTTATAAAACAAAACCAAGTCAATACACCGTGTTCGTATTAGATAATACTTATATTAAATAAGCATTGTCGACGTGGTATGTGTTTATTTTATAACAAAGTCAATAAATTTGGTTTATAGTTTATTTAATACTTTATTAACTTTCTTTTATATAGGTTTTTGTTTTTGTGTAAGAAGACGTTAATTCCATAACTAGGGAGAGAATTCCATTTATCCCTAAAATATTCGAATCAAAAAGCAAATGAGTCATGCTGCTGATAAAGATGCTATGTATATTTAGATTAGATCCCCTCCAACCCAAACTCGTTATCAATATGCATTTCCTAAAGAAAGTGAAGTAAACCGAGGAGAGGGAGGTTGACTACTTAGGAGGTTTCGAATACCAGATCCTTGCTCATTCCATGTCCTGGGCTTCTTTACTTATTTTTAACTCAATGTGTGTTTTTTTCGTCACTGACCGATAGATTTATAATATACGAATCCGAAGGGTGAAGGAACGATAATTTTTATGGGTATCCACATCCAACCCGCACCAACCCGCAGTGGTTATTGGTTAACCACTACCCACTGCGGGACGGGTTGTGGGTAGCATAATTCTATTTTTGTGGGTGTGGTTACCCGCAAAATGTGGGGCGAGTAACCACACCCACCCCAATTTCCACCCCTACTTCTTCGCATGCAATACAATGAAAAAATTGTATACAAAAATGGAATAGCCTTGACTTATATAGATAGTACGACAGAAAAATGATGCGATATGGTCCATATTGGATCATGCATATGGTTTATGATCCAGACCGAGAAACTGAAATATAGATCAGAGATCATACCAAATATTACACGGTCCATACTAGACTACGCCAGCACAGTCTAGTTCATGCATACCACATTGAGTAAAAAATGAACAACTCGTTTAGTCAATCAAACAAAAATGCGAACCAATAAAAAGTAAAAACATTAATTTCAACACTTATGCATAATTTTGATACCATAAATCAAAGTAAATAACATTATAACAAAAACAAAATATGAGAGCACCCCAAACTTGCACCATAATGTGATAGGGGAAGTGGGAGACACAATTCTCTCTACTCTGTGGCTGTGTCTTGTTTATAAATGGAGGAGGGGACGAGTCACGCAAAATTAGAGTTGAGACTTGTGTCTCATTGAGGAGTTGAGAGAATGGTTTAGTGAAAGGCTAACAACAATAGGGAATGGGACTGAGTCCACGGTTTGGTCCGGTAAACTTTGTCCAAGATGGATAAAATTATATTTTTTTGTCATTAGATCACTCTTCAAAATAGGAAATCGTTCAGATACAATGAAACGAACATCATTGAAACCCCTGGGAGGCGACAAGAACAGAGCATGACGGGCCATACAATGAGTCACTCTGTTTCTAACCCTACCACTGAACATCAACCGACAAGAACCCAAGTCTTCCGATAGAGATAATTTCCTTGAGAATAGAACCAATCTTGTTGTCTACTGTATCCCTTCCAATGAATTTGTCGATGACGATTTTGGTATCTCCGGAAATGGTAATCTCCGTTAGCCCACGCCTACAACATTCGACAATGCAGTCCCGTTGTGCCAAAACTTCCAGAACGTAAGGATCGGAGATTGCATCGTAACGCGTAGCTGATGCTCCAAGAACAACTCTTGACTCATCAAAGAGAACCACACTTGTAGTACTATATCCTGTAGATGACGTCCCAGCGTCAAAAGTAACAGAAAACCCTTGTACCACATTACTAGTCTGCACCGACGGGAATCACGATGCAGTTGCTTTGATTGAAAAACAACCATGCATCTATTCTAAACGATTTCCTATTTTGAAGAGTGATGGAATACCGAATGAACCCTGCAAAAAATTGTCACTCAGAATCCCACCACAATTCCTGCAAATCAAGAAGCCACCAAAATTTCTTCGCAACCAACCAGGAAAAGAACAAATGTTCAATCGTTTCTTCATTACGACCACAAACTGGACAGATGGGATAAAATTGTAATCGGCAAATTGCAATATGTGTGATTCATGGTATTCATTTCACATTTCTCTATCTTATGCTGATCTATTCAGTCGAAGTTAAAACAGAAAGCCCATACCATCTTACGCAAGAAAAGCCCATACCAATAAGCCCATACCAGACTCGTGCCTTTCAGGGGAAACTGGAAAGAAGACCCGACTCCGTCAGCCGTCAGTGGAAGTCCCTGCTAAGAATTAAACTCGAGGTTGGAGGACACGTGTGGCGCCGTTACGCATCCCGTCATCCAAACTCACCGCCACAACCCCAGTCCGCTCACATCCCTAAATCGCCCGGCGGTGCCAGCAATTCCTAGAGGACCACGTGTCTACTCGTCGTACTCCCACCGACGCGTGTCAAGTGCAGTTCTTGAAATCCTCTAGCGTTATAAACCGAAGAACGGAAGAAGACAATCCATTGCAAATACGAACCGGCGTTTACATCCAAAGCACAAAACAAAAAATTATCTTACGCCTTTTTACATCGTTCTGTAATTTTTTTTTTCCGGGAGAAGAGAGATATGGCGTCCGACCAGGAGAAGATGGAGAGAGCGGAGGCTGCTGCGTGGCAGGCGGCCTACGATTTGAGGGACGTCAACCGGCAGAGAGAATACGAGGAGCGAGCTAAGTCGATGGAATCGAACAAGGTTCCCCCGGCATTGGACAGAGGTGAGAATCCAGGATCCGGGGCACAGGACCGGCCGGGATTGATCGGGTCCATGTTCCGTGCGGTGGCGGATACTGTCGGCCACAGCAAGGACGCCGTGGTGGGCAAGGGCCATGAAGCAGCTGAGAAGACGAAGGACGCCGCTGGGCAGAAGATGGAGTCAGCTAAAGAGACGGCGAAGGGGAAGGCTGGGGAAGTGGCGGAGATGGCTAAAGATACGAAAGAAGCGGCCAAGGGGAAGGCAGCGGAGAGCATGGATAAGGTGGCTGATCGGGCGAAGGATGCTGATTACGCTTCGGCGCCGGTGGTGACATTGGACAGAGACGATCACGATCGTCCAGCAGTTGCCGGTGATCGTCCGGGGGTGATTAGCTCGATGTTCCGTGCGGTTGCCGACACAGTCGGACACGCTAAGGATGCTGCGGTAGGGAAGGGCCAGGAGGCGACGGAGAAAACTAACTCTGCTGCCGAAATGGCAGGTGAGAAGGCCAAGGCCGGAGAAGTGATCGATACGGCTAGAGATAAGAAGGAAGGTGTGAAGGAGAAAGCAGGGGAGTATGTTGATTTTGCTGCCAATAAGGCAGGGGAGACTAAAGATGCAGCCAAGGGGAAGGCAGAGGAGTACAGGAATTATGCCGCCGACAAGGCAGGGGAGACCAAAGATGCAGCCAAAGGGAAGGCAGAGGAGGAGTACAAGAAGTACACCGCCGACAAGGCCAGGGAGGCCAATGATAAAGCGTGGGAGACGAAAGAGGCTGCAAAGGGGAAGGCGGAGGAGTACAAGAATTATGCGGCCGAGAAAGCCGGGCAGACCAAGGACTACACAGTTGAGAAAGCGAGGGAAGCCAAGGACTACACTGCCGCCGACAAGGCTAACGAGGCAGCGGATAAGGCGATTAAGACCAAGCAAGGGTCGGAGACTGCCGGAAGCAAGTTAGGGGATGTGGCGAGGGCGGCTATGGATTTCTTGTCTGGCAAGAACGAGCAAGTTAAGGACAAGGCTGAAGAAACCGCACAAATAACAAAGGTAATTAGTTAAAGAAGCTCCACATCTTTTTTGTTATTGTTGTTACAGTAGATTTAATTAATTGTGTGATGTTGATTAAATGGTTGACCGATTCAGGAGAAAATGAGGGAGGCCGAGGAGGAGACAAGGCGAAAAGTGGAGGAGCTGAAGCTTCAGGATGAAGCTGAAAAGGCAGACTATCAACACAGGAAGGAGGAGGCTGAGAGGTTGGTTATCAAGTATTGGCGGGAAAGATTAGAGTTTATGATTTCTTTCTGCATTAGAATGTTGAAGATGGTAATTGATTGTGGAATTTCAGGGGAAGAGCGGCGAGGGACACTATTTACGGTGCGGTTGGGATTGGAACCATCAGTGACTCGATCAGGAGCAAGTTGACTCAGCCAGGGGACGTGGTGGAGGAGACTTTGGCCGCCAGGAAGCGCGGTGGGACCGGAAGAGCGGCCTTGGAGTGAGAAGGAGGTGACGGTGGAGGACACCCGGGCGGGAGTGGACTGGTGGCGTCGGATAAAATGACCGGTCAAACTTTCAACGACGTGGGACGAATGGTATGGATGACGAGGGAGTCGTCCGCGTGCGTGGAGAGAAGTAGAGCCCGTTGGGCCAAGTAAATAATGGGCCTCTTTTGTGATGTTCCATGTTAACCGAACTTTTCTTCAGATGGGCTTTCTTTGTATTGAAATTTTTTCCGTTTGTAATGGTACGGGCCCGAGTAGTTGGGCCCGTGTGCATGCAACAGGTAATCTGTATTCGGAGATGGATATATATTTTTCGAGATGGGCCCGCGTGCAGAAAGGAAAATGGGATGTCTGTTGATAAATTATGGGAACCTCGAATAATATAATGGGCAAATGACAAAAGATTGGTCACTAGAATTACTAAAGAGTTTTACATTTGGTCACTAAAAATATTTAATTTCAATCGTGGTCACTAAAATTACTTAAACAATTTAAGTTTAGTCACTCTCCTTTAACTTCCGTTAGTCTCCGTGTTAATTTTTTGATGACGTGGCTAATAAAAGTGTTAGTCAACCTATTTTAATCCAAAACAATTTATATCTGACCCGCACATCGGATACCCAGTCTAACCTAACCCAACCAATGACCCGAATCCTTCGCCTCCGTCTGAGAAAAAAATCCAGATCCCCAAAACTCTCCTGCCTCCTCGCTATTCTTGATCTCTCTGGTTGGGATTTTCTTCACCCTCTTGGCGACCAGATTGACGGCGATCACCCCCTTCTGGGAGTGGAAGCAAAGAGGAAGACGTTGCCTCTGACAGGGAGGAAGTAGAGGCTCTCCCCTGGGTAGATCAAGGGTCGGATCAGGTCGCCAAAATGGCAAGGAAAAGCATAGCAGTATGCTTCAACTTCACCCATAACTCGAAGCTCCATTCGACCATTCAACGAAGCATCTCTAATCAAATCCGCCGCATCCTCCTGAATCAAGCTCCCGATCGACAGCGACGGTGGCCTCAACTTTCCTCTCGCTGTGTGTTACGAGGGTTCAGGAACCCCTGCTAACCCGCCGCCGCCATCAATTGGGTTTGGGTGAAGTTTGATTCCGAATTCAAAAACACCTTTCTGTGCAATTTGGAGAAATAGCTTGTGTCGTGAAAGTTGACGGGCAATTGAATTACGAAGTAGTTGATTGGGGCTGCAGATCCGAGCTTGCATGCGGGAGGCAGTAGAGGAGCTCTTGCGAAGTAGTTGATTGGGGCCGCTGATACCTGTACAATCGTGTTCCGGAGAAGAAGTCGCTACCGCAACCGCCATTGCCACTGCCGGGATCCCAAACCCCCGCCCCACCCGACGTTGTTCTGAACCCACACCAGCACCGACGAAGCCACTAGAGCGCCTATGTTTACGAACAGGTGGAACTAATTGAAGAAAGAGCCCTTATGGACCTAGGGTCAACTGTGGTGGGGAGCGCGATTGAGAGGTTGGGTTGGGTTAGGTTGAATTGGGGTATCTTACGTGGCGGGTCGGGTTTTTAGTATTTTGGGGTTAAAATTTGGTGACTAGACACTTCTGTTAGCCACATCAGCAAAAAACTAACGTCGTTAACAGAGACTAACGGAAGTTAACGAAGAGTGACCAAATTTGGACTGTTTTAGTAATCTTAGTGACCGTAAATGGAATTAAATATTTTTAGTGACCAAATATGAAACTTTTTAGTAATCTCAGTGACCAAACTTGTCATTTACCCATAATATAATTGACAAGGTTCTCTTCTCCCCTTGTGCTTCTTGTTTTGTAGTCGTCCTCTCTCTGGCCTCTGCCAACCAGGTGGGCCGTGGGCGTCGGCCCATTTCGTCGTGTTGGGGGGCCGGCTTTGGCCATTCAGAGCCTCATTGGTTTGAAGGCCATGTCTGTTTGTTAATCAATTGTCTTTAGTGGTTTCACAAACATCTAAATCGATTTGAAGGTTCCACGTATATATATATACTAGTGTGGGCCCCGACCAGATGACCGGAGGAATGTGAGGTATGAAATTGAATAATGTAATGAGATGTATAGCTTATTGTTGTATAGTTTTTTTTTTTTGGAAAACACGTGATAAAAATAGTGAATTTTAGTAGGAAAGAGACATGAATGATGCAACGAATCAAAAATCGGCCTTATGAACCAAAATCAAGTACATGTTACCTTGTGAAACAATATTGTTTCTGGTAATATGATGAGGTGGAGTAATTTTTATGAAAACCGAATTCCAGAAAATCGAATAAAAAATCGCATATCCCGTCGGTTTTCGGGAAATGAGCATCTCACAATCGTTGCTAGCTTTTACTCGGCCTGTTGGCCGATTAATTTGCTTTATAAAACTTTCATCTTGTCGTAATTGGGCTTTCTGGTTTTTGTCATGCCATGATAAAATCTAAGGAATCAAGAACGAACAACACGATTTGGGATAGGAACCGCCGTTGTCGTATCCCTAGAAAATGGTGGTAAACACGGACTCACCTGCCAAACTGGTTTGGATTGAGATTTTTATCGGGTATCAGGGAACCATGTGATTATAAATTAGACTTGATCAAAACGGGCCAAAACTTGAAATTCAGCATGTTTGACCGACCCATGCCAAATTCTAAATATTCTTTACTTTTAAAATTTCTATTCGAAAATATAAAAAAAAGTGAAAGAAAATAGATGACTGCAATTCGCCATTTGCACATCACTTATTCGGGAATAAAACCATAGAAATTCAAAAGGAACTGAAAATATTTGGGATCGTTTTAATGTTTAAAATAACCAAATTGATCTTTCTGTTTAGTTTTTTACTAACAAATATCAAACGATTCCCTATAAAATACACTATAATGTGATCATTATGATATCAAATAATTATATAATATATATTTGAAATGATAAAAATTGGACTAATTGGGTTGGTCGAGGTTGAACCATTGAATAACTTTAAAATACATTATATTTTAGCCACTAAGATATAAAATAATAACATAATATATATTATGCCAGAGAAAATAGCTTGTTTTAGAATGTCAAACCAATGATGTTCATTTGTTTTATTTGATGGCCAAATACCGTGTAGGTCAGGCCCATTCAACTCTTTTAATTTATGGTTAGCGGTTAGCCCATTAGATACCATGCATTAGTTCATTGTTAAATTTTTTATTTTTAGCAATAAAAAGAAGTATTATTTTTCCCTTTTCATATATATTTTATCACCACAAATAAATAAAAGGGCTTAAAGAAAAAAATCGACACTCCTGGACCCGTTCAAATCCGCATGTGTATGGTAAGTTGGCCCGTTCCACAGAGGAAAGAGAAAAAAATTGACACTCCCTATTCTACCCTTCCTACAAACGCTCCTGGAGCAGGGAATTTGAAATGGGGGAACGGTTTTTTCCTCCCTGCTATTATATGTTTTTAATTTAAAAAGATATAACAAATGTACTTAGTGTGATTGGTTACGATCCTTACTTTTCTTTAAAGTGGTCATGGTTTGAATCCCATTATATGTCTTTTTAATGAATAAAAAAAGTAATTGTGAAGACTAAAATGTCCTTCCTACTTTCACTCTTGTTGCAGGAAATTTGAAATGGAGTTTCTGTTTTTCCCTTTGGCGTATTATATTACTAGCTTATAACCCGGCCCATTGGCCGGAATGTTCATATTTGATTATTTATATTTTTATGTTACATTTAAGCCAATCAACCGGTTTAATTTTATTGACAATCCTTCGATCGAGATGATACATAAAGAAAGAATATATAGGTCTAACATTCGGAGAAATACTATCATCATTTAAGAATATAAAATATAAAATGTATCATTAATTCCATTTTCATAATGTTAATTAAGCCCTCGTTAAAATGTTATTGGTTAGTTGGTTTTCAAGAAAGAGGGTATAAAAGATCAGTGAAATTCCACACGACCCATAAATAGTTTGAAACTAAATCTTAAATCTCACAATCCTACATAAGGGTTTAATGCGCTCCTTTTATGAACAACATGCCACTAATAAAAAAGAAATAGAGAGTTGTTGATTTAAGTCAACTATATACTAACAACTAAGCTAAGAGGGGACCATCAAAACTTGAGAGCAAACGACAAAATTAGGGTTATCTCCAACACACTAATAGACTCAATCAAAGTAATAAGGCACAAAATTAGACACTCCTTGTTTATCAGTTCCAGTAGGTTGAATAAAGAATCGACCTACTTCAATAAATCAATCAATGATTCCTCGTTTAAGATAAAAATAGGTTGTGATAGATGTAAAAACCATAAACATAAGATCCAATAGCCACCACTCTTCCTTGTACAGCCAATTTTTATTTATTTATCTCAAGAGACATATTTTCAACCAAAAATTCAATTTCTAATCCTCCTTTTGCAACTCCATTATTTATTAAACTCTTTTACTTTTCCAACTTAAATCCGCAACAATAAAACTGATGTGCCAAGAGATATCGGATGATTGATTTTCAAAGGCGGCCTTGTATTGGGAAGTGAAAGGGGCGCAAACTATTGTACGTTGGAGAGAATTTCCGAGGAAGTTAGAAAGAGATAAGAACAAAGATAAAACCACAAATTTAAATTGAAAAATGCAAGGACGCAACACGTAGTGACAAAATTAGTTTTTTCCATGTTAGCCAATTGCCAATTTACCTTTAGCAAAAATTAAGGAGAGAGAAAGAATTTTAAAATTGAGAAAATTACATGAAACTCTACTATGAAAATTGAAGTATCAAGCACCATAAAAATACATACGGTATACTTAGTGGGCTTGCTAATCATGATGGAAAGTCCTGTGATTTTCAGAGAGTTGAACTTCGTGTATATTTTGTATTAAAAAAGGCACAACAAATTTGTTCCGTATAAATGGTTGTGATTGTTGTCTTTGTTTGAAGAGACCCGGGTTCAAATCTTGATGTTGATATTTTTTATGTGAGATAAATAATTAATTGTAAAGACAAAAATGTCCTTCCTACTTTCACTCTCGTTGCATAAATTTTGAAATGAAAAAAATACACAAAAGTGTACTATATATTATTGGGGGATGTGTAGATTATATTATTATGCCAGGCAGCGGTCTCGATCATCACACGGTGATTTCCACCACTACTGAAATTCATATATTTGGTCCACACAAATTATTCGACGTCAAAACAGGGTTGTCATAGCTAGGTAGGGTCGGTTATTTAGGTGAGAATTTAAGCCTCTGATCAGGAAGTGAAGCATTTGTAGATATGTAATACTTAGGAGGCCATGGATGGATTGTGCGTAACGTACAAAACCAAATTGAAACAACCTTGGTGGCATATGCATACGTTAGGCTAAATGATGGACCACTACTGTCTCGTCTCGTGAACAACTACGGTCACACACATGTCCACAAGTTGAGGATGATCAATGACCCCAGACCATGCATCGAAATTTAGAAGATTGAACTATATTCCTCGTATAAGAGAACTCCGAGGTCAATCGATCCATGACTAGATTCTAATTTTTTATGAGCATTTTTCTTGATTCGATATCGAGTTATATATAGTAAACATCTTAACTTATTATTCGATTGTCGTACTATTCAAATATTTTTTGATATACTGATGATTCTTGTATGACCGTCACTATAAGGCTTTTGAGACCAGTTTGATATGTGCGATTTGGTGAGTTAGGATTAAGTTAATATATCTGCAAGCGAGGGGGAACGGACCGATCGAGTTTTGGATGGCAGGAGGGGTGTACTCAACCCAAGAGCAAGAGGTACCCACCTACCTTACATAGTTACATTTGGGGTACTGGCCGGCCGCCATACCTCATTAGTATTTGCCAAGTTTATCACCATATGTGGGAATCAAATTGGTCACTAAAATTGATTCTTTAAGCTAATGTCGTTACCTATATTATACTAGCATTTTGCCCGGCCAGTTGGCCGGATGTGAGTATTTCGTCATTCATACTACACATCATTGTCTTGATTTTACTATAATCACGATAATTTAAAAAATGAAAGTACAATTTTTTCCCCATTATAATCCCTAATATCATATCAAACACATCTTACCTATTCCTCTTCACTCTTCTCTAAGACTGCCGCCTTCTATTCCCATTCCAAATGTTACCAAGGTTAGAATGAGCCTAAGGTAATGGAGACGAAGGAACGAAGTAGCAAGCTCTTTCATACTTACCCATAAAAAACATTAAGATGCCTTTCTTAGTCCGTTTGAATTTAATTTTAAGTAATCTATCAGCAATGCGAAACGGCTTTGCTCCGTTTCAGTTGGCCATCGATAGATTTTTGAAAAGTAAAAGAACAACGGTTCTTCTATATAGGTATAGCGGGTTGCTCCTCTCTTTTCAATCTCAATCCACACTGTCAGACGGGAGGAGAGCGGGAAAACTCAGTCTATTACAAATCAATACTTGGTTGTTAGGATTTTTTTATTTCTTAGTGTTCCCTACAATGTACTTGTGGGATGTCCATGTTTGCATATAGTTTGGGGCCCGATGGGCGATGAGAATGGGAGGCTGAACTCCTTCATACCATTGCACGCTCTATCTTTCCCAACATAAATGATTGTAATTATCAAGATGACAGGTGCATTCCAGCTGTAGCGCTATTTCATTAAATTGTACTATTGTTCTCACACACAGAGTGACTATGACAAAGTTCCCTCAGTTGTTTGGCGCCTAATTTTAAAGAAAGTAGCAATCCTTTTACAGAAAACCTCCTCTGTGTCATAGCTTGACACAATCCATGAATCGCTTTGCTCGATGGGGGAGTTGTAATTTTGATCGCAGTATGAAGCTATTGGTGTCACGAACAGCAGGGGTGTAGTCGGTATTTTATTGTGGGTGAGTCAATTTTTAAAAAATATACATACAATAAATAGTTTTGTTAACTTTTTAAATCATTCATGATATAATTTTGTATTTACAAAAATTGGCAATTGAAATATATATCAAAACTATAAAAAATATCGCTCCATGTGTATCAAACAATTATTCATGATTTAGTTAGACATTTACTTTTGAATGATGTTCTTTGTCAAGACCGTTTAGTATCGATAAGTCGAGTTGTTGAGAAATATTTAATAATGAATCTAATACTATTTAGTATTTACTACCACTTCCCCCGCGAACCAAAACCAACTTATATTTGGTTAAATTTTTTGCAAATCTCTCGGTCAATCATTATCAATTAGAGGTGCTCAAAATTTCATTCTCAATTAACTATTATACACACTATGAAAAAACTATTATACTAATTTACTCATTTTCGCTGATTGAAATAAAACTATGAGTAAACTATTATACTAATTTACTCATTCTCAAAAAACCACCCGATACACTCTCCCTACCCCTGATTGAAATAAAATTATTTTTAACAATTAGATATGATTTGGTGAAAATTTATTGTAAACGTTGAATAAATACATCTTTAATTTTGGGTGAATCATATGCACCAAATATTTGAAAGATGAACTATTCTTATTTAAACCTAATTTAACCCTCTCCCTCCGCCCCGGAGGGTGTTGTCCGATGATGATGACCCAAATGAGAGGACTGAGCTCCGACCATTGGATTTGCACCCCTCCTTTAGAATCAAATCGGTCTGCTAGGGGCAAGTAGCATTTAATCTTGGCTTCTCCTTTATCCTTTAGCAGGCCTAACTAACGGGCCCAAAGTTGGCAGAGTGAGGCTCGGTTACAACTGATTAATTTCACCATAGTAAAAGTGGCTATTGTCAAAAATATCCCTCCGCAAATTAGGGGCTGCTTCTCGGCAGCTGATGTGGCAAATTGCTCATATACACTCCTGTATATATATTTGTGTTGATATCGAGTTGTAGTAATGAAAAGGCCAAATACACTTGTATAGCCAAAACTTTGACGTTTTTGCCAAATATAGCCACTTTTGGCGAAATACCAGAAATAGCCACTTCCGTCCAATTGTTTGACGATGTTAGTTAACGTGCTGACTGGACTAACAACAGAAGCTGACGTGGCATATTTTATTAAAAAATAATGTTAGGTGGAAAAACAATAATCAAATTAATAAAATGGGGTTTTCACGAAAACAATAAAAACTTTCCCCTTTTGTTTTGAGGAAAAACAATAATCGAATTAATAAAAAAATTATAAAAAATTATCTCTTTATTGAGAACAAATCAATCAACTAAAATGGGGTTTTCAATTTTGGGTTTCCGGGTTTCTCGACCCACTCCGTCCACCTTCTTTTTCCATTTGTCGCTCCCTTCACCTCCTTTAATCCACTCTTCCTTGGCCAATTTTATCGCCACCATTAAAATCCCCAACTCCAATCATCCTAATTTTTGTCCACGATTTTAGTTTCCTCTTCAAATCTCCCCAGTTTTTGAGTGAGGGAGAGGCGAACACTGGGTTTCCAGGTCCAATCCCAGGTCATTCGAGCGGTGGCGGAATTGTTGAATGAAAGGATTTGAAGAAATCGTGGAGCCGGTCTCGATTTTGGAGTCAACGACAATGAAGAGGGAGATCAGTCCACGTCGATTTGCTTCCGATGGCTGGGGCTGTTCAAGATCTGTGAAACCGGAAGCGGCTAGCGGCAACTGCGGAAGGCATAAGAGGAAGGTGATTCGTCGGAGGCGACGCGGACGAAGGGGCGACGTTGGTGAAGCGACTAGCGGCGGCGGCGGAAGGCAAAAGAGGAAAGTGGTTCGTCGGAGGCGATGTTTCATGTAAGGATGGCGCTGAGCTGCGACGACGTGGATGGCGAGGAACAGCGGAGGCGGGGGTGGTGGTTTCTTCTTCTCCTTCGCTCTCTATATTGATTCCCCATTTCTCTTAGGAATTGAGAACTGAAGCGGCATGATGTTGAAGGTAAAAGTTCTGGCTGTGGTCATTTTCAGCTTGTCTGTGGCTGAGTTTCGTTCGTCGAAGAACAAGAACCAGAGAAGACATATCAGATCTGGAGAAGCAGGGTTTGCCGGGCGCTTGGTTCGCCGATCGATAAAATTGTAGGCAGGGAGTTGGATCAGAGAAGATGAAGAAGGGATTAAGAGATGGAGAGTTCATCTCTTTTGTTTTTGTTTATTTATGTAATTAATAAAAAAAAAGATAACACATTTCCAAAGTTTTTGACTACCGGTGTCACTGACGCCATTAAACTATGTAACGGAAATGGCTATTATTGTCATTGAACTTTCAAATTTTTGGCTATTATTGGTATTTCCTCAAAAGTGGTTATTATTGTCACCAGTGCAGTCAAATGCAGTCAAAATCGCGCATTAAAACGTAAAAACTTACGTTTTTACGTATCCAGGCCACCAAAACGTTTCAGTTTCTACCTAAAGTCTCTTAGTCACAAAAATTGGTAAAGACATGGGTAAAATCGGTAAAATCGCGATTCTGAAGCGTTTTTTTTACGATTTTGATCCTCTCATAAAAATGTGCTAATTGGCCCAAAATGATGTAATTTGGAGACGTATCAGCAAAAAATAAAAAAAGGAAAACATGATTCATCAATCGTTCTAAAACTAGTGTCGAGATAGGGGCTTCACATTAGGTTGAAAAGACACTTAATGGTATTCTCAACAGTCGTTGACCTTCTATCAGTCTTCTTCCTTAATCTTCACCTGTGGCTCTTACCTGGTTTACGATAAAAGTTTATGGGTAATTGATCGTATGTAATTATGTAAACTCAAACCAGCTTGTGAGAATTTGGATTCTCAAGCTCGTTTACGGGTTACGATCTACATTTATGAGCTTATTATTAAGATATGAGTTTTCTCTACTTTTGAGTCAAGCACAAATTAGTTTATGTGTTAGATATTACATTTTAATTATGAATTTCATGTAGTTATTCACTTATCTAAAATCTACACACTCACATTTTAGATACTATATGTTGTACTTAACATATTTTAGCTATTGTAGAGATTGCGTAAAAAACTTACGCTTTTACGCTTTGATTCTACGTTTTACGATTTTACCCATTTTCCACTTCTAGGTAGAACATTGGCGGATCCAGGGGGTGGCCAACCCAGGCCCCGGCCCAGCCCTCCTCTGGATCCAAAGTTAGTATAGTCCTTATGAATTTTTTGATTTTAGACATTCGATTCAGTGTTATTTTATAATAAGATTGTGTGTAACTAGAAAAATAATTCATATGAACATATTCAAATAACTACTCTAAATTTAGCTTATAAATTCTAGCCCTAAAGATTTTCGTCGAAGCAATTGATTAGTCGATTGATTTTAGTATTGACGCTGTCCGTTTCAACAGCTACTACGACATGACCTTATCAACAATGAAACATGTGAAAACTGATTACCGCAACAAAATGAGCGATGAATTACTCGCCGGTTGCTCAAGTATTTTATTTGAAACAAAGCATACTATTGGTATGGATGTAGACTCCATTATTGATGCATTCGCTAAATTAAAACGCCATCGTGAACAATTGACATTGTAAAAAAAAATCATTATCCTTTTTACGGTATCTAATTTCTAACGAAATGCGGGCCAGTGCGCTACTGTGTTCTGGATCCGCCGCTGGATAGAATCGCGCTTTTAACTGCATTGATTGTCGCAAACGTTAAAGTTTTGGCTATACAAGTGTATTTGACCTAAAAGGAAAAAAGGGATACAAGGAAAAGCAAAAACCAAATTCCCCACGTTTGCTCGACCAAGCTGGCAAACAAAACAAATTTGTTATGGTTGGGCTTGGGCGGCTGTTAGTAAGGCCGAGTCGTACCACATCACCGGTCCGATAGGACGATCGGGCCGGCCGTCAGTCCTGTTGCGTCACCGTACGTACGTACTAGCTGCCCCCCTCTTGTTTCTATTTCTACCTACCGGCTACAAATTAAAATGCATGAACACCATTTTTTATCTTTTACTAAAACTGGCTTAGCTTGCTTAGTAGGCCTCATTTGCTTTACCGGATTTGGTTTATTTTAGTGTGAAAATGCATGCATTAACAACTCTTATTATTTGATGACCTCGTTTCCATGGATGTACTTGCAAAACATTTGTATGCATGTTAGAATAGCCTCCCTCAAATATTGCGGTGCGCCCAAATACGGGCAAACTTTAATGGACGGAAGATGTTAGGATTGAGATTTGAGAGAATTCTTCTTAGATTGTTGTTGACCTTAAAATTCGAATCTATCGTGTGGTAGATGTTCTCATCCCACATTACTATTAGGCCAATCCTTTAGGATTGATTGAGAGGTTTTTAAAATTATAAATAACAAAATTAAATAATTTATTTTCGGAAAAATTAAAAAACTACCATTAAATTTTCACCGTATTAGGCAAGTTATCATTGAGTTGGGGTATAGAAAGAAACTTCTTATTAATAGACACCCGATTTTGTGTTGCATGATATAATCTTCCCAAAATCTAAAGAAGGGGATAATAAATTAACCATTGACCAATAACTAGAGTCCACGTGTCCAACATTCACCTCATTCAGTCTCCATCAATAATCTCCCTTCCCCCGATTGGTGTGTGATAATTGGTCGCTAATTTTGCGCCATATATATTCGGCGCAGGGCGCCATTGCGGCGTTGTGAGCAGTTTCCTTCCGGGGGCGTCCAAAAACCATTAAGAAAGAAAGGACCCCAATCATTCCATACTTCCCCTTTCCGCCGCTCGACAATTTTGAGTCCTTTCAAGCCTTCGCCAATGGCGGGTAGCAGCAGTACAGGTTTAGTGGCTTACCTCTTGACGGCCTTCTCACTCGCCGTCGTCTTTGCCTTTTTCATCGCAGACCCTGTTTCCAGAACCCCGAAAAGTTCCAGTCTTTTGAACTCTGCAGCTATACATGGCAGCACTGATAAAGTTTGGCCGGTACGTTCAACGATTTGAGCGAGTTGCTTGCCATGTGTTTGACATTTTGCCGGAGAAGGTTCTCTCTCTTTTAATCCCTTGCTGTGTTTTTTTTCCGGTGGGCTACAGAGGTTGGAGTTCAGCTGGAGGTCAGTACTGGCGACAGTGATAAGATTTCTTGGATCGGCATGCGGGACAGTTGGTGGAGTTGGAGGAGGGGGGATTTTCGTTCCCATGCTTACTTTGATCGTTGGATTCGACACAAAATCGGCTGCTGCGATTTCCAAATTCTTGATCAATTTTAGCGATTCTCCTTTACAATGTCTACTCCTCCTCCTGGTGTTGATGGCCATGTCTCTGATGGCTCTGACTCGTCTGAATCTGGAAACCCAGGTCAGACCTCTTCCACTCCGCCGCCGATCCCAGCACAACCTCTTCAAACCCTATCACAGGTGCCTCCTCAAGCACCCAGATATGAGGATCCGTACCTCAATCCTTACTATCTTCCTCCTCACGATGGAGGTTTGACCACCATCATCTCCATGAAGCTGACTGACCAGAACTACAACCTCTGAAGCCAGATGATGGAGCTTGCACTCAGCACTAAAAACAAACTTCAGTTTGTCAATGGTATGATTCCTGTTCCTCAACCCACTGACCCGATCTGGCAATCTTGGCATCGCTGTGACAGTACAGTGCGATGCTGGATATACAACTCTCTTTCTGATGATATTGCGAATAGTGTGGTGCCCTTTCGTGTTGCTAAAGAAGTTTGGGACAATCTGCGAGACAGATTTAGTCAAGAAGACTATATTAGGGTGTATGAGCTCAAAGAGCAGGTTTCTAAGCTCGTTCAGGGTGATCTGACTGTTTCACAGTACTACACAGCTCTCACCACAAAGTGGCAAGAATACAAGATGTATAGACCACTTACTTGCTGTCCTTGCCCTAATAGTCCATACCATACTATGACCAGATATCAGGAAGAAGACTTTATCATCAAGTTTATGCAGGGGTTGAACGATTCTTACCAATCAGCACGTACCCAGGTGCTTATGAGTACTCATTTACCTAGCATTGAGTCTGTTTTTAAGCAGATGGTTCAACTTGAGCGACAGCTTAAGGGTTCTGCTACCAAGGCTGGGGTGAATTCTCTGGCTCTGTTAGCTCAAGGGTCTCCTTCTTCTGGACGCCCAAATTCCAATTCCAATTCCAATCCCAATGCACGAAACCCTCGTGATTATACCACTGAAGGCAAGAAGTGGTGTCGTTATTGCAAAAAGGAAAACCATACCATCCACGAGTGTTATAGGTTGAAGAACAAGAAGTCTAGGGAGGGTGCAGATGGTACTCCCTTTGCTGGTGCTGTTGATGTTTCTGGTTCTGATGGGAGCAGTAATACTAGCTCTGTGGCAACAGGATCAGAACCATCCTTGAGTTCCCTGTTTACACCTGATCAATTTGAGAAACTCAGGACTCTTCTGAATGGGTCTCCATCTCCATCTCCCTCACCTCCTAATTCACCACATCTACCCAATGTCAATGCAGTGATCAGGGCACCACCACAGACACCTCACTTTGCAGCCAGCACTTCAGGTAATGCTTCCTTGCCTTCAACCTTGAATGAAACCATCTGGGTATTAGACACAGGTGCTACAGACCACATAATCTGTAACCTGTCTACCTTCATCAAGTATAAACCTATGGAAGGTGTTAATGTGTCTTTACCTAATGGACACCATGTAAAAGCCACTCATATAGGCATAGTCAGGTTACCTTGTGGATTGTTTCTTACCCAAGTCCTCTTCATTCCTTCCTTTACTTACAATCTTGTTTCTGTAAGTAAGTTAACCAAAAATCATCCTGTCTCACTAGTCTTCCAATCCAATTTTTGCACTATTCAGGACCTTATTACTCGGAGGAAGATTGGTTTAGCCCAAGTTGATAAAGGCCTCTACCTCTTTTCTGATTCCAAGCTTCAAGAATTCCATTCCCCAGTTCCTTCTTCCAGTTTTGCAGCAGGAGTTTCCAGTTCCAAGTTTTCCACTTCTGATATTTGGCATGCCAGACTAGGCCATCCTTCTTTTTCTAGGATGCAGTTTGTTAAGAATGTTTGTAATGATGTTGTTCTTCCTTCTTCCAAACATTGTGAGACTTGTCACTTGTCTAAACAGAAAAGACTCCCATTTCCTAATAGCACTTCTGTTAGTTCAGATGCCTTCTCTTTAATCCATGTAGATATCTGGGGTCCTTTGAATACCATTTCAAGAGAAGGTTATTCCTATTTCCTTACTATTGTTGATGACCACACTCGAGCTGTTTGGGTGTTCTTAATGGAATCTAAATCAGAAGCCAACCCTCTTTTGCAGTCATTCTGCATAATGGTCAAAAACCAATTCTCCAAACCCATCAAAACCATTCGAACTGACCAAGGTCAGGAATTCCACATGGCTGAATTTTATCGCAGTCATGGTATTACTCATGAAATGAGCTGTGTTTACACAGCTCAACAAAATGGCCGAGTTGAACGTAAGCATCAGCATCTACTTAATGTGGCACGTTCACTCAAATTCCAGTCAGGCCTCCCACTTTCTTTTTGGGGGGATTTTGTTTTGCACGCAGCCTATCTCATCAATCGAACCCCAACACCTCTGCTTGATCACAAATCACCTTATGAAATGCTTTATCATATTCCCCCAGATTACATGAGTCTGCGTGTCTTTGGTTTCCTGGCTTATGCCACCACTGTTGGTGGTCATAAGACCAAATTTGACCCTCGAGCCAGGAAATCTGTCTTCCTTGGCATTCCAACTGGTATTAAAGGCTTCAAACTCCTTGACATTGATTCTCATCAAGTCTTCATCAGTAGAGATGTTCTCTTTCACGAGACTATCTTGCCATTCAAACAACCCTCACCAACCAACTCCACAACTGTTCCTCCTGAACATCCCTCTTCATCTGTTTTGGATGATGATGTTCTTCTATTTCCATCTACTGATGCTCCTAGCAATTCCTCTACTCCTGCTGCCAATCACTATCCTTCTGACTCTGATAGTGAGAATGACCAACCTTCCTCTCACTCCAGTCCCTATCCTTCCTCACATAGTCCCTCTCCTTCCTCACACAGTCCCTATCATCACTCTTCCTCTTCTTCCATCCCTTCATCCTCTGCCAAACCAGTAGTTCCCTCTAGGAAATCCACAAGGGTACCTGTCTTTCCTAAGAAATATGATGACTTTTATGTTGGTTCTGTCCAAGTCAGTATGTCCCATCTCACTCCTCCTCAGCAACATTTTGCTCTCACCTTGCTTACCAATGAGGAGCCAGTGAGTTATGCTGAAGCTGCTAGAGATCCCAGATGGAATGCAGCCATGAATGAAGAATTCAGTGCACTTCAAGCTAATGACACATGGGACATTACTGACTTGCCTGGGGGGGTTAAGCCAATTGGCTCCAAATGGGTGTACAAAACAAAGTACAAGTCAGATGGAGCTTTAGAAAGGTTTAAGGCAAGAGTTGTTGCTAAAGGATACACCCAGATTTATGGGATTGACTATTGTGATACCTACTCACCAGTGGCTAAGATCACTTCAGTTAAGATGTTATTGGCTGTTGCTTATGTTCAGAAATGGCATTTACACCAAATGGACGTGAACAATGCATTTCTGAATGGTGAACTTGAGGAAGTGGTCTACATGGAATTGCCACCTGGATTAAGGGATCTGCCTGAGTACAAAGGAAAGGTTTGTAGGCTTAAGAAGTCTATTTATGGACTGAAACAAGCCAGTCGAATGTGGTATGCAAAATTGACTGAGTCCTTAATCAGTAATGGTTTCAAACAATCTCTTGCAGACTATTCCATCTTTCTTTCCACTGTTCAGGGACATTTGGTTGTCCTGATTGTTTATGTTGATGATATAGTGGTTGGGAGTGCTAGCCTTGAAGCAGTTAAGGAAGTTAAAAAGATGTTGATGTCATTGTTTAAGATGAAAGATCTGGGAGAGTTACAGTACTTCTTTGGCCTGGAAGTTAGCAGAACAGATAAGGGAATTCATGTGTGTCAACGAAAGTATTGCATTGAACTCCTAAAGGAAGCTGGTTTTGATGAGTGCAAACCAGCTAAAACCCCATCAAGTGTCAAACAAGTTCTCTCTGCCTCAGATGGGGAACCTTATCTTGATATTCCCTTGTTCAAACACCTTCTTGGGCAACTCCAGTACCTGAATAGCACTAGACCTGACATAACCTTTGCTGTGCAACAGTTGTGTCAGTTTCAAGATGCTCCAACAACTGTGCATAACAAGGCCTTACATAGGGTATTCAGGTACCTCAAGAATTCACCAGGCCAAGGCGTATTCTATCCCAGTGATTCTACTATGCAGTTAACTGGTTTTAGTGATTCTGATTGGGCTACTTGCCCTGATTCCAGAAGGTCTATCACAGGGTTCTGCACTTTTCTTGGTAAAGGATTGATCAGTTGGAAAAGCAAGAAGCAGAGCACTGTATCTAAATCGTCTTCTGAAGCAGAATACAGAGCTCTAGCTCACCTTAGTTGTGAAGTCCAGTGGTTGGTCAGGTTACTTGCTGACTTTGGTATTGATCATCCTTCTCCTGTTATGGTGTTCTGTGATAACCAGTCCGCCATACACATTGCAAGAAACCCTGTGTTTCATGAACGGACAAAACACATTGAAGTGGATTGTCACGTTATCAGGGAGAGATTAACCAATGGGTTGATAAGTTTACATCATTTGTCCACTGTCCATCAACTTGCTGATTTGTTTACCAAAAGCTTGGGCATAGATCGTTTTAACCTTCTACTGTCCAAGCTGGGAGTCTCTGGAAGACCCTCGCCAGCTTGCGGGGGGGTATTGGAGTGATGAATTGGATCACCAACAGCAGCAGCTCATTCTTCATTGATCACCCTCCTGCATCAAGCTGCTGCTGTAAGAAGTGAAGGTTGGCTTTCCCACGAAGTGCAGAACATGATTAAGACGGAACGACGCCGTTCTTCTCCTATCCAGAAACAAGGATTGAAGTGAAACGTTGCCGTTCCGCTGCGTGAAGAGAAGTGGATTCCAAGCCGCTGCCGTTTTGTTTTAAAACGTTGTTAGTAGTTAGTTAGACAGCTGTACAGGTTTCATTGGTTAGTTTGTTGGTTTGTTTTTACTGTAGATTAGCCGTTGCTAATCTCCTTTCCCCTTTGTACAGACCTGTATATATATGAAATGCAGTACCAAAAGGATCTCGGTTGAGAATCCTTCCACCAAAAACCCTATCTACTCATTTTCTTCTCAGTAAAGCTTTTCTTTTCCTTACCGTACGCCACTCTCTGCTCAGATCCAAAACGTTCTGTTTAAAAATGGCCAAGGGTTTGAGTTTCTAAAAGGAAGCACTTCTCCCCACTAGTTTACCCCCTCACATTGCCAAAATGTGAAAGGAAAGGGGGAGCACTTTTCCCCAACCGAATCCTCTTTTCCTCTTTTTGTGGCTTCTGTTGATTCTGTTTTGTGATTGTTTATTCTTTCTTTCCTGTTCCTCTTTACTGAGATTGATTATTGGTAGTTGATTGATGAGATTTAATGGTTTCAGGTATGATTATGGGGGCATCAGCATCATCTGTGACTGTGTGGTATAATCTACAAGTTCCTCATCCAATTAAAGAAGTGCCCATCTTGGACTACGACTTGGCTCTTCTGTTCCAACCCATGCTAATGCTTGGCATTACTGTTGGAGTTTCCTTGAGTGTTGTCTTCCCTTACTGGCTAATCACCGTTCTCATCATCATACTCTTTATGGGTGATCTACTATTGATATCTGTAGTTCACAAACAAATTCCATTTCCCCCTACTGACAAGTTCTTTAGGAATTCATGCGTTGAACGTTTGTTGTACAGGAACTTCTTCAAGATCTTTCTACAGGGCTACTGAAATGTGGAAGGAGGAAACATACTTGAAGGTAAAAACAACTGTTACTGTTTAACTGAATATGATGTGGATACCCAATTTTGGAACTTATGTCAAATTGTTGCAGTCAGAAATAGCGGATAGAAAGGAGGCACTAGTCAATTCTCGTGGTGAACGTAAGTCTTATCTGGTCCTACATTCATTTTTCAGCTAATCTTTGCTATGTGACTGCGAGGCACTTTGCATGGCTTAATAGTTCTTTTTTTATTATTATCTTATTATGTGTTTTGCAGTTCTGATTGATACCAATTTCGAGCCTTTGATACCCAAAGAAGAGAAATCGAAATGGGTTAGCATTTTCTCCGCCTGACTATGTCCTGTTTGATTCAACTCTTCGCTGTTATATGTCGATATTAAAGTTGCATTCTTTTCTAAACTATTGCAGGCAGTATTCTGCTTGAACCTGAATTGGAAGAGGCTTCTGGTTCTGTTTGTAGTCTGGTTCTGTTTCCTTCTTCTCCAAGTCATCAAGGTACTACCTCTTTTCCACTGTCTCTATTTCAGTCCCAACCGTTAGGAACTTAAACATCAGGCCTTCTATATATTGTTTGCAGAATGATGTCTCAGTTTGTGGCACTGCATACTGGATGATCTTTTGCTTGCAGGTTTGTAGGTTTCTCTTACCTTTTTCGGTTCTTATTTCTTGGTTTTAGGACAAATGCTCTTGTGAAGGCTAAAAAGTGAACACCTTTGAGTTTATCTTGCTGCAGCTCCCCGTGGCCATGGGAGTGTTTGGCTATGAAGCAGTGAAACTATACAAAGAATACAAGAAGAGGTCGAGTGTGGGGAACACAGAATGTATCTGTGAGGCTTCAATTGCATGGACACCATTGAATATTGCATTCTGTGCACTTTCTGGAATTCTTGGAGGCACTGTGGGTGGATTGTTGGGATCTGGTGGTGGATTCATCCTAGGCCCCTTGCTGCTTGAGATTGGTGTCATCCCTCAGGTATCATAATCATTCCAATCATCTCTTTCCACACATCCACTGATGATTGTGATTTGTGAAACCGTACCAGATACTGAACCATTTGAACTACTAGTTTAAAGTTTAATATCCCATGATGCAATCGAGATAAAACCATACCTATTTAGTCTTCCATACAGATTTCAACCGAAGTAAGCTGATACGACTGGTTGTTTCCTTTCAATAGGTTGCAAGTGCAACAGCAACATTTGTGATGATGTTCTCCTCATCCTTGTCTGTGGTGGAGTTTTACCTTCTCAACAGGTTCCCCATACCTTATGGTAAATTTCCTCCCCCCATTTCTCCCTCCTTGACTATAAGGCTATAGTCTCTTTCAATCTCCCAAGCCATTGAACCAACTAAAAAACTACTTGGTATCATGCAGCCGTGTACCTTATGGGAGTATCTATCTTAGCTGGTTTCTGTGGCCAATACTTTGTGAGAAAGATTGTTGCATTCCTTGGAAGGGCTTCAATCATTGTCTTCATTCTCTCTGGTGTCATCTTTGCTAGTGCTCTCACAATGGGTAATTAATTACACTCAAAACCCATAAATTCTTTTCACAAATGGGGTTCCAAAGAAAGCAAGTGCACTCTTCCTTTTCACTGATGAAACTTATCAATTTGTCTCTGCAGGGGTTATTGGGACTGAGAAGAGCATAACTATGATACACAACCATGAATTCATGGGATTTCTGGGTTTCTGTAGCAGCCAATGATCGTTGGCATATAAACCCAGAAGCAGAATGCAGCCATGGCATGTAAAGAAAGAAGAAGCAGAATGATGGTTTGAGCATTAGGCTAACTCCAATGGAGCCTCTATATTTGGGAGAGCCTTTATATTTGGGGGAAAGTTAGCTCCAATGGAGCCTCTATAAATAGAGGAGTCTCTATATTTGGGGGAGATCTCCAAAATGATCCCCAAATTTGGGGGTGGAAATGGGGGTTCCCCCAAATATAGAGACTCCCCAAAGCCCGCCACGTGGCGTTTCTTTTTCTTTTTAAGATTTTAAGGGTTAATTGGGGTTTAATTAGGAGATTAGTTAGGGGTTTAATTAGATCAATAATTTTCAAGTGTTGTGTGTAAACCCAAATTAGGTCAATCATTTTTTGTCAAAAAAAATTTGGTCTCAAAATTAAAAAAATTTCTACCGGAAAATTTGTATTTAAAAATGATGACGAACTATACAAAAATTAACATGAACAAATTATATTAAGACTTCGGTAAGTACATTTTTAAGTAAATGGAAAACTTAAAAAATGGAGATCTCCAAATATAGAGGATGTAGCATTGAAGCAAAAGAAGGAAAAATGGGGATGAACCCCAAATTTGGGGATCTTCATCCCCAAATTTGGAGGCTTGCACTGGAGTTGGTCTTATAGTGATATTGGCTGGTCAACTTCTAGTTGACCAGCTCCTCCTGTGCAGCTAGCTTGTGTTAGATGTCTCTCCTATTCATGAGTGTCAGTTCCTGGCTGACACCTTCGGACAAATTCCTCATTGCATAAAATATTTGAAATAATAAACTGTCAATTCTCATGTCCTTGCCTTGGTTCCACCTTTGGACTTCTTAGAAATTTAGTTTGATAATGTCTATCATCATGCTGCAAATGTGGATCAATCAAGCTATTAGATCATGATTGGTGGGTTGTTGGATCTGAATCTGACAGTGAGTTCTTTAACCCAACACTCTCACCATTACCGGAGATTGATTATCCTAAACAATTCTTTATTACTATGAAGTTCTAGGAAAGAAGTAGACAAGTTAAAGAGAACTATTGATCTGGTTCAAGAAGACACATCAAAGTCATCTTGCTGATAGATAATGATTATGAATGACCCATCAATAAAACAACAATGATAAAGTCGCGAGTAGGCTATTGATCATCTTTCATCAAAATTCCATGTCCAAACAACCGTGATATCTTGTAAGAAAGAGGCCTAGGGAAGGAAATAGTTGCTAGGAAGGAAGCTTCATGGATGAGTCCAAGGAATTGGGGGAATGGAGGGCATTCATTCATATCAGAAAGTACACGTTGCCAAATATTTGTATGGTAGCCACTGTTCTTCTTGCTCTGGTTTCTCTGTCGGCCACCACATGGTTTCTTTTTCCCCCCATGAATGGGGATAATAAAAGCAATTCGTGTACTTCTCCAAAACTGAGCTTGCCATCTTCTCAATATTTCATTCATTGCCATTTCCAGGTTGCAATCAAACCAAATCTGCATATCAGAAGCTCTCTCTAGAGAATCCTATTTGGTGAAACAATTTTCCTGCTTTCGTGTTATGAAATGATTCTTTCTAATAACTCGAAACACTTTAAGATCATTTAAAATTATTGAATAGATAAGATCAAAGAAGAACTTATCAAAATATTGATTCCAACGTTATCTTCATTGTCCGTTCTTGGGGTCATAAGGACGTTAGTAACTTGTATTGTGTTGCTGGCGTTATCTTCATGTAAACAGCCAAAAGCCAACTTGGTATGTCACATAAGAGAGAAGCTGTTACTGTTATTCATCATCCGGTAAGAGATCTTGTTGGGTCGGGTCGGGCCTGGAAATGGAGTCCAACTAAGAACAGTGAAAATGAGAGAAAGAGTATTAGAAAGTAGGGGTGTACATGGGTCGGGTGGTTCAGGTTTAGCCATTTTAATCACCCGACCTATGTACTACGGTTTAGAAAATATCAAACCCAAACCCACCAAATTTTTTTTTAACTCTACGGTTTGTTTCTAATTGGGTTGGGTCGGGTTTGCGATATTTTTAAGTAAAACCCAACCCAACATAAAATATATAATTATTCTACATCATAAAAATATTTTATAACTAATTAAAATTTCAAACGAATAAACCGAGGTGAAAGTTATCATTTGAATTTTAATAAAATGTGATTTAGTTCAACATATGTCTAGTTTTTTCACGATATTTGTTGAAATACGCTAAAAAGTTTATAAACCATAATAGTTATTCTATTAAAATTGTACACAAGAAAAAGGATTACATAAATCGTAACTATATTCAATTTATTTCTAAACTTTAAGTCGATGAATACATTGGATTATGGAGACCATGAGAGAAAAACATGGCGAAATATCTTAATTTTCTCATAAGTATGGCTATATACGACATAAATATTTTTTAGATACAAACTCATAATAATATTTGGAACACGGGTTGGATCGGGTTCTACGGGTTGTGTAATCCAAAATCCAAACCCAACCCAAAAGAGGCGGGTTGTACAAAATAAAATCCTCACCCAACCCAAAACCTTCATTTTAGTGATAAATACGGGTGAGTTGGGTCGGGTTGAACAGGTGGGTCGGTTTGCGGGTGTGTTTGTTCACCCCTATTAGAAAGGGCCAGCACCTTCTCCCCCGAAAAGAAATAAAGAATGGTGTAGGATTGAAGAACAAATGTACTTGGAGGGTCCCAATGTCACAACATAAACAAATGTGGACAAAGGCAGGTTCATTTTACTGAGAATGCCTACAGTTTTCCAGCATCAAATTTTACAAGGATAATTGGCAGACAAACTTCAATGATGCTCTCGCAGGGAACAATTGTTCCCCCAACCCTGAATTTGAGAAATATGTCCGTCCAACTCTGTCCAAAAAATCATTACCCCATCCGGAGCTGCACAAGAACCGGGCTTCCTGTTGCGCTCTGTTGTAGATAATACAGTGCATAACCCTACTTAGATAAGGGGCTCACGACCTTCAGACCTTTGGAAGAATCAGCAGCATTCATATCCGCATTGATAGCAATTTTCCCCATGCCAATCTCCATGGCCTCTTTCTCATCCTTGTCCCTCTTCTTTTCGGAATTCCGGGTTTCCTGAGCTTGGTTCGGCTGTAAACTACCGAGGATCCGGTTGATCCATGGATGAAGAAGACACTGAGCAGCAGTCGGACGTTTCTCGGGAACAAAATCAAGTATGGGAACCAGAAATTCCGTCAGTTCACTTGCATCTCTCTCGCTGAACTCGTACTTCTCAACAAGAACCTTGTTCAGTGGCCAGAACCGCAACCTGCGTATGTGCCTCAGATCACCGAATCTGTTGAAGAAATCCCGGGAATAGCGGCCACCTAAGGCAACCTGCACGAATCGTAGTTAATCTCTTTAAGTCAAATGTGCTTTGACTTGCAATGTTAAGTACCTCACTAGGCAACAATAAATGAAAATCCAACTCACCTTGCGCGGCATCATTCCAAGCAGCTCCATCATTAGAGCCAAATGGTCCTGCAAGTGTAAAATATGAAACCGTAAACACATTGACAAGAGCTAAGGGAAACCATAATGCAGCGGAAATCTATCTATTCCCTCATGAAACCAATATCCTTCCAATTCCACATGCTTCGGGGACTGATATATTATTGCAAGTGTGTAACATTATGATAAAATGTAATAGGAACAAGGCAAAATAGCCCAACTTTGATGGTTCTGTTAGGAGAGGAAGATATAGTAGCAACCAGAATAGGGACTTCCACCATTTGGTAGTAGAACTTAAGTAGACACACAGCATTAGTGTCACTACAAAGCAGTCTTATGGAAAATGATGGATGGAAATCGAGACGGTTTCTGAAAATCGGTTCATTTCCGACCCTAGAATTTGAATTGTGGGGTCATATTCATCATTTCGGACATGTTAGGTTGTTTTCCTCCTTATGGTCAAAATTGGGTTGTGAGGATATATTCTGTCTAGATGGAAAGCAAAGATGATTCCCCATAGCCTATATATGAAATGAAATGCCTATTGGACGTACACTACTATTGCCTAACTATGTCACTTACAGCAGCCAAATACTAATGAGCAGGAATCTATCATAGATCAAGGATCCAGCTCTATGTCAAAATTTTACCTCATCCCTGTCAAAATTGTCACCACTGTGAGGGTCAAAGAGCACGTCTCCGGTTGCAAGCTCAAAACATATGCAAGCAAAAGACCAAAGATCGGCCGAAGTAGAGTATTTCGATCCAAGGATGACTTCAGGACAGCGATACTGTCTAGTCTGAATATCACTCGTGAACTGTTTGTACGTCCAGCAAGCATTCCCAAAGTCCACCAATTTGCACTTGAGATCAGCTGATGCAAGCAGGTTCTGTCTTGTGGTGCGGCTTCCCCTTTTACTACCCTGCCTTTCTAAAATGGCCCGCTTTGCTTCAAGAGAATCAGATGGTCGATTGACACTTGGTTTTCCTCTAGCAGTAGAAGATTCCTCCACTGCTGCAGATGTTTCGCGGTCCATGTCGGCTTCAGAAGCTTCCTTCTCCACACATTCATGAGCTGCTCGTTTAGCCTTCCTTCGGATCTTCTTCTTTTGATTCCTAGTCAAGTCGCCATTTAATCTCGAGACGGCAGACTCTACTGAACCCTTGTCCCTACTATTTGGAAGAATGAGAGGAGTCCTGGCCTTTATGGGATCCTTCGAGGGGTCGATCATTGATAGCAACAATATGTTCTCCGGCTTTAGATCAGTGTGTATAATGGAAAGTTGTCTATGTAAGTAATCCAACCCCACCAAAATGTTGATGCATATCTCCTTGACCCTATGAATGGGCAGTCCACGATAATCACTGTACTTAATAAGAGTCAAAAGGTTATCCCCTAGATACTCGAATACCATACAGACATGCTGTCCATTCGGACCTGAATGCTTGAAATGATCCAAGAGCTTCACCACACACTTCTGATCCTCTGGGTCTCCTTCTGCTATCTGTTGCAAGATAGTTATCTCATCCATGGCAGCTTCTGTATAGTGCTGAGCACTCTTTTGAACTTTGAGGGCTACATATCGCTGCAGCAAGAGGATTACAAGGAAGCAACCGTACGTAAGTATATAATTGGTTGGACAAAGTAAAGAGAGAAAAGCAATGAAACTCAATACCCTCTATGACCTCTATCGATGTATACTGCTACAAGTTGCAGAAAACATACACATCACAATGCAAATTACTTCTCATCATAAGCATGTTAAGAGTTAAAACCCAGAATCCAAAGAACAAGGCAACAGAGTTTTAGCAAGACCAAATGCTGAGTCAACTCCCGGGAAAACTCCAAACTCCCGCGAAACCAGCAAAACCCATAAATCAGCACAATCATCCACTAAAGCAGCCACCTTTCGACCAAAAATCAAAGGCAAGCAAAGAGCTTTTACCGATTTCTGAGTGTCCCAACCAAGCCAGACAGTGGAGAAATGGCCCCAGCCGAGCTTGCTCTGTACCACGTACCGCCCGTTCTTGAAAGCATCGCCGACCCGGACCGCGTGGTACCCGCCCCGCCGGTAATCCTCCGTCCCCTCGTCCTCCGACGTGTACTCGCCGCCGCTCTCGCTGCTCCGATCTTGCTCCTCCGCCACCTGGTCTTCTTCAACAACGGGCCGCTGCTTCTGCTTCTCGTCCATTCGACCGGTTCCCCCGAATTCTGGGTTTAGGGAAGCCGAGATGGAAAGGGGTGGGGGGAATTTTTGTCTCTTAGGGTTCGAGAGAGCGGAGAATCGGATCTCAGGTGGAAGAGACGGAAGCAAAAGCGTAAAGGGGGAGAATTTTCTCGTCCTCTGTCAGTTGGATTTAATTTTCTTTTTCTCAGTAATAAATTCTTCTTTATTTTGGTGGGAGTTGGCAGGCAATGTTCTTGGGCTTTGGAGTTAAGTGCCGGAGATGGAGAGAGTCTCTACTTTCTAGTCCACTTCCCTCTTCTTTTTTGGGGTGAAGACTCTCCACTTGGCTATGAATGATAGATTTTCAAAATGGAAAAAAAGAAAGGGAAGAAAGGTATATTCAATATTCTAGTAGATTTCTGAAAATGTAAAATTGAGATTTGCATTGCTACTTTTTCTTTTCTAAAAGAGAATAAAGCAACAATACAAACTTATCATATTCGTTCAAAATCTATTGAGGTTAATGTCATAAAGGATCATATGACATTACATACGTTAATTGAGTCATGGAAGATCTTAACAATGTATATTAATTTATCTTTTTATTGAGGTATGAGTTGAGTATTTGTCATCTCCATATATGTGGATAACAATGTAGGAACCATCAGCGCATAATTAAAGTGAAACATGGCAGCACAAATGATTTTTGTGCCTTCCACATATATATGTATATCTTCGAAAGAATGATTATAGGAATGGTGCCACGAGGTATGGATCCCATTCTGCAGGAGGGGTGGTTCTGTTTTACCCTGGAGGGGGAGTCAATATGGTCAGAGGATTTCAGTTTCCTGGCATAGATAACCCGCTGTTGGTAGAGCTCCTTGCGCTCAGGGAGGCTGTGGTTTGGTGTCTGGGGTTAGGTTTCATGGATATTCGGTTTGAGGGGGATGCCAAGGTTATCATTGACAAGATTAATGCAGGTGACCATAGTGATAGTCGGATGGGTGCTGTTCTTGGTGAGATTGCGCAGTATTTTCATATCCATTCGGGGCTGAGTATTCGGTTCATAGGTCGACGTAGTAATAGGGTAGCCCATTTGGTGGCTAGAAAAGCCCTTTCTCTGTACCCGACCATGAGTCGTTTCTTTGATTTTGAGACCTGGCTGATCTCCAGGGTGTAACTTCTTCTCTTGAATCAATACAGATTATCTTTTGTCGAAAATAAAAAGATTATAGGAATGGTAGTGGGCAGGTCCGAGGCGGGTGCCGGCGGGTACATGATTCTCATACCTGCCTCGTGACAGGTTGAGTCTGAGTTGGATAATTTATCATGGGTCACAGGTCGAGCCAGGTTCACCCAATGAATATGCAATTTATATGGAAAATATCATAAGTATTCGTTAATTTCATTATAAGACCAATAAAATAAACCATATTATGATAAATATAGTTAAATTGTTGGAGAAATTGAGGTTTTCACTAATTTACAACTTCATTATAGCTAAAATGTTATGTAATAAAAGGAAAATTTTAAGTAATTTGACTAAGATTACATGTAATTTAGGCAAGAATGGGTCGAGAATAGGGCGGGTCAGGACAGGATGGGTCGATGAGAATACCTATGTCAGCCCCACCCCGCCTACGGGACAGGTCGGACCTGCCCCTAAACAGATCAAACAAGTCAGGTAAAACGGACCATGTCGAAATCGCCATCCGGAATGGTTATCTTATAGATATATTATTCTTAAACACAGTTACGACTTAGGAGGATATGGTAATGGACATAAGGCAACCGGCAATAAGGCAACTGGCAACCCAATTCACTTACCATGCAATCTATGAGGGGTGGTTAGGAATGCGTTAGGGTGGTAACTGAATTTTTAGTAGCCACCGTGCCTACATCAGTATCCACCGTGGCTACATCAGTATCCACCATATATTTTATTCTCTTTCCTCTTTTTTTAATCTTACGGTTAAGATTGCCTCAAGGATAATTTTGGAAGGAAAAAAAAGACCACACTGGATTATTCTATATATTCTACCCTAATCCTACTTCTACAGTCAAACCCGCCGTAGCCGCAAGCTCTCACCCTCCTCGGCGATGGCTTAGGGTTTGCGAGAGGCTGAGGGCCACCGCCCTCTCTCACCTCCCTGTCCGCCAGCTTCTTCCTCGGCGGCGACCTGATTTTAGAGAGGAGATCGACGCCGCCACCTTCCTTCGCCGCCAGCTCCGCTTCTTCATCCGTCGTAGCCTGCTTTTGCGCCTCTTTCTCCGGCCACAGGCGAGCCACCAGTCAGATGGGTGGAGATCCCAGCACCGTCGCGCTCACCCTCGTCTCTGCAATGCAAATCGACAGCCCTGTGCCGCCTCTTCCCTCGGCTCGACGTCGCGCCAGGCCTCCCCGTTGACTGCCGTCATCTCCTCTGCATTCGTCGGTTCTTCTTGCGGCATGGTTAACGGCGCAACCTCCGCCGTCTATTCCATCATCTCCGTCGACCCCGATTGGACTCGTCGTCCCGTGCGCGTAGGGCTGTCGTGCAGACCTCCAGCAATCTTTAAGGATCGGTATGTTTTTTTTTTTAATGGTAGTCATTTTTTCCGTAGTCATTCTTTTTAAATGGTAGTCATTTTTCCCCGTAGTGGTAGTGTTATTGTCGTATTGGTATTTTTTTGTCGCATTGGTATTATTTTTGTCGCATTGGTATTTATTTTGTCGCATTGGTATTGATTTTGTTACATTGGTATTGATTTTGTCGCATTGGTAGTGATTAAATCTGCAATGGTATTGATGTTTTGTGAAATGGTAGTGTTTTTATTTCTCGAATGGTATTGATGTTTTGTACAATGGTAGTATTTTTTAATGGATTGGTATTGATCTATTATTTTTTGTTGCAGCGGTATTAGTTTGGAATTTGGATGAACGAAATCAAGGAAAGATTGAGAAAAAGAAGGAAGAGAGATCTCGCTGAAAAATTGTGGAAATGAGAGAAAGAGAGAGATAAAAATTATATTTAATATATTTATGTAATTTTATAAAAGATAATTTATTAAAAAAAGATCATAATAAATTTTTTGTTATACCCAATTTGTCCTTAGTAACTATAAAATAGTAATCACCGTAACCTGTCCCGGGGTGGTTATTGTAATTAGTGTCCCGGGGTGGTTATTGTAATTAGTGTGTAATTAGTTAAGGGGGTTGCTAAATACCGCCCTAGTTTTGAATTATCACCCTAACTTAATTACATTTTTATCCTTCTACTTATTTACTATTTACACCTGCGATATGTATATAAAACAAACAAAGATCATCTTCTCCATGGAAACAAGCGCCCTACCCCTCTTCGCCGCCGGTCATTAATCCCACGTCGGTGTCGTCAACCGATGAGTGAAGAAGCTAACCGCTGGTACAAGAGTTCGATTTTGAATGCCCCCGTTGAACCGGGGGAATATGTTGGCAACCCCGGAGAACTTGAACCCTAATTAGAGAATAAACTCTTCCACGGACGCCATGGAAGATCTCGCTATCTCCGCAAAGTTGTTTGTTCTAATTGGCCAGAATTCCTTACCTTACGAAAATGTGGAAATCCCTTAATGCTCCAAGTCTGCAATTTATTTTACTAGCCACTGTTGTGGCTTACAAGCAATTGAAAGAACAAAAGCAGAGGATTGAATTACTGATCATAATGGCGGTGGCTCCTAGCAAAAGGAAGAGTTTGCCGGAAGAGATTATGAAGGGGATTCAAAGTTGTAGCTTATTTGCAGAGTTCGATGATAGTTGGTTTTACACTGCCAGTGAATTAGAGGAAAGAGGAGGGTAATTTGGTGATTTACATTTTAATTTTAGTGCGATTTGAATCATTTAAGGGCGACATTTAGCCATTCAGTTAGTTAATCTATCTGGTGTACCTCGATGGGCCATACTGGGCTTGCCCGTCGATCGGCCCAGATACACTATGAAGCCCACGAACCAAGGCCATTTCCGCGGCTAACAAGTAGCACAAAGGGCAATTTAGTGAATTTACCAAGCTTCCCATTCGTTCATAAAACGGCTACGGGAAAACTTCATTTTTAGGGTTTCTCAGTACCAGCGGCAAGGAGAAGAAGGCAGGACGAAGATCAGCCGCCGGTCACATGGTTCTCAAGTACTGTTCCTAATCCCCATATGTGTATCCTATCCCTTAATAGCTCTTTACCTATCGTTTATTCCCGCGAGCTCGTTTTGATCGGATTCGGAAGTAAAGATTGATCCTTTCATTGGGAGCTTGTTTGTTCGTAATTCTGATTTCGTTACCTGGGTAGGAACCGGCAGAAGCTAAGCATTCGATGGGTTGGTGTTGTTTGATCGGCATTTCCTCGGACGATTTGATTTGGCTGAGAACTTGGCCTTGTACCCGTTTTTACTTGGTTTTGCTTGCTCTAGAGGTTGCAATTTTAGAACAAGTAGTAGTCTTTAGCCCGTTATGGAACGTGGAGAGTCTGAAATCAATGCCTGAAGTTCATATTTACCGTCTGATGTTGTAATTGGATATGATTGATGTCAGAATGTTACTTGTGTTAGTATTTTTTATGATCAATGAAATATGGATGGTCATGCCAACTGCAATGTGGATTTTCTTAGCTCCTTGTTCTTCTACTGTTATAGCTGCAAACAAACGCCGTTGTTGAGATTTGCTTGCCACTACTGGAGCTAATGCTTTGTTTACCTATCAGGACTGAGCTCTGTAGGTTCAGTGGTCAGAAGATCTACCCAGGGAGAGGCATTAGATTTATCCGTGCTGATTCTCAGGTGATTAGTTGGAGAAAATTTGAGATTAATCTATTGAAGCTTTCTTGTCCGTAAGTAATGTCCTATTAGCTTACTGATGCATGTATCCTTGGTTTTATGATTTCGTTTAGGTTTTCCTCTTTGCCAACTCGAAATGCAAGAGGTACTTCCACAACAGGTTGAAGCCATCCAAACTTACATGGACAGCAGTGTTTAGGAAGCAACATAAGAAGGTAAAACTACTACCTGATATTTCTCTCTTTTCTTTGTCCTTTCTTTTTTCTTGGATAAAGAAGTATTCCTGTCAGATTATTGGTTAGATGTTGGTCAGGGGATATGAGTTCCCCTCTTGCTCTTTCTAATTTTGTTTTGCTCTGCTCCATTCCTAGTTTATGAAGCTCACTCTGGCATTAGTGTCTTATGCTGTTGCTACTGTTGTAATTTAATCAGGACATTGCCCAAGAGTCAGTGAAGAAGAGGCGTCGTGCTACCAAGAAGCCATACTCTAGGTCCATTGTTGGTGCCACCTTGGAGGTTATCCAGAAGAGGAGAGCAGAGAAGCCTGAAGTTCGTGATGCTGCCAGGGAAGCTGCTATCAGGTTAACTACTGTCCTAATTCATTGATATGTATGTTGAATAGGTGGTATGTGGTGTGGTGATGGTAATTTCATTTCGAGCATTATGCTAAGAATTCGTTCATTTGGTAATGCAGAGAAATCAAGGAGAGGATCAAGAAGACTAAAGACGAAAAGAAGGCTAAGAAAGCCGAAGTGACCAAGTCCCAGAAGTCGCAACCCAAGGGCGGTGCTTCCAGGAATGCCCCGGGCAAGGGTCCTAAGCTCGGCGGTGGTGGTGGAAAGCGTTGAACCATCTCTTTCCTGTTTGCCTTGTTCAGTGTTCTGTTTTGGAGAGGGTTGGAGAGGAATAGATGACAGCCTTGGTCAGATTTTTTGTGTGTTTTTGTCAAAAAGTCTGGGTGACTAGAATACCCATTTTTGTTCACTTGGTGTTATTACCAACTCGAATTTTGAGTCAAGTAAGCTCTCTAATGATATTTATCTCTTGGATCATAAGCTCATGGCCTGTCCTTTGTATTTGGCCATGCTTGATGAATAGCTTTACAAGAATGTCAACTGGACGGCAAAAGCTTTGGCTTCTCTCTTGTCACGACTTAGGTAACCAGTTAGCGAAGCGCGAGCGGGAGCGTGAGAGCGTATATTATAAAAGAATTCAATATTGAGAGCGTGAATAGAGCGTTATTATTATATTATTTTTTATTTTAATTCTATATAAATGGATTTAAAATTAATTCATAATTGTTTTGTTAAATCACCTCTATTAGACTATTACCATTACGGTTTAAAAAGGAAGATATTCATCGAAAAAATGTTAGATAAGATAATGTGATCGTGTTTCGAGAAAAAGTGCCACATCAAAAGTAAAATAAGGTTTAGTATAATTTGCTTATAGTATCATTTTAATCACACTAACGGGAACTAGCAATTAGTAATATGAATTTCTATACAATTAAATGAAGTAAGATTTGGACACTCGAAAGTCGAAACTAAATGATCCACACTTTGCCACTTTCTATATTTTAATCACAGCAACTGAAGCCACCTGCCAGCTCTACTGACTCGTGGAAGCCATTATCTATTGGAAAAAATCCAAAACTACCACCGTTTAAAAAAAAAATTACAAAAATACCACCCAGACGAAATAATTTCCAAAAATACCATCATTTATTAAAAACCGCTCATTTAATGAGCGGTTTTATATAAAACCGCGTCTCCAGGCGGCGGTTACAGCAAAAAACGCGCCCCCAAGGCTCGGTTTGACCTTGCATGGCTGTCAAACCGTGTTGCCACGTGGCGGTGCATCAAACCGCCAATCAGAGGAGCGTTTAGACGGATAAAACGTGTGCCAAGTCAGCAGTCCGTGTCGTCCACAGAAACCGCCTCCCCGAGGCGCGGTTTAACCGTTGGGAAAATGAAACCGCTCCCCCGATGCGCGGTTTGACCGCAGGGAAACTACAACCGCGTGTCTGTCGCGCGGTTTGACCGTCGGGAATATAAAACCGCGTGCTGGGGGCGCGGTTTTTGGTGGCGAGAAATTACTCCACTGACCCTCCCCCACGCGGTTTGAACCCTATAAACCCCCCCTTCTCTTTTCTGCACACCTCCACCACACTCCCCTCTCTCCCTCTAACTTCTCTCTACCCAACCCCTCCCCACCCAACCTTAGAATTAGTTTTTTTGTTGGTTGCGGCTAAGTCCGATCTGCCTCCAAAATACTTTTTCTTTGGTTTTCACTAAAAAACCGTCGAACCTCTGTCCGGATTCCGAGAGAATGGCCGATTTCGCTCAAGAAGAGGGTCTTTTTTATGATGATTATCAAACGGTACGTACTCTTTGGGGATGTCTCAGGAAGCAGCAACACCATTCAAACAGTCATTACAAAACAGATTGCTCCTTTCGTTCTACCAGTGGCAGGCTTGACAGACACTGAGAAACTTGTAAGATTGTCTGAAGAGCAGCAACATGAGGACATAAAGGAACAAGAGCCGTATGAGAGGGAATAATCTGCAGAAAAAATTTGGAATGATCAACAAGCACAAAGAACAGGAACCTCACCAAATAAAGGAACATTACAGGGGGGAAAAGAGTTGGTAGCAGCCACAGACTTGGCAACTTTTAATATGGGAACAGGAGGAGGTGGGAGTCTGACTCGCTACGACACAACACCTAACAATGGCCAAGTGTAACCAATGGAAGGGACTGCAGTATAGTGGCTCAAGTGATAAATATCGAATCCACGGGTCTCTAGAGTTACTATTACTCAGCTTCAGTTTATTATTTAGCAAACCAGATTAAGATAAAAGAACTAAAACTACTCTAGCAAACTACAGTTAAAGTTAATCTAATTACAGGTCGGGAACTCACTTAGGTATGATTCCCCCTAGCCACTAGCCAGACTAACGATTGATGATTTCCAACTTGTTTCACTTTCATTCACAATGCGGAGAATCCTTGAGTAGACCTTGAGTCTCGACTAAAGGAACAAGGCCCTCTTGAGTCAATTGCCTAGAGGGACGTATCCTTCTCTAGAACAACTGATCAAGGCGTTCTGAACTAGACTCCCTCTATCGAAAGAGGTTCTCAATCGATACAAAGCAGTGAATCAACCCTCGACTAAAGCAATCAATCCACTACTATCAATCTATGGTGCTCTATTGACCTAATCAGGTATTCCCTCTCATAGGATCAAAGCAGAATCAACAATCTCGACTAAAGCAGAATTGAATCATGAAAACATGCATAGATTGAATATGAACTCAAGATTATCAAGTCAGAGTACTCATACAATCATCCAATCAAACAAACATAGCTAGGGTTCCTCAAAACCTAAGTGAAGGGAAGTTACTCCATAGAGAAGAGAGAGACTGCAGTAAGAATCTTCAGATGATCAGTCTTCAAGTCCGGGCTTGTTCCTCGAGCTTCCAAGGCGAAGAAATCCCCCAACTCCACTCCAAGAATGCCCTCAAATCGCCCTCTCTCTCTTTGGTTCGTACCTTGGGTGTTTGGGATCCAAAACCCAGCTCCCTCTTCTTTGGTTCGGAATTTGGCTTAAAACCAGGAAATCCCAACTCGCACGGCCAGGGTGCACGGCCGTGCATATCACCATTCTGGCCGTGCAACTCAAAACGCAGCGTGTCATTTAGTCGAACTTCAGCCCTCTCGCACGGCCAGGGTGCACGGCCGTGCGAGCTTCAGGGGTTGCCCGTGCGTGTCCTCGGCATAAGGTGCACGGCCATATTGCTCACGTGCACGGCCGTGCAGCCTCCCTGGTCTGCCCGTGCAGCTCCCCAAAAACCTCGCCATTCGTCCGTTCTTCGTCCAATCGACCCCAGACTCGCTCCTAAGCCTTCATTCACGTACTAGGACCTGAAACATCACAAACAAGCACAACCTAGCGTGAAATCGGTCTAAACCACGAGAAATCACATCTCAAACGGTGTAAGAACAGGGGTAAAAACATGTGTAATTAACGGTCTATCAGAGTCTGAGCAAAAAGGCAGGAGTATGGACCAGAAAGAAACAAGCAAGGGAGATGGATGGTGTCTCAGGATCTACTACTGTAGGAGTCACTAAACGAGATGCTAAGGATATGGACATTGACCAGATGGATGTGTTAACAAACGAAGGAGTTTCTATAGATGGGAAAAAACAAAAAACAGAGAAATTGGTTGGCGGAGAGGCAGACCCTTCAGTGAAGCAGGGCTGCCCAGCCCAATGAGGATCTTAAGTTATAATTGCCGGGGTTGGGGACTCCCCTGGCAATTAGAAGAGTGGGGCAGCTGCTCTATCGTTCAAATCCCCAAATAGTCTTCTTAATGGAGACTAAGAAGAAGGAAAATGAATGGAAAGATGTTATGAAGGATCTGGGCTGGGAGAAAGGAAGAGGAATGGGTTCAGATGGGAGGAAAGGAGGACTGCTGCTGCAGTGGCAAAAAGATCTTAATGTAACAATCAAATCCAAGTCCTCTAACCATATCGACATATGTATAGAAGAGGGGGGATTAAGATGGCGATACACAGGCATCTATGGATGGCCCGAACAGGGCAACAAAGAAAGTACATGTATCTTGATGCGTTAGCTTAAGGATATGACAACTATTCCTTGGTTAATGAGTGGTGATTTTAACCTGATTCAGGGATATGAAGAAAAGAATGGTCTGAATATGCCAGATGCAAGGGAGATGGAAAATGTTCAATGATGCTCTAGATTATTGCCAACTAGAAGACCTCGGTTACTATGGAAATCCCTTCACCAGGGCAAACAACCACACTGATGAAACCTATTTGGAAGAAAGATTAGACAGGATGGTGGCAACCTCAGATTGGCAAGAACTTTTTAACCACACAAGGGTACATCATCTTAGAATATGTGGGTATGATCATTCCCCAATAATGTTACAAATAGACCTGATGGACGAGGAAGTGAGGTGGGGATGGCACTTTAGATACAAACCATACTGGCAGAACCATGTTGATTGTAAACAGGTTGTCGCAGACAGCTGGAATTCAAGTGGGGGACTATCAGTACTGGATAAAATATCCTACTGTGAGGGAAGACGCAGTGAGTGGAGCAAGCAAACTTTTGGTGACCTTCGTCAACGGAAAATAAAAGCTAAGAGAGTTCTGGAAATACTAGAGAAAAAGAAATCAGATGCTGCGGTGATCTTACAAAGGAAAGCTATTGAAAAAGAGCTGAATGAAATATTAATGCAAGAAGAACTGAGATGGAGACAAAGATCCAGAGTTGATTGGTTGACAGGAGGTGATAAAAACTCAAAATTCTTTCACGGGAAGGCTTCTGACAGAAGAAACAGAAATACTATCCAAAAGTTGATTGATGAGGCAGGGATAAACAGAGAAGGGCAGCAACATGTTTCTGATTGTTTAGTTACCTATTACAAAGCTCTCTTTGCTGCAGGAAACTCAATATCCTCAACTAGAATCATCCATGCCATCCAAAGGAAAGTAACACAAGAAATGAACGAAGACTTGCTGAAACCAATTACACAGGAGGAAATTTAGTTTGCTTTGAAAAAAATGGGACCAAATAAATCCCCCAGTTTGGATGGAATGTCGGCCCTCTTCTTTCAAAAGAACTGGGAGACTGTTGGGGGAGATATAACCAGAGAGCTACAAGGCTATTTCAGTCAAGGTTCTTTCCCACAGGAACTTAATCATACCTTGCTGGCTTTAATACCGAAAAAGAAAGAGGTGGTCTCTCCAATGGATTTTCGGCCTATTAGTTTGTGTAGGGTGTTATATAAAATCCTCTCCAAGGTCCTTGCCAACAGACTTAAAGGAATATTGAATGAAGCCATCTCAGAACAGCAGAGTGCGTTCGTCCCGGGAAGGCTAATTACAGACAATGTTATGATTGCCTTCGAGTGTTTTCACTCATTGAAGGGAAGAAATCAAGGGAAAAAAGGGGTATATGTCAGCTAAACTGGACATCTCCAAAGCATACGATAGGGTGGAGTGGCCCTTTTTGGAAGCAGTAATGAGGAAATTGGGGTTCGATGACATATGGACAACAATGATTATGACTTGTGTTTCAACAGTTTCCTACTCGATTTTGGTCAACGGCCATAAGACAGAGACTTTTTTACCGACAAGAGGAATTTGACAAGGGGACCCCATATCACCCTATTTATTTCTCTTTGTGGCGGAAGGATTATCTGCTCTACTTTCAAAGGCAGAGAGGGACAAAAAGATTGAAGGCATATGGGTTAAAGGGGAAGCACCACCTATATCACACCTACTATTCGCTGATGACAGTGTGTTGTTCTCAAAGGCAACAAGGGCAGAATGTCAAGAACTACGAAATATTCTCAACCTTTATGAAGAGGGTTCGGGGCAGAAGGTCAATCTTGTCAAATCTGAATTATCATTCAGCCCTAATGTGGATGATGTTTTGAGACAGGAATTAACAAGCGGGATGGGGATGCAAGTAGTGGAGTATCATGTGAAATATTTGGGTTTACCTACTGTTGTGGGAAGGCAGAAGAAGGCTGTGTTCTGCCATCTAGTGGACAAAGTAAGAAAGAAAGGGAAGCTTTGGAAAAGCAAACTTCTATCAAGTGGAGGGAAGGAGCTGTTGCTTAAAGCAGTAGCTCACTATGCAGGTTTTTTTGATCCCACAGAATATCCTAAGTGAAGTACAAAGCTTGCTATCTAACTTCTGGTGGGGGCAGAAACAACAAGAACGTAGAACACACTGGTTAAGTTGGAAGGAGCTGTGTAAAACTAAGGAAAAAGGAGGATTGGGATTCAGAAATCTGCATGATTTCAATTTAGCCCTTCTCGGCAAACAACTTTGGAAGATAATTCAGAACCCTACTTCTCTGGTGGCTAGAATATACAAGGCTAAATATCACCCTAACAGAGATCTATTGGAGGCAGAGTTGGGAAACAACCCTAGCTATGTTTGGCGTAGCATTCTCGCTGCAAAAGGTATACTAAAAGAAGGTCTCAGATGGAGAATAGGAACTGGAGAGAAGGTAGACATTTGGCTGGATAAATGGGTTCCTACTTCCCCTACTCTAAAGCTCATATCCCCAATGACGCAATTCGCCCCTAATACATCAGTTAGTGAGCTAATAGATGCAGAGACAAGAAGCTGGAAAACAGACCTTATTCAAGATCATTTCCACCCAAAAGACAGACCACGTATACTAAGCACGCCTATCCCTAGAGTTTCGAAGGAAGATCGCTAAAATCTGGATCCACGAGAAATCGGGAATCTACTCGGTGCGATCACCCTACCAATTTTGGCGAAACAAACAAGAAAAGGAATTGGGAGAAACCTATTCCCCCTACCAACTGGAAACGATTCTAGAATCTTCCGATCCCCCCGAAGGTAAAGGTGTTTGGATGGGAATGGATTCGCAATATTATCCCTACTGGGGAAAATATGGTGGACAGAACGCATAAAGGATGTGATGAATGCCCATTTTGTGGGCAGAGGGAGACACAGATTCATTTGTTCCAAGAATGTGGCTGGGTTCGCCGAGTTTGGAGCCCTAGTTCTCTAAACCACCTATTTGAGAGAGGAACAAATCTTACCTGTGAAGAGTGGCTGATATCACTGCAAGAATTGGAGGAAGACGAAGCAATCAGACAATTTTTGGTGGCTCTTTGGTTCATTTGGAACAAGAGGAACAACCAGATGTGGAATAAGAAAAAAATGGAGGAGTATGAGATCATTAATCGAGCGGAGAGATGGCTAGCTGAATACCTGGAATATCAAACCTCTTCGGCGATGACACCGACGCGAACACCTCCGAGCCGGGCACCTCAGATTAGTGCTAACTATAAGATAAATTGTAACATCCCGTTTCGGCTAAAATCGTATTTCGTTCGCTAGAAAATTTCACGATTTAAAATCGAGCATTTCGACACTATTTCGGCGAAAATCGGATTATCGATCGATCGGATAAGTATACGTATTAATTTTATATATATATATATATATATATATATATATAATTAAATTAAGCGGCCGGGCCGCATATATACATATAAACTTTCTCGTCCATTTATTTCAATCATCATCATCTTTTCTCTTTATGAACCCGAGAGGAAACGAGAGACAGAGGAGGTACAGGGGAGCTACGAGGGAATTTCCAAAGCTCAAAATTTTGAGCTCTAGTGATCCAAAAATCCCGTAAGTAATGCCTAATTCATCTATACATCGTGATTTATCGATTTAGAGCTTTAAAACGAGTTTTTGGTTCAGGAATTTCTTGAATTCCCGATAAGCCAAATTAGGGTTTCGGAGTATCCGGAAGCCGGATTGAGCCCAAATTTCATATACGAGCTTCCTGCAGCGAGGTAATCAATCCCCTAGTTCTAATCCCTGAATTTTGGCTATTATTTAGGCCGGGGTCCAAACCGCTGAATTTAACTCCGGCCAGGGTTTGATGTGTTTTTATCAAGAATTTGACCCGGAGCCTAGAACTAATATTGATGGGGATACTGCAGGGGATATTAGGGCGGTCTCGGATTTTAATTCGGGGTTCGTTCGTGAAATTGACGTTTTAGTACGGGAAGCTTAAACCGGTGTTTGAACGACCAGAACTGGTGAGGGATTAGCACGGCATACCGGGTTTGTCGTATCACAATAATTATATTGATGCTTAGAATTGATCTAGGTGAACTAGAATGGCATGATTAGGGGTGTATGAGCTTTTGTGCTATATGTTGAACCCTGGATTGCTGTATGATATTATTGACTTGCCCTAATCGATATGGACCTTGTTTATGCTGATGATTGCATACATGTTTCCATTTGTGGCTTAACTGTTGATATGACTTCATGGTTATTCGATCAGGTGTTTTGACATGATTTGATATTGTGGTTGTATTTGGATTCACAAGTGGGGAAATAAACTTCCCAGGGTGATATTATGATGTTTAAGGAGGATGACTTGCACGAGGGTTTATCCCGAGGAAGTGCAATTATACGACTCCTAGTTATGTTGAGCCAATTGTGGCCAGATCAAGAACATGTCCAAGTAATGAATTATGATTAAGCAAGATGAGATATGAATCATGTACAAGGATACCAAATATGAGTGTTGTGGTCTCACGGTCAACTACATAGTAATTAGGGCTCCCTATGCTATTACTCTATTATGATATGTATGATAGTCACACCTCTCATGTGGTGGTGACTGAAGAATTCTTACGAGATATGACCACACCCAGAGCGGTGTCGGGGTATGACTACACCCATAGTGGTGTGGGGTATGTATGACCACATCCGACGAGATGTTGGGGTATGTATGACTACATCCGATGGGATGTGGGGTATGTTTCCCGGGAGAGTTATTAGCATGGGAGTAGCCAGGCGCCTATAAGTAAAACATGATAAGATGCATATGCATAAGTCAAGGTGGTTGAGTCTTTTGCCTATTGGGATATGAGGACGGCTGAGGTCCGATCCTAGTATTTTGGCTTGTTTGCTAGATGTATGGTAGGGGTATGCTCTGTTATGAACTCACGATGCTATGATTATCTCACTCAGCTATGAGCTGACCCTCTTTTATTCTTCTTCTCTGCTTATGCTATGTGTAAACAGATCATCAGCAGCAGCAGTAGATAAGTGTTAGGTGGGAGAGGAGCTAGAGTTGAAGCCAGGATGAGGTATGGTCTTCAACTACTCTGTGCTTGGACTACTACTCGGGATTTTGGCCAGTGATCCACACCTTTTTGTAAAAATGTTTTGAGAACGTTTTTCATGTGCATACTAGCTTCTGATGTAGTGTGAGATATCCACAGGTGTGGAAAGTTGTTGATATGTGTATATGTTGTGTAACTGTGTAAGTTGTGACGATTATGGTATGTATAAGTATGGTATGCAGTTGTGGAGTATGAAAAGTGTGACTATGGCTAAGAAAAGCCAATGCATATGGTTGTGAGTATATATGTTTGTGATGAGTTATTTTGCAGGATAAGTTGCAAGAACTGTTAGCCCATTACGCGAGTAATTCATGTCGAAATTTTATTTTGGTAAATTTTGATAATTAATGTAACACCCGAGATTATTTCCGCTGCAATTGTATGAACAATATGATTAGGCAAAACGTATAGGGTAGGGTGTTACATAAATGTTGATGTAGTTTGTCTACAAGGAGAAGGTACAGGTTTCGGTGTGGTGGTGAGGGATAAGAGTTGCAATTTTTGTTTTGCAGCAGTTCGAAGAACGAGGGTTCAATGGCAACCCAAAATGGCGCAGATAAAGGCGATCCGGTTTGGTCTGGAAATGGCAGAGCAATGGGGATTGAGGGAAGGAGAGATGGAGACTGATTGTCTAAGAGTAGTTCAACAAGTTTCGAAGGAGGAAATGGGCTTAACAGAAGAAGGTCTAGCTTGTGGAGAATTGGCACAAAGAGTGAAAGAATTGGGCTCGTTTACCATTCGATTTTCGGGCCTGACTAGCAATCAAGCAGCCCACATTTTAGCCCATAATCTTTGTAATTGGGAAGAAACTGAAATTTGGCAGTCTAGGCCCCCCACATTTTAGCCCACATTTTAATACAAGTCGTTATTTCAACAAAAAAAAAAGCCAAAGGTACATATTTATAGACTCAAGAAAGCCTAATAAGTAACTGATAGCCCGTTAGTTACACATGTTTTCACCCCTGTTCTTACACCGTTTGAGATGTGGTTTCTCGTGTTTTAGACCGATTTCACGCTAGGTTGTGCTTGTTTGTGATATTTCAGGTCCTGGCAAGTGAATGAAGGTTTAGGAGCGAGTTCGGGGTCGATTGGGCGAAGACCGGGCGCGAGACAAGTCGCAAAGGAGGTCACACGGGCTACCCTGATGTGCACACGGCCGTGCGAGAGGCCAGCCTGGCCGTGTGACATTCTGCGAGAGCAGACACGGGCAGAGCAGCAGATTGACACGGCCGTGCAAGTGGCCGGGTTGGCCGTGCCACATTCGCCGAGAGCAGACACGGGCAGAAGGAAGTCACACACGGCCGTGCCACACTGGCCGTGTAAGAAGCCTGGAATTCGACTAAGTGATACGGTGCGTTTTGCCTCACACGGGCAACAGGGTAGGCCACACGGCCGTGCCACCCTGCCCGTGTGAGTCGGGATTTCCTGGTTTTAAGCCAAATTCCGAACCAAAGAAGAGGAGAGCTGGGTTTTGGATCCCAAACATCCAAGGGACGAACCAAAGAGAGAGAGGGCAATTTGAGGGCATTCTTGGAGTGGAGTTGGAGGATTTCTTCGCCTTGGAAGCTCGAGGAACAAGCCCGGACTTGAAGACTGATCATCTGAAGATTCTTACTGCAGTCTCTCTCTTCTCTATGGAGTAACTTCCCTTCACTTAGGTTTTGAGGAACCCTAGCTATGTTTGTTTGATTGGATGATTGTATGAGTACTCTGACTGGATAATCTTGAGTTCATATTCAATCTATGCATGTTTTCATGATTCAATTCTGCTTTAGTCGAGATTATTGATTCTGCTTTGATTCTATGAGAGGGAATACCTGATTAGGTCAATAGAGCACCATAGATTGATAGTAGTGGATCGATTGCTTTAGTCGAGGGTTGATTCACTGCTTTGTATCGATTGAGAACCCCTTTTGATAGAGGGAGTCTAGTTCAGAACGCCTTGATAAGTTGTTCTAGAGAAGGATACGTCCCTCTAGGCAATTGACTCAAGAGGGCCTTGTTCCTTTAGTCGAGACTCAAGGTCTAGTCAAGGATTCTCCGCATTGTGAATGAAAGTGAAACAGGTTAGAGATCATCAATCATTAATCTGGCTAGTGGCTAGGGGGAATCATACCTAAGTGAGTTCCCAACCTGTAATTAGATTAACTTTAACTGTAGTTTGCTAGAGTAGTTTTAGTTCTTTCATCTTAATCTGATTTGCTAAATAATAAACTGAAGCTGAGTAATAGTAACTCTAGAGACCCGTGGATTCGATATTTATCACTTGAGCCACTATACTGCAGTCCCTTCCATTGGTTACACTTGGCCTTTGTTAGGTGTTGTGTTTTAGAGCATCAAGTTTTTGGCGCCGTTGCCGGGGACTTTCTAGAGTATTAGGAAAGGCAGAAGTTTGTTACTTTAGCATTTTTCTTTTCTTTTCTTTTCCACCCTTGCTTTTCACTTGGGTGCTTTTGTTTTTGTTGGTGCAGATCTGATTCATGGATCCTAATGGCTTCTCCAATCATTGGGGGTATCCACCACCATCTGGGTGGTATTACCCCGAGACTCCCTGGAGCAATCAAGGCGGAGAAGACTATGGATTCGGGTTCCAGTACCAACCCCCTTACTACGGAGAACAACCGGACCCCTGGGCATATCAAGAACAACCTCATTATCAAGAAGAATTTCTCCCACAACCAGAAGGGCCATCGGCGCTGGAGTTACTCATGGAGCAGTTTGCTCGAGACTGTGAGAGAACATGCTCCAGGATGGATCAGTGTGTCCAGGCCTATCGTGAAACAGATGAGATCCTCCTGAGCCTTAAGAAGAGCGTCGATGATCTTGAGCGATCTTGGGCGCAACCTGCTCCAGATCACCCTTCTGCTACCATACAAGAAGAGGAGGAGGAAGAAGAAGGCTACAAGGGAATTGTGGAACACACTGAAGTTGTCACGGAGAGCTCCCATGATGATCATGATCAGGCGTGTCATGTCGTAGCCGACCACACCTTCCCACACCCCAAACTGAGCTTTGAAGAGGCGGGCATGAGTGAGGAGATGCAAGAAGATCTCATGAAAGAAATTGCTTGGCAACTTGCTCTCCAATCCGTGCTAGAAGAAGAAGAGCAAGAAAGGGTGCAGAAAGAAGTTGTGGAGGATGACGAAAGTGAAGCTGGAGGAGTTCTTGATCATTTCCCAGGGGTGATACCACATGAAGAAGGAAGGGAGGTTGAAGAGGCGATTGGTGTCCAGGCTGAGGACGAAGTTGAGGTGGAAGAGGCTTGCACCGGCCATGAGTTACATGTGATATCTCCACCAAACTTCGAGGAACTGCTTAGCAAGGACCCATTTGCAGTGTCTCTTTGCCAGACCAAGGCCACATCGACATCGGTCCCTCTTGGTGGACGCGATGGTGGCCAATCGATGCTGTCTTATCTGGTTTGGGGCAATGAGACGAGAGAAGAGAAGAAGAGGTCTCGAGGGTGGAGACTTCATCTGCATCAAGTACATGAGCCTTCATCACCTGCCACATCACATGCTCATGACTTGAGACTCCACCTCATCGACGAGAACCTCAACTTCAAGGAGGTTCTCTCATGGACCGAAACTTAGGAGCCATCGTCCGGCTCACGACGTGAAAGAAGCGCTTGTTGGGAGGCAACCCAACCAGTCGGTTTGCATCTCTTTCTCTATTTCTCCTCGGTTGAGTCAGTTTTGTTATTTGATTTTAGAGTCAATAACTCAACCTTTGTGAGATTTTGTGTGGTGTTTGTGTTCTGATTACTCTCTCTTTCTGGAATGCACCGCCTGACCCGTACATCATCATTCACCCTTGATCTGGTAACTTCGTTCTACCCTCCTTATCTTTCCTCCATTGAGGACAATGTCGTGCTTAAGTGTGGGGGGATGTTCGATTATTTATGCGGGTGAATGTTTGGCTGTTTGTGTGCTTGGAGCCTAGTCCACTGTCCAAATTTTTAGATTTGAGGGCTCCAAGTACGTGTTTCCTTGCAATTGCCTGCTCAGTATGCTTTGAATTGACAGTCTTTACAGTAATATGCAACCTAGGGAGGTAGTGTAGCACTATGGAGGATGTTGATGCATTTAAGAAGTCTCATTTCTTCTTCATATTGAGTTGGTTGATTGAGTGAATTAGTGATCTTAGGACCCTTGAATTGTGTGGTATTGTGGATTCTCTACCTGTCATGGACTCTTGTATCATGTTTTGAGTTTAACAGGTGCTCGAAAATGTGCTTCAAAATAAACGTCTCCCGTGCGAATAGGGCGAAAGTGTGTAAGGGGAGACGGGAATCCGTTCCCAATTTCCACCTACTACCTCCAGCCCCCTTACATGTCTTTCCCCCGCACGAGGCTCGAGACATCCGCTCCTGGCATGGCCGGTAAGAGCAGGTTGGGACCCTTGAAAAGAAAAGAAAAGAAAAAAAAAATAACAGAAAACAAGCAAAACAGAAAGAAACGGGGTTCCAACCATCTTCAAAGAAAATAGAGCACCTTGAAAAATGTGAGTCCATGATCCTTTGTTTTTGAGAATCTCTTCATCCACGATTCATTTGTCCTCTCTTCACTATTTGCCATGATGCCGACTCGATAAGAAGCTTTGAGATGACTTGTGCGTCGGTTGACCTCGTAAGTTGCTAAATGATCTAGGAAGTCCTCTACCTACGATCTGGGTTGTTTGTTGCTATAGAGGTCTGGAGAGTTGCATTGGTTTGAGTTAGGTTTGCTTGGGGACAAGCAAACGGTTAAGTGTGGGGGAGTTTGATAGCCCGTTAGTTACACATGTTTTCACCCCTGTTCTTACACCGTTTGAGATGTGGTTTCTCGTGTTTTAGACCGATTTCACGCTAGGTTGTGCTTGTTTGTGATATTTCAGGTCCTGGCAAGTGAATGAAGGTTTAGGAGCGAGTTCGGGGTCGATTGGGCGAAGATCGGGCGCGAGACAAGTCGCAAAGGAGGTCACACGGGCTACCCTGATGTGCACACGGCCGTGCGAGAGGCCAGCCTGGCCGTGTGACATTCTGCGAGAGCAGACACGGGCAGAGCAGCAGATTGACACGGCCGTGCAAGTGGCCGGGTTGGCCGTGCCACATTCGCCGAGAGCAGACACGGGCAGAAGGAAGTCACACACGGCCGTGCCACACTGGCCGTGTAAGAAGCCTGGAATTCGACTAAGTGATACAGTGCGTTTTGCCTCACACGGGCAACTGGGTAGGCCACACGGCCGTGCCACCCTGCCCGTGTGAGTCGGGATTTCCTGGTTTTAAGCCAAATTCCGAACCAAAGAAGAGGAGAGCTGGGTTTTTGATCCCAAACACCCAAGGGACGATCCAAAGAGAGAGAGGGCGATTTGAGGGCATTCTTGGAGTGGAGTTGGAGGATTTCTTCGCCTTGGAAGCTTGAGGAACAAGCCCGGACTTGAAGACTGATCATCTGAAGATTCTTACTGCAGTCTCTCTCTTCTCTATGGAGTAACTTCCCTTCACTTAGGTTTTGAGGAACCCTAGCTATGTTTGTTTGATTGGATGATTGTATGAGTACTCTGACTGGATAATCTTGAGTTCATATTCAATCTATGCATGTTTTCATGATTCAATTATGCTTTAGTCGAGATCATTGATTCTGCTTTGATTCTATGAGAGGGAATACCTGATTAGGTCAATAGAGCACCATAGATTGATAGTAGTGGATCGATTGCTTTAGTCGAGGGTTGATTCACTGCTTTGTATCGATTGAGAACCCCTTTCGATAGAGGGAGTCTAGTTCAGAACGCCTTGATCAGTTGTTCTAGAGAAGGATACGTCCCTCTAGGCAATTGACTCAAGAGGGCCTTGTTCCTTTAGTCGAGACTCAAGGTCTAGTCAAGGATTCTCCGCATTGTGAATGAAAGTGAAACAGGTTAGAGATCATCAATCATTAATCTGGCTAGTGGCTAGGGGGAATCATACCTAAGTGAGTTCCCAACCTGTAATTAGATTAACTTTAACTGTAGTTTGCTAGAGTAGTTTTAGTTCTTTCATCTTAATCTGATTTGCTAAATAATAAACTGAAGCTGAGTAATAGTAACTCTAGAGACCCGTGGATTCGATATTTATCACTTGAGCCACTATACTGCAGTCCCTTCCATTGGTTACACTTGGCCTTTGTTAGGTGTTGTGTTTTAGAGCATCAGTAACCTAGTCCTACCCCTACTCGGCTACCCCCTTCCCAAACACAAAAAGGAAAACTTGACCCAAAAGAAAAACACCCTAGCCCAAACCGAAAGTAACCCAAGAGCCCAAACACGGTAAATAACCTCATCAATCCTTCCCCCTCAAAGAACCTTGGTCCCCAAGGTTCGTTCCAATGCCGAGATGCGGTGGTCGACGACGAAAAGAACAGAAGCTCTTGCGGTGACGTTGAGGCTCCCGTCGCTTCCGAAACTTCAAGCTTGCACTTTGGCCTATACTCTTCGTTCTTGTAGTGGCTAGTACTCTCAGATCCTCAGCTTAGTCATTGGCAACACGGTCCAATGATTCTCCTCCCATGTGTGACCTGGGCCAATTTATTTTCGGATGGCATTTTCGTAATTTACGGGGCGACTAAAGGCCATTTTCTTCTGATTTTGAAGGATACAGGTCACGGAATCGGCCTTAGGCTATTATTCAACGATGATTAAGTCCATTAAGCAGCGATTTGGTCGGATTTATTCCGGGTCAATTTTTGGCATATTCCAAAGGGGTACCATCACAAAATTCGGGGGATTTTTTCGAAATGCCATTTTCTTGCGATTCTGGATGCTACAGATCACGGAATCAGGCCGAGGCTATTCTACACCAATAATGAAGTCTATTGATCCTATTCCCCATGGATGATAAGTCCATTAAGCACCGATTTGGGCCAATTTATTTTCGGATGCATTTTCGTAATTTATGGGGCGACGAAAGGCCATTTTCATTGGATTTTAAAGGCTATAGGTCACAGATTCGGCCTGAGCCTATTCTTCAACGATGATTAAGTCCATTAAGCACCGATTTGGGCGGATTTATTCCGGGTAAATTTTTGGCAGATTCCAAAGGCATCGCAGGTTTCAGGCAGTTTTTCCAAAATGCCATTTTCTTTCGATTCTGGAGGCTACAAATCAAGGAATCAGGCCGAGGCTGTTCTCCACCGATAATGAAGTCTATTGATCCTATTCTCCACGGATGATAAGTCCATTAAGCACCGATTTTGGCCAATTTATTTTCGGATGGCATTTTCGTAATTTACGGGGCGACGAAAGCCATTTTCTTTGGATTTTGAAGGCTACAAGTCACAGATTTGGCCTGAGGCTATTCTTCAACGATGATTAACTCCATTAATTACCGATTTTGGCGGATTTATTCCGGGTCAATTGTAGGTAGATTCCAAAGGGGTACCATCACAGATTTCGGGCGATTTTTCGGAAATGTCATTTTCTTTCGATTCTAGAGGCTACATATCACGAAATCAGGCCGAGGCTATTCTCCACCGATAATGAAGTCTATTGATCCTATTCTCCACGGATGATAAAACCATTAAGCACCAATTTGGGCCAATTTATTTTCAGATGCCATTTTCGTAATTTTCGGGGCGATGGAAGGCCATTTTCTTTGGATTTTGAAGGCTACAGGTCACGAATTCGGCCTGAGGCTATTCTTCAACGATGATTAAGTCCATTAAACACCGATTTGGGCGGATTTATTCCGGGTAAATTTTTGGCAGATTTCAAAGGAGTACCATCATAGATTTCAGGCGATTTTTCCGAAATGCTATTTTCTTTCAATTTTGGAGGCTATAGATCACGGAATCATGCCGAGGCTATTCTCCACCAATAATGAAGTCTATTGATCCTATTCTTCACGGATGATAAGTCCATTAAGCACCGATTTTGGCCAATTTATTTTTGGATGGCATTTTCGTAATTTACGGGGCGACGAAAGCCATTTTCTTTGGATTTTGAAGGCTACAAGCACAGATTCGGCCTGAGGCTATTCTTCAACGATGATTAAGTCCATTAATCACCGATTTGGGTGGATTTATTCCAGATCAATTTTAGGCAGATTCCAAAGGGGTACCATCACAGATTTCGGGCGATTTTTCGGAAATTCCATTTTCTTCGATTCTAGAGGCTACAGATCACGAAATCAGGCCGAGGCAATTCTCCACCGATAATGAAGTCTATTGATCCTATTCTCCACGGATGATAAGTCCATTAAGCACTGATTTGGGCCAATTTACTTTCGGATGCCATTTTCGTAATTTTCGGGGCGACGAAAGGCCATTTTCTTCTGATTTTGAAGGCTACAGGTCACGGATTCAGCCTTAGGCTATTCTTCAACGATGATTAAGTCCATTAAGCAGCGATTTGGGCGGATTTATTCCGGGTCAATTTTTGGCATATTCCAAAGGGGTACCATCACAAAATTCGGGGGATTTTTCCGAAATGCCATTTTCTTTCGATTCTGGATGCTAATGATCACGGAATCAGGCCGAGGCTATTCTAGACCAATAATGAAGTCTATTGATCCTATTCTCCACGGATGATAAGTCCATTAAGCACCGATTTGGGCCAATTTATTTCCGGATGCATTTTCGTAATTTAAGGGGCGACGAAAGGCCATTTTCTTTGGATTTTGAAGGCTACAGGTCACAGATTTGGCCTGAGGCTATTCTTCAACGATGATTAAGTCCATTAAGCACTGATTTTGTCAGATTTATTCCGGGTAAATTTTTGGCAGATTCCAAAGGGTGTACCATCACAGATTTCCGCGATTTTTCCGAAATGCAATTTTCTTTCGATTCTCGAGGCTACAGATCACGGAATCAGGCCAAGGCTATTCTCCAACGATTATGAAGTCTATTGATCCTATTCTCCACGGATGATAAGTCCATTAAGCACCGATTTGAGCCAATTTAATTTCGGATGCCATTTTCGTAATTTACTGGGCGACGAAAGCCATTTTCTTTGGATATTGAAGGCTACAGCTCACGGATTCGCCCCGAGGCTATTGTTCAACGATGATTAAGTCCATTAAGAACTGATTTGGGAGGATTTATTTAGGGTCAATTTTTGGCAGATTCCAAAGGGGTACCATCACAGATTTCGACCTATTTTTCCAAAATGCCATTTTCTTTCAATTCTGGAGGCTACAGATCACGGAATCAGCCCAAGGCTATTCTCCATCGCATAATGAAGTCTATTGATCCTATTCTCAATGGATGATAAGTCTATTAAGCTTCAATTTGGGCCAATTTATTTTTGGATGATATTTTCGTAATTTACGTGGCGACGAAAGCCATTTTCTTTGGATTTTGAAGGCTACAGGTCACGGATTTTGCCTGAGGCTATTCTTCAACGATGATCAAGTTCATTAAGCACCGATTTGGGCGGATTAATTTCGGATCAATTTTTGGCAGATTCCAAAGGGGTAGCTTTAAAGATTTTGGGCGATTTTTCCGAAATGCCATTTTCTATCTATTATGGAGGCTACAGATCTTGAAATCAGGCCGAGGCTATTCTCCACCGATAATGAAGTCTATTGATCCTTTTCTCCACGGATGATAAGTCCATTAAGCACCGATTTGGGCCAATTTATTTTTGGGTGGCATTATAGTAATTTACGGAGTGACGAAAGCTATTTTCTTTGCATTTTGGAGGCTACAGGTCAAGGGTTCGTCCTGAGGCTATTCTTCAACGATGATTAAGTCCATTAAGCACCGATTTGGGCGGATTTATTTCTCGTCAATTTTTGGCAGATTCCAAAGGGGTACCATCACAGATTTCAGGCGATTTTTCCGAAATGTCATTTTCTTACAATTCTGGAGGCTACAGATCATGAAATTAGGTCGAGTCTATTCTCCACTGATAATGAAGTCTATTGATTCTTTTCTCCACGGATGATAAGTCCATTAAGCATCGATTTGGGCCCATTTATTTTCGGGTGGCATTATCGTAATTTACGGGGAGATGAAAGCCATTTTCTTTGGATTTTGAAGACTATAGGTCACAGGTTCGGCTTGAGGGTATTCTTCAACGATGATTAAGTCCATTAAGCAACGATTTGGGCAATTTATTTTCGAATGGAATTTTTGTAATTTACGGGGCGACGAAAGGCCATTTTTTTTTAGATTTTGAAGGCTTCAGCTCACAGATTCGGCCTAAGGCTATTCTTCAATGATGATTAAGTCCATTAAGCACTGATTTTGGCGGATTTATTCCGGTTAAATTTTTGGCAGATTCCAAAGGGGTACCATCACAGATTTCTGAGATTTTTCCGAAATGCCATTTTCTTTCGATTTTCGAGGTTACAGATCACGGAATCAGGCCGAGGCTATTCTCCAGGGATTATGAAGTCTATTGATCCTATTCTCCACAGACGATAAGTCCATTAAGCACCGATTTGGGCCAATTTATTTTCGGATTGCATTTTCGTAATGTGCTGGGCGACGAAAGCCATTTTCTTATGATATTGAAGGCTACAGCTCACTGATTCGCCCTGAGGCTATTCTTCAACGATGATTAAGTCCATTAAGCACTGATTTGGAAGGATTTATTTTGGGTCAATTTTTGGCAGATTCAAAAGGGTGTACCATCACAGTTTTCGAGCGATTTTTCCGAAATGCCATTTTCTTTCGATTCTGTAGGCTACAGATCACGGAATCAGGTCGTGGCTATTCTCCACCAATAATGAAGTCTATTGATCCTATTCTCTAGGATGATAAGTCCATTATGCACCGATTTGGCCCTATTTATTATCTGATGGCATTTTCGTAACTTATGGGGCGACGAAAGCCATTTTCTTTGGATTTTGAAGGCTACAGGTTACGGATTTGGCTTGAGGCTATTCTTCAACCATAATGAAGTCTATTGATCCTATTCTCCACTGATGATAAGTCCATTAAGCACCGATTTGGTCCAATTTATATTCAGGTGGCATTTTCGTAATTTACGGGGCGACGAAAGCCATTTTCTTTGGATTTTGAAGGCTACATGTCACGGGTTCGGCCTGAGGGTATTCTTCAATGTTGATTAAGTCCATTAAGCAGCGATTTGGACGGATTTATTCTTGGTCAATTTTTGGCAGATTCCAAAGGGGTACCATCACAGCTTTCGAGCGATTTTTCCGAAATGCCATTTTCTTACAATTATGGAGGCTACAGATCATAAAATTAGGCCGAGGCTATTCTCCACCAATAATGAAGTCTATTGATTCTTTTCTCCACGGATGATAAGTCCATTAAGCACCGATTTGGGCCAATTTATTTTCGGGTGGCATTATCGTAATTTACGGGGCGACGAAAGCCATTTTCTTTGGATTTTGAAGACTACAGGTCACGGGTTCGGCTTGAGTGTATTCTTGAACGATGATTAAGTCCATTAAGCACCGATTTGGGCGGATTTATTCCGGGTCAATTTTTGGCAGATTCCAAAGGGGTACCATCGCAGATTTCGGGCGATTTTTCCGAAATCTCGTTTCTTTCGATTCTGGAGGCTACAGTAAAGGAATCAGGCCGAGGCTATTCTCTACCGATAATGAAGTCTATTGATCCTATTCTCCACGGATGATAAGTCCATTAAGCACAGATTTGGGCAATTTATTTTCGAATGGAATTTTTGTAATTTACGGGGCGACGAAAGGCCATTTTTTTTAGATTTTGAAGGCTTCAGGTCACAGATTCGGCCTGAGGCTATTTTTCAACGATGATTAAGTCCATTAAGCACTGATTTTGGCGGATTTATTCCGGTTAAATTTTTGGCAGATTCCAAAGGGGTACTACCATCACAGATTTCGGTGATTTTTCCGAAATGCCATTTTCTTTCGTGGCTACAGTTTACGGAATCAGGCCGAGGCTATTCTCTAGGGATTATGAAGTCTATTGATCCTATTCTCCACAGACGATAAGTCCATTAAGCACCGATTTGGGCCAATTTATTTTTGGATGGCATTTTCGTAATTTGCTGGGCGACGAAAGCCATTTTCTTATGATATTGAAGGCTACGGCTCACTGATTCGCCCTGAGGCTATTCTTCAATGATGATTAAGTCCATTAAGCACTGATTTGGGAGGATTTATTTTGGGTCAATTTTTGGCAGATTCCAAAGGGGTACCATCACAGTTTTCGAGCGATTTTTCCGAAATGCCATTTTCTTTCGATTCTGTAGGCTACAGATCACCAGAAGCAAATTGGAGAGGATGGAGTCCCCTGATTGTGGAATCAGGCTGTCTTAATTTGATAAGGCTCTTGAACGGAGAAGACGAAGACCATACTGAATTGGGGATTTGGTGCAAGGAGATCAGATTGCTTGCCGATGCCAACGCTGCTATGTCTGGATGTAATGTCAGTTGGGCCTTTGTCCATAGGGAATCCAACTCAGTGGCCCATTACTAGGCCCACTTGGCTCCCCAGTCGAACAATACGATTGTATGGACTGTTTCTCCTCCCAGCCCCATCGGGCCTTTGTTTTTTTTTTTTTTTGCCGAAAAGATACTTGCATTACCGAGACAAAAAAAGTTACATCAAACCAATTTCCGAGCACAACCACGCTCGAAAATCAAAACCAACAATCCCAGTAGGAAACAAATCGAGGGCTTTTTTAGCCACCAAATGGGCCACCCTATTGTTCTGTCTACCTACAAAAACCACTCTAAACCCACAATTAGCCCCCAGCAGCCGACAGATTTCCTGAAGGATAGCCCCGGCCTTCGCATCTCTGATGGTCCCTGTGTTAACTTTGTCGATTACCACCTTCGCATCCCCGACAAGCTGAACCGCCGAAAGACCAGCCTCCACACACCAGCATAGTGCCTCACGAAGAGCTATCGCCTCCACCAACATAGGATCAACCATACCTGGAAGGCACAATCCCCGGGCCATCAGAATCCCACCAGCCTCATCCTGCAAGACAAAACCAACTGATCCATGCGAACCAGTAGAGATCGCCCCATCAAAAGAGCACCTGTAAACTCCTGGCACAATTCCCAGGTCAATCCCCGGCACTACTTGATCAGCTACTCTCCCACTACCCGGAGACACACTATCCAACCATTCCTGAACCTGAAACCTGAATTGCCTCTCCAACACAACAAATGTGTCTTGCTGTCCCTCAAAAGCCACCAAATTCCTAGACTTCCAAATCCGCCAAAGGAGACAAACCAGACAAACCATTCGTGTTGGAGAAGAATCCCGCTCCATAAAGCCTCGAAAGAAGATAGGGAACGCCTGATCCTGTCCAATCCTCCAATCATTCCTCAATCCTGCCATTTCCCACATAGCCACTGCCACTGGGCACAGGAAAAATAAATGTTCTATGTTTTCTTCAGGAGCCCAACACACAGGACATCGTGGTAGCACCAAGACCTTTTTTCTGATTAAAGCCTCCATCGTCGGGAGCGTGCGTTGCAAAAGCTGCCAGATAAAAAGTCTGAGCTTTGGCTGAACCTCAAGCCCCCAAACTTTCATCCATAGCACCCTATCCACCGGATCACAACCTGGCTTCTTTCTCATACTGGCGCGATTCAGGCTCTCAGCTAACCTATACCCTGACTTCACAGTATATACCCCAGACGGGTCCAGTCTCCATACCCACGTATCCTCAGTCGGGGTACGTGGAATCGGCACTTGGATAATAGCACGCACCGTGTCCATACTAAATGTCTGTTCAAGACATTCTTGGCACCACGATCGTGTCTCCTGATCAATTAGCGAAATAACCCGCTCCCCACCAACTAAGTGATGCCCAACTCGCAGCTCCGGAAGACCCGAAAAAATTTTAGGAATCCATCCACTTGACATGATGGGAATTGATTCCCCAGACCCAACCTGGCACCCCAACCCTTTCAACAATAAGTGGGCCCCATGGAGAATGCTGTGCCAAGCCCACGAAGGACGAGAGCCCAGCTTGGCCAACAGGATAGATCCATGCGGGAAATACTTCCCACGAAAAACCTGGGCCAGCAAAGAATCTGGTTCATCAAGAATTCGCCAAGCCACCTTGGCCAAAAGAGCCTGGTTAAATTCCTCAAATCTCCAGGAACCCCATCCCACCCTCGTGCTTAGTACGACAAAGCCGACGCCATGATACCCAAGGAATGCCCGACCGCCCCCCCGAGGATCCCCACCAAAACCTAGCCATATGCTTATCCATCCTCCGAAAAAGGGTCAATGGCAACTTAAAACACGACATCCCGTGTATTGGCAAAGCCCCCGCCACTGACTTTAGGAGCGTCTCCTTAGCTGCCCACGATAAATGCCTCTGCTTCCAACCCTTAATCCGCTCAAGCAAATTCTCCTCCAAGAAACGGAAGGTGTCAGACTTCGACCTGGCCACCAACGTAGGGAGACCCAAGTACTTATCATGGACCCCGATTGCGCCAATCCCTAGGAAACGTCCCATGATTTCCTGATCCACCTGAGCAATGTTGCGACTAAAACAGACAGCAGATTTCGCCAAATTGACCCGCTGTCCACTCAGCGCCTCATAATCATAGAGCACCGCCATCACGTTATGACAATCCTGAAGAGAACCTCGCAGGAAGAGGTAGGAATCATCCGCAAATAGAAGATGGGAGACCCGGGGCGCCCGGGGGCTCACTCGTACCCCTTCTAATCTTTTCCGGTCGATGGCCTGACGCAGCAGGGCCGATAATCCTTCCGTACAGATTACAAAGAGCAGGGGCGACAAAGGATCCCCTTGCTGAAGCCCCCGCGTGGAGCGGAAAAACCCAGAGGAACTACCATTCACCATGACCGAAAAGGAGGTCGTCGAAATACACTCCTTCACCCAACGAACCCAAATCGGACTAAAACCCAATTTCTCAAGAACTGCCAGTAAGAAAGGCCATTCAACCCTGTCATAGGCTTTCTCCATATCCACCTTCAAGGCCATAAAGCCTTTCTTCCCTGACCGCTTATTCTTGAGATAATGCATAAGCTCGTGCCCAATTAAAATATTATCCACCATCTGACGTTTCCTAATGAAACCATTCTGCCCCGAGGACACAATTTGCGGCAGAATTGCCGCCATTCTTTCCGCCATGATCTTGGTAATTACCTTGTAGACAAATTGGCACAAGCTAATGGGACGTAGTTGGCGCATAGTCTCGACATTCTCAGCCTTCGGAATTAATGTAAGCCATGTATGGTTAAAGCTGCGTAAGATATGCCCATTACGAAAGAATGAGCGCACAGCCGAGACCACCGACTCGCCTACAATATCCCAAAAGGACTTGAAAAATTTCCCAGTAAAACCATCCGACCCTGGTGCCTGCAACGACCCCATCCCAAAAACCGTCTCCCGGATCTCCTCCTCCGAAACCTCCGCAACCAAGCCACCATTCATTTGTTCAGTAACTTTTGCCTCCAATGGAAGAGCATCAACCGGATCCCGGATTCCCCGGACATCCGCCTCTGCGGTAAACAAATTTTCGTAAAAACCCACCGCCACCTCCACCTTCTCTGGTTCCTCCATAGCCCAGGTACCATCATCCCGTTGCAACTTTTCCACAAAATTACGTTTTCTCCTTGCCCGGGTCACCGTATGGAAGTACGATGAGTTCTGGTCCCCGGTTCTTAACCACCGCACCCTCGATTTCTGTTTCCAGTGCATCTCTTCCGCCGCCCGTTCCATGGTGAGGTCCCGCTCCAATTGATTGACCCGATCCCAATTTACCGGGGAATCCTCTTTCAATGCCCCAATCTCAGCCTGAAGGACGCGAATCTGGCGTTCAAAGTTTGTGGTCCCCGCCTTGCTCCATTGGAAAAGAAGATGACACAGTTTTTTGAGGCGAACCCACAACTGGTACATCTCCGATCCCTGGACCGGTTCATTCCACACTCTTTCCACCATTGGCCGAACCTCCACATTATCCGCCCATCGAGCGTCAAATCGAAACAATCTCTTACCCGTTCATTCGAAAGGTTTATCAGCCACAATCAGGGCTCTATGATCCGACCCAAGATCCGTACCATGAACTACCAGAGAATCAGGGAAAGATTGTACCCAATTATCGGAGGCCAAGCCTCTGTCCAGTCGCACCTGAATGCAGGCATCCCCCATTCGCCTATTTGTCCACGTAAAAGGGTTTCCAGAGAAACCAAGATCATGGAGCCCCAATATATCCACGAACTCACGAAAAGGTTGCGAATGCACTGGATTCCAAGGTCTCCCTCCTAATTTTTCATTTGAGGCTATAATGTCATTAAAATCCCCCACCACCATATATGGTAACGTAATATCGGCACAGAAGCGTCGCAATTCATCCAACTGAACAACCCGCTCCACCTCACGACAACTAAAGTAAACAAACACCACACAATATTTTATTCCATTCTTCTTGACACAAATTGAAATAAAAAAGGAAGAACTACATAAAACCGAGACCAGAAGCTCGGGAGACCAACCCATTGCTAACCCTCCAGCAGAGTCCACAGCGTCAACTAAGAAAAAATCAAAAAACCTAATCCCCGAAGGCGGCAAGACACAACCTTACGCCTCGATCGGGTTTCGGAAAAGAACACAATCTCATGATTATTGGACCGAACAACACCAAGGATAGACTGAAACGTAAGGGAAGGCCCAATCCCCCTCACGTTCCAGGCGAGAAGCCTCATTTGGCTAGATGGGGCCGCTCAAGGCCGGCTTCCTCCACCTGTACAAATTCACCATTAATTCCATCAGTTTCGTCCCCAATCGGAACCACATGAGGCAGCGCCTCGTCCACCGGATCATCCAGGCATAATTTCTTCACCGGAGTGGGATCTTTCGCCAGATCCTCTACAAGATCCGCCGATCGTTTCCTGTCCCCCATCTCCTCCTCCGAATGAGCCGTCATCCGGAAAGCCACCTGTTGACCCGAGGGTGTGGAATCTGAAGACTGCGCCAGACCCTTGTTACCACCCCCGATCGCCGCTGCAATGCCTGCCTGCTTGGCAACCCCTTCCCCACTCTCGTCAGCTCCCTTCGCAAGTCCCTCCTTCCTCCCGCCCATGCTGTCCAGTCCCTGGTTCCCTTCCTTTCTAGCTTCCTTCGCCCCACCAGCCAACTGATCCCCTCCAACCCCCTTCCCCTCACCCGACTCCTTTTTGAGCACTTCCCCCCGCACCTTCAGGACAACTTTCGGTTTCGAGAGAGAACCGTGCCCACCAGCTGTGGATTTATGATCAATCTTTACCTTTCCCAGATTAGGTTGGACCACCTGCTTCCCCTTCCCTTCCTTCGATCCACCCCCAGCCTTCGGGACCCCCACTCCCTGCTTTCCACGATCCTCTGCCGCCCCGCCTGTTCTCGATTTAGCATCCTCCGCCCCTGCTCCTCGATCCCCTACCGCCCCCGCCTTCGATATCCTGGCTTCCCCTCTAGGAACCTCAGCCTTTGTCCCCTTCCCCTGCACTGAAGGCAGCGCCACTTTCTCCTGCTGCTTCTCAGGCCTCGTCCCCGATGACTTCTCGGAGGCAGGCAGCGCCAGGACCACCCCCCTCTTCGATCCGCCCTCCTCCTCTTTATCCTTCATTCGCACATCCCGATCATGACCACCAGCCCCTTTCCGCTTGCCCAGGGTAGCGGGATTTACCCACACCGTCTTCTGCATCGGCGCACCATAAATGGCCGCCAAGGAACTCTCATTGATTCGGTAACCCGATTCCTTAGTCGAGAGCTCCGGGCCGAAATGTTCTTCACCGGACGGCGGAGGGAAAGAGCAATTTTGCGCAGTGTGCCCAAATCGGCCTCAATGGTAGCAATACAGTGGGAGGTGCTCATACACCAAGGTTATCCAGAATTTCCCAACACTGGGATTAGTCGCAAAGAGCTGCGAACGGAGCGGCGCCATAACATCAAGCATGGCCAGAACCTTCACAAAATGCCCTGGCACTCCCTTCAAGCCGAACAAACCAGCATCGCACACAACACCCAATTTGCTCTCCGCCATTCGTCGCCCGAACGCGACTGTCCTGCAATGTGAGGGGATACCCCACATCTGGACCCAAAAGGGTGCTCTGCCCAGCGCCTCAACCACCGTGGGTGTGATCGGCTCCCAATTCTGCAGATGCAGAATCCTGTCTTTCACCTGCCAAGGTGTCCTCTGAAGGACCCAATCCTTATCACATTCATCTTCGAACAGAAATTGGAGGAGCCCCAATTCCGCTTCCATAACAGTCACCTTCCCCGAACAGCCCCATTCCCCATACACAATTTTCTGGATGGTTTTGAGGCTGGGGGGGTTGTCCATGAACAGACGCCCAACCAAGCTCAACTTTGCCCTCTGCATACTCTCCTTCACATCCTCCAGCTCAAACTCAACCACCTGGTCCAGGTTCATTGGTTCGTCAGCCATGGCAGCTCTGTTTCCGCGAAGCTGGAAGTGACGAGAAAACAGAGTAAACATATGGGCAAAAACCATGAAACCGACATAAGGAAGTAACCACAATTGGTACAATCGCAGTAGTGCTTTCCAGAACATGATGTTTTTACCTCTCAAGTCTGGGATTCGAAAAGGATCTTCCTCCGTCTCCAAAGCGGTACAGAAATTTTGATTGGGATATTTTTTCTGTTCGCCAGGGAGCGAGGTTAAATGCACCCACTGCGGGGCAAGTCGATGAACCGTCTGAGTACAGGACTCTATTCCAGGAATTATCTCCTGCTGATCACCGCCGAAGTAATCTCCCAGCCGGATCTGAGTATATCCACAAAGTTTTCCGTTGGATCTGGATAACTCCAGGAACCTATTTTTTTCGGATTTTTCTTTAGAAGAGAGAAGACGTATTGATTTCCATATTTCACGAAGGGAAACCAGATCCCCAGCTTCCATCGCCTCCTTCCCGAACGCTACAAACCCAAAATCCGGCCGTCGGATGGACGCCGTGGTCTTCCTGGTCTCTTCCATAGAGAACCCAGCGAAGAGGAAAGGTAGAGTTTTTTCGCAGAAAAGAGAAGAGAGAGGGGAGAGCGAATCGCCACTTTTTTTTTTTTTTTTTTTTCCATCGGGCCTTTGTTGGAGGCTGAGAAAGCACAAAATTTGGAGTAATTGAATGGACAGGTCGTCCTATAAAAAAAAAAATCACAAATAAGTAGGTTGATTTTCTTACAGAAGCCAGTACTTCTATATCAGGGTGTGGCTCTCATTGAAATGAAAGTTACATATTTGTACAAACAAAAATTGAAGTTGAATCAAGTCAAGAGCACATTTGAAAATAAATATGCAATTCGTCCTTGAATTTGACGAATCGTACCTGATGATTCAACCAAAAATCCTGAACAAAAATAGCTATTCTTGCATTATCTATCATCATCCTGTAATTGTGTGCTCCAAAACTCAAAATAAATCGAGTAGCGCTATGAATCAAGCGATTACCGTGTTGGGAAGTGATCAATCATTTCTAGGAACAAGAACCACTTTTAGGTTATGAAGTTTCTTCTGTTGAAAAGTAAACAATCATTCAAATGTAATTACTTCATTCCTTTCTATTAGTCCCGTATAAGCAGAGTGCTCTGTTTTTCTCCTCTGAGGAAACCCAGCAACTGTGGCCGACGTCGGAGATGAACCCCGGCCACCGGCGGGTAACCCACTATTTGGGTCGCCTCTGTTTGCAGCGATGGTGGAAGCACAAGGAATAAGCTCCGGCGAGTAATTAAATCGATTACCCTCTATTCTTAATCGAATCAAGGAATCAGAGTTGGCAGGGGAAGGAATTTTCTTCACTCCGAGGGGTAATGAGGGAAAGAGCAGATACTCCGGCAATTTATGACTGCTGAAGGAAGCAAATGCCAGGGAACTCCGGCGGAGGTTTGGGAGATAGAAGAAAATCCCTTAGCCGGTGACCAACACCATCCCCAGCCGTCGCCAACTGCTGCAGGAGGAAGAGGAGCATGCCAGAAGGTAAACGGCGCAAGAACGGGCGACGGAGCAGCGGAAACAAGCGCGAAAAATGGAAAATACGGGCACCCGAAACGTCGAAACGCGAAACGTTTCGAGTCCTCAAAACCAAAATCGAAACGCGATAAATTGACGAGAAAGTGAAATTGACGAGATACGATATAAAGCTAAATATCGTGATATTTTGACGATATATTGACTTTTGTGCGATATATTGACTCGGATCTGAACGGGACCATCTCTGCCAAAAACAGGGTGCGGGAAGTCGCCGGAAAATGCAGAAAAACAAGCAGAGCCCTCTCCTGCTAACTTACCAAAGTCAAATTAAGAGCGATTACAAAGGGGAGAGCCAAGTAGAGCAAGTTGGAGAGAGAAGAACACTGATTTCCGGCATCTGACAGCTCGACTCTGTTTTTCCTCTGCCAACGACGGCGACAGCTGGGGATCAGTTCCGGCCTAGGAGAACTCTGTTCCAGCTGCTCAAGCCTCAAGTCCGTCGACTTTTTATGTACTGCTAGGGACCATCAGCCATGGAAACAGGGGAGGACAAAATGATGATGCTTGGCTTGCTTTGCTTTGTAGGCTCCCCGGCCCAAAGCCAAAGTGGATTCGATTCCTTTCTTGAGCCCTTCAATTTGGTTCCTTGCCGACGGCCCTCCATGGTGCAAAATGCAAGTGAAAGGCTTCACTTGACCCAATCAGAGCTCAAAACCCAACAAAAGAATCTGTTCGTTTTGAAAAAAAAAAAAAAAATCATAGGAGAATCAAAGGTGTACTGTGCTGCGAGAGATCAATCACAAAAGGATGTGGTCTCCCATCCTTAAAGAGCAAGTTTCTTTAATCAACTTGACAACATGAAAGACATGTTAGCACGGACTAAAATGAATCGATCCTGGTTTTGATATTTATTTATAAAGACTTTCGATTTTTCGACTTATCATTTGTACAAATAGAATGGTAATTAATTTGAGTGTTTATATATACTATCTAGTACAAATATGACCACATTGTAACCATGTAGGCTCATCGATGCCACCACGGCGCAAGCTGTAGCGTAACTATTAGCCATTGTGGAGACTGTGAATAGATAGTAATGCACTACTATTGCTTTCTTTAGAGAGGGACTGGTTGGACATGGATAATGGTGAATAGATGGTACTGCACTATTGCTCTAGAGAGAGACTGATTGGACTTGCGTTGTAGAAATCAAAGAACACTAGCGGTAGCATAGTAGTTGAAACTATCAGCCATGGTCGAATTCTTCGGAATGAAAATGGAAACTATACGGTAAGAAACCACGTACTAGGGTGTTTTCGGTCGAATTTGGACATTCGCGATAATTCGTAACAGATGGACTAAATAGAATGAAATTTGGGATTTGAAAAAAAAAAGAATTAGGCATAACTCGGAAGAACTGACCAGCAACCTTCACAGAAGAAAAGAGTCAAGATTTATAATATACTTCTTTGATTAATTCCGAACAAATAACCCCACATACATATTTATAGTAAAATACTGAAAATCATAATAATAAACCTAAACTAATATTTTTTAATAATTATCATAAGATGAACAAATAATAAGAACCAGTTTCAAACAGACGCTCCCAAGCAATGTACCAACCACCAATAAACTACTTTTCATGTAAACACACTTTTCTACCTAATTACCTTAATCATGCTTTCGGGGATCACGGAATCAGGTCGTGGCTATTCTCCACCGATAATAAAGTATATTGATCCTATTATCTAGGATGATAAGTCCATTATGCACCGATTTGGGCCAATTTATTTCCAGATGGCATTTTCGTAATTTACGGGCGACGAAAGCAATTTTCTTAGGATTTTGAAGGCTACAGGTCACGGATTCGGCTTGAGGCTATTCTTCAACGATAATGAAGTCTATTGATCCTATTCTCCACGGATGATAAGTCCATTAAGCACCGATTTGGTCCAATTTATTTTCAGGTGGCATTTTCATAATTTACGGGGCGACGAAAGCCATTTTCTTTGGATTTCGAAGGCTACATGTCACGGGTTCGGCCTGAGGGTATTCTTCAATGTTGATAAAGTCCATTAAGCACCGATTTGGACGGATTTATTCTTGATCAATTTTTGGCAGATTCCAAAGGGGTACCATCAGAGATTTCATGCGATTTTTCCGAAAGTCCAGTTTTTTCGATTCTCGAGGCTACAGATAACGGAATCAGTTCGTGGCTATTCTCCACCGATAATGAAGTCTATTGATCCTATTTGCCACGGATGAAAAGTCCATTAAGCACCGATTTGGGCCAATTTATTTTCGAATGACATTTCTGTAATTTATGGGCGACGAAAGCCATTTTCGTAGGATTTTGAAGGCTACAGGTCACGGATTTGGCTCGAGGCTATTCTTCAACGATGATTAAGTCCATTAAGCACCAATTTGGGCGGATTTATTCCTTGTCAATTTTTGGCAGATTTCGAAGGGGTACCTTTAAATATTTTGGGCGATTTTTCCGAAATACCATTTTTTTTCGATTCCGGAGGCTACAGATCACGGAATCAGGCCGAGGCTATTCTCCACCGATAATGAAGTCTACTGATCCTAGTCTCCACGGATGATAATTCCATTAATCTCGATTGGGCCAATTTATTTTCGGATGGCATTTTCGTAATTTATGGGGCGACGAAAGCCATTTTCTTTGCATTTTGAAGGCTACAGGTCACGGGTTCGGCTTGAGGGTATTCTTCAACGATGATTAAGTCCATTAAGTACCGATTTGGGCGAATTTATTCCGGGTCAATTTTTGGCAGATTCCAAAGGGGTACCATCACAAATTTCTGGCGATTTTTCCGAAATGCCATTTTCTTTCTATTCTGGAGGCTACAGATCACGAAATCAGGCCGAGGCTATTCTCCACCGATAATGAAGTCTATTGATCCTTTTCACCACGGATGATAAGTCCATTAAGCACCGATTTGGGCCAATTTATTTTCGGGTGGCATTATCGTATTTTACGGAGCGACGAAAGCTATTTTCTTTGCATTTTGAAGGCTACAGGTCACGGGTTCGTCCTGAGGCTATTCTTCAACGATAATTAAGTCCATTAATCACCGATTTGGGCTGATTTATTACTGGTCAATTTTTGGCAGATTCCAAAGGGGTACCATCACAGATTTTCAGGTGATTTTTCCGAAATGTCATTTTCTTACAATTTTGGAGGCTACAGATCACGAAATTAGGCCGAGGCTATTCTCCACCGATAATGAAGTCTATAGATTCTTTTCTTCACGGATGATAAGTCCATTAAGCACCGATTTGGGCCAATTTATTTTCGGGTGGCATTATCGTAATTTACGGGGCGACGAAAGCCATTTTCTATGGATTTTGAAGACTATAGGTCACGGGTTCGGCTTGAGGGTATTCTTCAACGATGATTAAGTCCATTAAGCACCGATTTGGGCGGATTTTTGGCAGATTCCAAAGGGGTACCATTTTTGGCAGATTCCAAAGGGGTACCATCACAAATTTCGGGCGATTTTTCCGAAATCCCATTTTCTTTCGATTCTGGAGGCTACAGATAAAGGAATCAGGCCGAGGCTATTCTCCACCGATAATGAATTCTATTGATCCTATTCTCCTTGGATGATAAGTCTATTAAGCACCGATTTGGGCAATTTATCTTTGAATGGAATTTTTGTAATTTACAAGGCGACGAAAGGCCATTTTTTTTAGATTTTGAAGGCTTCAGGTCAGATTCGGTCTAAGGCTATTCTTCAATGATGATTAAGTCCATCAAGCACTGATTTTGGCGGATTTATTCCGGTTAAATTTTTGGCAGATTCCAAAGTGGTACCATCACAAATTTCGGTGATTTTTCCGAAATGCCATTTTCTTTTGATTTTCGAGGCTACAGATCACGGAATCAGGCAGAGGCTATTCTCCAGGGATTATGAAGTCTATTGATCCTATTCTCCACAGACGATAAGTCCATTAAGCACCGATTTGGGCCAATTTATTTTTGGATTGCATTTTCGTAATTTGCTGGGCAACGAAAGCCATTTTCTTATGATATTGAAGGCTACAGCTCACTTATTCGCCCTGAGGCTATTCTTCAATGATGATTAAGTCCATTAAGCAGTGATATGGGAGGATTTATTTTGGGTCAATTGTTGGCAGATTCCTAAGGGGTACCATCACAGTTTTCGAACGATTTTTCCGAAATGCCATTTTCTTTCGATTCTGTAGGCTACAGATCACGGAATCAGGTCGTGGCTATTCTCCACCGATAATGAAGTCTTTTGATCCTATTCTCTAGGATGATAAGTCCATTTGCACCGATTTGGGCCAATTTATTTTCGGATGGCATTTTCGTAACTTACGGGGCGACGAAAGACATTTTCTTTGGATTTTGAAGGCTACAGGTTACGGATTCGGCTTGAGGCTATTCTTCAACGATAATGAAGTCTATTGATCCTATTCTCCACTGATGATAAGTCCATTAAGCACCGATTTGGTCCAATTTATTTTCAGGTGGAATTTTTGTAATTTACGGGGCGACAAAAGCCATTTTCTTTGGATTTTGAAGGCTACATGTCACGGGTTCGGCCTGAGGGTATTCTTCAATGTTGGTTAAGTCCATTAAGCAGCGATTTCGACGGATTTATTCTTGGTCAATTTTTGGCAGATTCCAAAGGGGTACAATCACAGATTTCGTGCGATTTTTCCGAAATGCCATTTTCTTAAAATTTTGGAGGCTACAGATCATAAAATTAGGCCGAGGCTATTCTCCACCGATAATGAAGTCTATTGATTCTTTTATCCACGGATGATAAGTCCATCAAGCACCGATTTGGGCCAATTTATTTTCGGGTGGCATTATCGTAATTTACGGGGCGACGAAAGCCATTTTCTTTGGATTTTGAAGACTACATGTCACGGGTTCGGCTTAAGAGTATTCTTCAACGATGATTAAGTCCATTAAGCACCGATTTGGGCGGATTTATTCCGGGTCAATTTTTGGCAGATTCCAAAGTGGTACCATCACAGATTTCGGGCGATTTTTCCGAAATCCCATTTTCTTTCGATTCTGGAGGCTACAGATAAGGAATCAGGCCGAGGCTATTCTCCACCGATAATGAAGTCTATTGATCCTATTCTCCACGGATGATAAGTCCATTAAGCACCGATTTGGGCAATTTATTTTTGAATAGAATTTTTGTAATTTACGGGGCGACGAAAGGACATTTTTTTAGATTTTGAAGGCTTCAGGTCATAGATTCGGCCTGAGGGTATTCTTCAACGATGATTAAGTCCATTAAGCACTGATTTTGGCGCATTTATTCCGGTTAAATTTTGACAGATTCCAAAGGGGTACCATCACAAATTTCGGTGATTTTTCCGAAATGCCATTTTCTTTCGATTCTCGAGGCTACAGATCACGGAATCAAGCCGAGGCTATTCTCCAGGGATTATGAAGTCTATTGATCCTATTTTCCACAGACGATAAGTCCATTAAGCACCGATTTCGCCCAATTTATTTTCGGATGGCATTTGCGTAATTTATGGGCGACGAAAGCCATTTTCGTAGGATTTTGAAGGCTACAGGTTACGGATTCGGCTTGAGGCTATTCCTCAACGATGATAAAGTCCATTAAGCACCGATTTGGGCGGATTTATTCCTTGTCAATTTTTGGCAGATTTGGAAGGGGTACCTTTAAAGATTTTGGGCGATTTTTCCGAAATACCATTTTCTTTCGATTCTGGAGGCTACAGATCACGGAATCAGGCCGAGGCTATTCTCCACCGATAATGAAGTCTACTAATCCTAGTCTCCACGGATGATAAGTCCATTAATCCTCGATTTGGGCCAATTTATTTTCGGATGGCATTTTCTTAATTTATGGGGCGACGAAAGACATTTTCTTTGCATTTTGAAGGCTACAGGTCACGGGTTCGGCTTGAGGGTATTCTTCAACGATAATTAAGTCTATCAAGTACCGATTTGGGCGAATTTATTCCGTGTCAATTTTAAGCAGATTCCAAAGAGGTACCATCACAGATTTCTGGCAATTTTTCCGAAATGCCATTTTCTTTCTATTCTGGAGGCTACACATCACGAAATCAGGCCGAGGCTATTCTCCACCGATAATGAAGTCTATTGATCCTTTTCACCACGGATGATAAGTCCATTAAGCACCGATTTGGGCCAATTTATTTTCGGGTGGCATTATCGTATTTTACGGAGCGACGAAAGCTATTTTCTTTGCATTTTGAAGGCTACAGGTCACGGGTTCATCCTGAGGCTATTCTTCAAGGTTGATTAAGTCCATTAAGCACCGATTTGGGCTGATTTATTACTGGTCAATTTTTGGCAGATTCCAAAGGGGTACCATCACAGATTTCAGGCGATTTTTCCGAAATGCCATTTTCTTACAATTCTGGAGGCTACAGATCACGAAATTAGGCCGAGGCTATTCTCCACCGATAATGAAGTCTATTGATTCTTTTCTTCACGGATGATAAGTCCATTAAGCACCGATTTGGGCCAATTTATTTTCGGGTGGCATTATCGTAATTTACGGGGCGACGAAAGCCATTTTCTTTGGATTTTGAAGACTATAGGTCACGGGTTCGGCTTGAGGGTATTCTTCAACGATGATTAAGTCCATTAAGCACCGATTTGGGCGGATTCATTCCGGGTCAATTTTTGGCAGATTCCAAAGGGGTACCATCACAAATTTCGGGCGATTTTTCCGAAATCCCATTTTCTTTCGATTCTGGAGGCTACAGATAAAGGAATCAGGCCGAGGCTATTCTCCACCGATAATGAATTCTATTGCTCCTATTCTCCATGGATGTTAAGTCCTTTAAGCACCGATTTGGGCAATTTATTTTCGAATGGAATTTTTGTAATTTACGGGGCGACGAAAGGCCATTTTTTTTAGATTTTGAAGGCTTCAGGTCACAGATTCGGCCTGAGGCTATTCTTCAATGATGATTAAGTCCATTAAGCACTGATTTTGGCGGATTTATTCCGATTAAATTTTTGGCAGATTCCAAAGTCGTACCATCACAAATTTCGGTGATTTTTCCGAAATGCCATTTTCTTTCGATTTTCGAGGCTACAGATCACGAAATCAGGCTGAGGCTATTCTCCAGGGATTATGAAGTCTATTGATCCTATTCTCCACAGACGATAAGTCCATTAAGCACCAATTTGGGCCAATTTATTTTCGGATGGCATTTTCGTAATTTGCTAGGCGACGAAAGCCATTTTCTTATGATATTGAAGGCTATAGCTCACTGATTCGCCCTGAGGCTATTCTTCAACGATGATTAAGTCCATTAAGCACTGATATGGGAGGATTTATTTTGGGTCAATTTTTTGCAGATTCCAAAGGGGTACCATCACAGTTTTCGAGCGATTTTTCCGAAATGCCATTTTCTTTCGATTCTGTAAGCTACAGATCACGGAATCAGGTCGTGGCTATTCTCCACCAATAATGAAGTTTATTGGTCCTATTCTCTAGGATGATAAGTCCATTTGCACCGATTTTGGCCAATTTATTTTCGGATGGCATTTTCGTAACTTACGGGGCGACGAAAGCCATTTTCTTTGGATTTTGAAGGCTACAGGTTACGGATTCGGCTTGAGGCTATTCTTCAACCATAATGAAGTCTGTTGATCCTATTCTCCACTGATGATAAGTCCATTAAGCACCGATTTTGTCTAATTTATTTTCAGGTGGCATTTTTGTAATTTACGGGGCGACGAAAGCCATTTTCTTTGGATTTTGAAGGCTACATGTCACGGGTTCGGCCTGAGGGTATTCTTCAATGTTGATTAAGTCCATTAAGCAGCGATTTGGACGGATTTATTCTAGGTCAATTTTTGGCAGATTCCAAAGGTGTTAATCACAAATTTCATGCAATTTTTTCGAAATGCCATTTTCTTACAATTCTGGAAGCTACAGATCATAAAATTAGGCCGAGGCTATTCTCCATCGATAATGAAGTCTATTGATTCTTTTCTCCACGGATGATAAGTCCATTAAGCACCGATTTGGGCCAATTTATTTTTGGGTGGCATTATCGTAATTTACGGGGCGACGAAAGCTATTTTCTTTGTATTTTGAAGACTACATGTCACGGGTTCGGCTTGAGGGTATTCTCCAACGATGATTAAGTCCATTAAGCACCGATTTGGGCGGATTTGTTCCGGGTCAATTTTTTGCAGATTCCAAAGGGGTACCATCGCAGATTTCGGGCGATTTTTTCGAAATCCCATTCTCCAAGGATTATGAAGTCTATTGATCCTATTCTCCACAGATGATAAGTCCATTAAGCACCAATTTGGGCCAATTTATTTTCGGATGGCATTTTCGTAATTTGCTAGGCGACGAAAGCCATTTTCTTATGATATTGAAGGCTACAGCTCACTGGTTTGCCCTGAGGCTATTCTTCAACGATGATTAAGTCCATTAAGCACTGATTTGAGAGGATTTATTTTGGGTTAATTTTAGGCAGATTCGAAAGGGGTACCATCACAGTTTTCGAGCGATTTTTCCGAAATGCCATTTTCTTTCGATTCTGTAGGCTACAGATCACGGAATCAGGTCGTGGCAATTCTCCACCGATAATGAACTCTATTGATCCTATTCTCTAGGATGATAAGTCCATTATGCACCAATTTGGGCCAATTTATTTTCGGCTGGCATATTCGTAATTTACGGGGCGACGAAAGCCATTTTCTTTGGATTTTGATGGCTACATGTCACGGGTTGGGCCTGAGGGTATTCTTCAATGTTGATTAAGTCCATTAAGCACCGATTTGGACGGATTTATTCTTGGTCAATTTTTGGCAGATTCCAAAGGGGTACCATCAGAGATTTCGGGCGATATTTTCGAAAGTCCAGTTTTTTCGATTCTGGAGGCTACAGATCACGGATTCAGGTCGTGGCTATTCTCCACCGATAATGAAGTCTATTGATCCTATTCGCCACGGATCAAAAGTCCATTAAGCACCGATTTGGGCCAATTTATTTTCGAATGGTATTTTCGTAATTTATGGGCGACGAAGCCATTTTCGTAGGATTTTGAAGGGTACATGTCAAGGATTCGGTTTGAGGCTATTCGTCAACGATGATTAAGTCCATTAAGCACCGATTTGGGCTGATTTATTCCTTGTCAATTTTTGGCAGATTCCAAAGGGGTACCATCACAGATTTCCGGCGATTTTTCTGAAATGCCATTTTCTTTCTATTCTGGAGGCTACTGATCACGAAATCAAGCCGAGGCTATTCTCCACCGATAATGAAGTCTATTGATCCTTTTCTCCACGGATGATAAGTCCATTAAGCAACAATTTTGGCCAATTTATTTTCGGGTGGCATTATCGTAATTTACGGAGCGACGAAAGCAATTTTCTTTGCATTTTGAAGGCTACAGGTCACGGGTTCGTCCTGAGGCTATTCTTCAATGGTGATTAAGTCCATTAAGCACCGATTTGTGCTGATTTATTACTGGTCAATTTTTGGCAGATTCCAAAGGGGTACCATCACAGATTTCAGGCGATTTTTTCCGAAATGCCCTTTTCTTACAATTCTGGAGGCTACAGATCACGAAAATAGGCCGAGGCTATTCACCACCGATAATGAAGTCTATTGATTCTTTTCTTCACGGATGATAAGTCCATTAAGCACCGATTTTGGCCAATTTATTTTAGGGTGGCATTATCATAATTTACGGGGCGACGAAAGCCATTTTCTTTGGGTTTTGAAGACTACAGATAACGGGTTCGGCTTGAGGGTATTCTTCAACGATGATTAATTCCATTAAGCACCAATTTGGGTAGATTTATTCCGGGTCAATTTTTGGCAGATTCCAAAGTGGTACCATCACAGATTTCGGGCGATTTTTCCGAAATGCCATTTTCTTTCCGTTCTGGAGGCTACAGATTAAGGAATCAGGCCGAGGCTATTCTCCACCGATAATGAAGTCTATTGATCCTATTCTCCATGGATGATAAGTCCATTAAGCACCGATTTGGGCAATTTATTTTCGAATGGAATTTTTGTAATTTACGGGGCGACGAAATGCAATTTCTTTTAGATTTTGAAGGCTTCAGGCCAGGTCACAGATTCGGCCAGAGGCTATTCTTCAACGATGATTAAGCCCATCAAGCACTGACTTAGGCGGATTTATTCCGGTTAAATTTTTGGCAGATTCCAAAAGGGTACCATCACTGATTTCGGTGATTTTTTCGAAATGCCATTTTCTTTCGATTCTCGAGGCTACAGATCACGGAATCAGGCCGAGACTATTCTCCAGCGATTATGAAGTCTATTGATCCTATTCTCCACAGACGATAAGTCCATAGCACCGATTTGGGCCAATTTATTTTTGTATGACATTTTTCGTAATTTGCTTGGCGACGAAAGCCATTTTCTTGTGATATTGAAGGCTACAGCTCACTGATTCGCCATGAGGCTATTCTTCAACGATGATTAGTTCCATTAAGCACTGATTTGGGAGGATTTATTTTGGGTCAATTTGTGGCAGATTCCAAAGGGGTACCATCACAGTTTTCGAGCCATTTTTCCAAAATGCCATTTTCTTTGGATTCTGTAGGCTACAGATCATGGAATCAGGCCGAGGCCATTCTCCACCGATAATGAAGTCTATTGATCCTATTCTCTACGGATGATAAGTCCATTAAGAACCGATTTGGTCCAATTTATTTTCAGGTGGCATTTTTCGTAATTTACGGGGCAACAAAAGCCATTTTATTTGGATTTTGAAGGCTACATGTCACGGGTTCGGCCTGAGGGTATTCTTCAATGTTGATTAAGGCCATTAAGCACCGATTTGGACGGATTTATTCTTGGTCAATTTTTGACAAATTCCAAAGGCATTAGAGATTTCGGGCGTTTTTTCCGAAAGTCCAGTTTTTTCGATTCTGGAGGCTACATATCACGGATTCAGGTAGTGGCTATTCTCCACCGATAATGAAGTCTATTGATCCTATTCGCCATGGATGAAAAGTCCATTAAGCACCGATTTGGGCCAATTTATTTTCGGATGGCATTTTCGTAATTTATGGGCAAAGAAAGCCATTTTCGTAGGATTTTGAAAGCTACAGGTCACGGATTCGGTTTGAGGCTATTCGTAAACGATGATTAAGTCCATTAAGCACCGGTTTGGGCGGATTTATTCCTTGTCAATTTTTGGCAGATTTCGAAGGGGTACCTTTAAAGATTTTGGGCGATTTTTCCGAAATACCAATTTCTTTCGATTGTGGATACAGATCACGGAATCAGGCCGAGGCTATTCTCCACCGATAATGAAGTCTACTGATCCTAGTCTCCACGGATGCTAAGTGCATTAATCCTCGATTTGGGCCAATTTATTTTCGGATGACATTTTCGTAATTTATGGGGCGACGAAAGCTATTTTCTTTGCATTTTGAAGGCTACAGGTCACGGTTTCGGCTTGAGGGTATTATTCAACGATAATTAAGTCCATTAAGTACCGATTTGGGTGAATTTATTCCGGGTCAATTTTTGGCAGATTCCAAAGGTGTACCATCACAGATTTCTGGCGATTTTTCGAAATGCCATTTTCTTTCTATTCTGGAGGCTACAGATCACGAAATCAGGGCGAGGCTATTCTCAACCGATAATGAAGTCTATTGATCCTTTTCTCCGCGGATGATAAGTCCATTAAGCACCGATTTGGGCCAATTTATTTTCGGGTGGCATTATCGTAATTTACGGGGCGACGAAAGCCATTTTCTTTGGATTTTGAAGACTACAGATAACGGGTTCGGCTTGAGGGTATTCTTCAACGATGATTAATCCCATTAAGCACTGATTTGGGCAGATTTATTCCGGGTCAATTTTTTGCAGATTCCAAAAGGGTACCATCACAGATTTCTGGCGATTTTTCCGAAATGCCATTTTCTTTCCGTTCTGGAGGCTACAGATTATGGAATCAAGCCGAGGCTATTCTCCACCGATAATGAAGTCTATTGATCCTATTCTCCATGGATGATAAGTCCATTAAGCACCGATTCTGGCAATTTATTTTCGAATGGAATTTTTGTAATTTACGGGGTGAAAAATGCAATTTTTTTTTAGATTTTGAAGGCTTCAGGTCACAGATTCGGCCAGAGGACATTCTTCAACAATGATTAAGTCCATTAAGCACTGACTTAGGCGGATTTATTCCGGTTAAATTTTTGGCAGATTCCAAAAGGGTACCATCACAGATTTCGGTGATTTTTCCGAAATGCCATTTTCTTTCGATTCTCGAGGCTACAGATCACGGAATCAGGCCGAGGCTATTCTCCAGCGATTATGAAGTCTGTTGATCCTATTCTCCACAGAAGATAAGTCCATAGCACCGATTTGGACCAATTTATTTTCGTATGACATTTTCGTAATTTGCTTGGCGACGAAAGCCATTTTCTTATGATATTGAAGGCTACAGCTCACTGATTCGCCCTGAGGCTATTCTTCAACGATGATTAGTTCCATTAAGCACATATTTGGGAGGATTTATTTTGGGTCAATTTGTGGCAGATTCCAAAGGGGTACCATCACAATTTTCGAGCGATTTTTCCGAAATGCCATTTTCTTTGGATTCTGTAGGCTACAGATCACGGAATCAGGCCGAGACCATTCTCCACCGATAATGAAGTCTATTGATCCTATTCTCTACGGATGATAAGTCCATTAAGAACCGATTTGGTCCAATTTATTTTCAGGTGGCATTTTCGTAATTTACGGGGCGACAAAAGCCATTTTCTTTGGATTTTGAAGGCTACATGTCACGGGTTCGGCCTGAGGGTATTCTTCAATGTTGATTAAGGCCATTAAGCACCGATTTGGACGGATTTATTTTTGGCAGATTCCAAAGGGGACCATCACAGATTTTGGGCGATTTTTCCGAAAGTCCAGTTTTTTCGATTCTGGAGGCTACAGATCACGGAATCAGGTTGTGGCTATTCTCCACCGATAATGAAGTCTATTGATCCTATTCGCCACGGATGATAAGTCCATTAAGCACCGATTTGGGCCAATTTATTTTCGGATGGCATTTTCGTAATTTATGGGCGACGAAATCCATTTTCGTAAGATTTTGAAGGCTACAGGTCACGGATTCGGCTAGAGGCTATTCTTCAACGATGATTAAGTCCATTAAGCACCGATTTGGGCTGATTTATTCCTTTTCAATTTTTGGCAGATTACGAAAATTCCATCAAAGATTTTCGAATGACATTTTCGTAATTTATGGGGCGACGAAAGACCATTTTCTTTGGATTTTGAAAGCTACAGGTCACGGATTCTGCTTGAGGCTATTCTTCAACGATGATTAAGTCCACTAAGCACCAATTTGGTTGGATTTATTCCGGGTCAATTTTTGGCAGATTCCAAAGGGGGTACCGTCAAAGATTTTGGGCGATTTTTCCAAATTTCCATTTTCTTTCGATTCTGGGGGCTACAAATCACGGAATCAGGCCGATGCTATTCTCTACCGATAATAAAGTCTATTGATCCCTTAAGCACCGATTTGTGCCAATTTTTTTCGAATGGAATTTTCGTAATTTATGGGGCGACGAAAGACCATTTTCTTTGGATTTTGAAAGCTACAGGTCATGGATTCGCCCCGAGGTTATTCTTTAATGATGATTAAGTCTATTAAGCACCGATTTTTGGGCGGATTTATTCCGGGTCAATTTTTGGTAGATTTCAAAGGGGTACCATCACAGATTTCGGGCGATTTTTCCGAAATGCCATTTTCTTTCGATTCTGCGTGCTACAGATAACGAAATTAGGCCGAGGCTATTCTCCACCGATAATGAAGTCTAATGATCCTATTCTCCACGGATGTTAAGTCCATTAAGCACCGATTTGGGCCAATTTATTTTCGGATGACAATTTCGTAATTTACGGGGTGACGAAAGGGCATTTTCTTTGAATTATGAAGGCTACAAGTCACGGATTCGGCCTGAGGCTATTATTCAAAGATGATTAGGTCCATTAAGCACCAACTTAGGCGGATTTATTCATGGAAAATTTTTGGCAGATTCCAAAGAGGTACCTTTAAAGATTTTGGGCGATTTTTCCGAAATGCCATTTTCTTTCGATTCTGGAGGCTACAGATCACGAAATCAGGCCGAGGCTATTCTCCACCGATAATGAAGTCTACTGATCCTAGTCTCCATGGATGATAAGTCCATTAAGCCTCGATTTGGGCCAATTTATTTTCGGATGGCATTTTCGTAATTTACGGGGCGACGAAAGCCATTTTTTTTGGATTTTGAAGGCTTCAGGTCACGAATTTGTCCTGAGTCTATTCTTCAACGATGATTAAGTCCATTAAGCACCGATTTGGGCGGATTTATTCCTGGTCAATTTTTGGCAGATTCCAAGGGGGTACCATCACAAATTACGAGTGATTTTTCCGAAATGCCATTTTCTTTCGATTCTAGAGGCTACAGAGCACGGAATCAGGCCGAAGCTATTCTCCAGCGATAATGAAATCTATTGATCCTATTCTGCACGGATGATAAGTCCATTAAGCACCAATTTGGGCCAATTTATTTTCGGATGGCATCTTCATAATTTACGGGGTGACGAAAGCCATTTTCTTTCGATTTTGAAGGCTACAGGTCACGGATTCGGCCTGAAGCTATTCTTCAATGATGATTAAGTCTATTAAGAACCGATTTGGGCGGATTTATTTCGGCTCAATTTTTGGCTAATTCCAAAGTGGTACCATCACAGATTTTGGGCGATTTTTCCAAAATGATATTTTCTTTCGATTTTGGAAGCTACAGATCACGAAACTAGGCCGAGGCTATTCTCCACCGATAATGAAGTCTATTGATCCTATTCTCCACAGATGTTAAGTTCATTAAGCACCGATTTGGGCCAATTTATTTTCGGATGGCATTTTCGTAATTTACGGGGCGTCGAAAGTCCATTTTCTTTGGATTTTGAAGGCTACAGGTCACGGATTCGGCCTGAGGCTATTCTTTAACGATGATTAAGTCCATTAAGCACCGATTTGGGCAAATTTATTCCTCGTCAATTTTTAGCAGATTCCAAATCTGGCGATTTTTCCGAAATGCCATTTTCTTTCGATTCTCGAGGCTACAGATAACGGAATCAGGCAGAGACTATTCTCCCCCGATAATGAAGTCTATTGATCCTATTCTCCATGGATGATAAGTCCATTAAGCACCGATTTGGGCCAATTTATTTTCGGATGCCATTTTCGTAATTTTTGGGGCTACTTAATGCCATTTTCTTTGGATTTTGAAGGCTACAGATCACAGATTTGGCCTGAGGCTATTTTTCAATTATGATTAAGTCTATTAAGCACCGATTTGGATGGATTTATTCTTGGTCAATTTTTCGCAGATTCCAAAAGGGTTAAATCACAGATTTCGGGCGATCTTTCCGAAATGCCATTTTCTTTCGATTCTGGAGGCTACAGATCACGGAATCAGGCCAATGCAATTCTCCAACGATAATGAAGTCTATTGATCCTATTCTCCACGGATGATAAGTCCATTAAGCACCGATTTGGGCCAATTTATTTTCGGATGGCATTTTCGTAATTTATGTAACACCCTATCCTATACGTATTACCTAATCATATTGTTCATACAAATGCAACGGAATTAATCTCGGGTGTTACATTAATTATCAAAATTTACCAAAATAAAATTTTGACATGAGTTACTCGCGTAATGGGCTAACAGTTCTTGTAACTAAAACCTGCAAAATAATTTATCTGAATCCTTGCATCCATAAACAAACATATATTTCATACTCCACAACTGCATACCTTACTAATACATATCATAGTCGTCATAACTTACACAACCACATAAATATACACATATCATCAACTTTCCACACCTGTGGATATCTCACACTACATCAGAAGCTAGTATGCACATGAAAAACGTTCTCAAAACATTTTTACAAAAAGGTGTGGATCACTGGCCAAAATTCCGAGTAGTAGTCCAAACACAGAATAGTTGAAGACCATAACTCATCTTGCCTTCAACTCTTACACAACTCCCACCTATACACCTATCTACTGCTGCTGCTGATGATGATCTGCTTACACATGGCATAAGCAGAGAAAAAGGATAAAGAGGGTCAGCTCATAGCTGAGTGAGATAATCATAGCATCGTGAGTTCATAACAGAGCATACCCCTACCATACATCTAGCAAACAAGTCAAAGCACTAGGATCAGACCTCAGGCATCCGACATCCCAATAGGCAAAAGACTCAACCACCTTGACTTATGCATATGCATCTTATCATGTTTTACTTATAGGCGCCTGGCTACTCCCATGCTAATAACTCTCCCGGGAAACATACCCCACATCTCGTCGGATGTAGTCATACATACCCCAACATCCCGTCGGATGTGGTCATACATACCCCACACCACTATGGGTGTAGTCATACTCCGACACCGGTCTGGGTGTGGTCATATCTCGTAAGAATTCTTCAGTCACCATCACATGAGAAGTGTGACTATCATACATATCATAATAGAGTAATAGCATAGGGAGCCCTAATTACTATGTAGTTGACCGTGAGACCACAACCCTCATATTTGGTATCCTTATACATGATTCATATCTCATCTTGCTTAATCATAATTCATTACTTGCACATGTACTTGACCTGGCCATAATTGGCTCAACATTGGTAAATCAGGAGTCGTATAATTGCACTTCCTCGGGATAAACCCTCGTGCTTGTCATCCTCCTTAAACATCATAATATCACCCTGGGAAGTTTATTTCCCCCACTTGAGAATCCAAATACAACCACAATATCACATCATGTCAAAACACCTGATCGAATAACCAAGAAGTCATATCAACGGTTAAGCCACAAATTGCAACATGTATGCAATCATTAACATAAACAAGGTCCATATCGGCTAAGGCAAGTCAATAATATCATACAACAATCCATGGTTCATCATATAGCATAAAAGTCCATACACCCCTAATCATGCCATTCTAATTCACCTAGGTCAATTCTAAGCATCAATATAATTATCGTGATACGACAAACCCGGTATGCCGTTCTAATCCCTCACCAGTTATGGTCGTTCAAACACCAGTTTTAGCCTCCCGTACTAAAACTTCAATTTTCTCAAACAAACTCGGAATCAAAATCCGAGATTATCCTAATATCCCCTGCAGTGTCCCCGTCAATGTTAATTCTAGGCTCCGGATCAAATTCTCGATAAAAACATATCAAGCCCTGGTCGGAGCTAAATTCAGAGATTTGGACCCCGACCTAAATAATTGCAGAAATTCAGGGATTAGAACTGGAGGATTGATTACCTCGCTGCAGGAAGCTCGTATATGAAATTTGGGCTCAATCCGGCTTCCGGATACTCCGAAATCCTAATTTGGCTTATCGGGAATTCAAGAAATTCTTGAACCAAAAACTCGTTTTAAAGTTCTAAATCGGTAAACTACTATGTATGGATGGATTAGGCATTACTTACGGGATTTTTGGATTGTTAGAGCTTAAGAATTAAGCTCTGCTATTTCTCACCGAGCTGTCCTGTGCGCGCTCTGTTTCTCTGGGTATGGAAGAAGAAAGAAATGGGACGGAAGTGAAATGGAAAGGGAGGTGGGTTTACGTACGTGTATATATATATATATGTGTGTGTGTGTGAAGCCTACCACTTACCTTTCTGTCCGTTTTCCTTTTGCAACACATAGCAACGTGTATGATTAATTAACAATAGCCTCGAGCCGAATCCGTGATCTGTAGCCTCCAAAATCGAAAGAAAATGGCATTTCGGAAAAATCGCCCGAAATATGTGATGGTACCCCTTTGGAGTCTGCCAAAAATGGACCCGGAAGATAACCACACAAATTGGCTCTGGATGGACTTAATCGTCGTTGAAGAATAGCGTCATGCCAAATCCACCATCTTTATCCATAAAAATCCAAGGAAAATGGCCTTTCGAAAAAAATTGCTCAAATAATTACGAAAATAACATCACAAAATATATTGGCCCAATTCGGTGCTTAATTGACTTAATCATCGGCGCAGAATAGGATCAATAGACTTTATTATCGGTGGAGAATAGCCTCGAGCCGAATCCGTGATCTGTAGCCTCCAAAATCGAAAGAAAATGGCATTTCAGAAAAATCGCCCGAAATCTGTGATGGTACCCCTTTGGGGTCTGCCAAAAATGGACCCGGGATAAATCCGCCCAAATTGGCCTTGGATGGACTTAATCGTCGTTGAAGAATAGCCTCATGCCGAATCCACCATCTTTATCCTTCAAAATCCAAGGAAAATGGCCTTTCGAAAAAAATTGCTCAAATAATTACGAAAATGCCATCCCAAAATATATTGGCCCAATTCGGTGCTTAATTGACTTTATCATCGGCGCAGAATAGGATCAATAGACTTTTTTATCGGTGGAGAATAGCCTGGAGCCAAATCCGTGATCTGTTGCCTCCAAAATCGAAAGAAAATGGCATTTCGGAAAAATCGCCCAAAATCTGTGATGGTACCCCTTTGGAGTCTGCCAAAAATGGACCCGGAAGAAATCCCCCCAAATTGGCCCTGGATGGACTTAATCGTCGTTGAAGAATAGTCTCAGGTCGAAGCCACCATCTCTATCCTTCAAAATCCAAGGAAAATGGCCTTACGAAAAAAAATTGCTCAAATAATTACAAAAATGCCATCCCAAAATATATTGGCCCAATTCGGTGCTTAATTGACTTAATCATCGGCGCAGAATAGGATCAATAGACTTTATTGTCGGTGGAGAATAGCCTCGAGCCGAATCTGTGATCTGTAGCCTCAAAAATCGAAAGAAAATGGCATTTCGGAAAAACCACCTGAAATCTGTGATAGGACCCCCTTTGGAGTCTGCCAAAAATTGACCCTGAAGAAATCCACACAAATTGGCCCTTGATGGACTTAATCGTCGTTGAAGAATAGCCTCAGGCCGAATCCACCATCTTTATCCTTCAAAATCCAAGGAAAATGGCCTTTCGAAAAAAATTGCTCAAATAATTACGAAAATGCCATCCCAAAATATATTGGCCCAATTAGGTGCTTAATTGACTTAATCATCGGCGCAGAATGGGATCAATAAACTTTTTTTATCGGTGGAGAATAGCCTGGAGCCGAATCCATGATCTGTAGCCTCCAAAATCGAAAGAAAATGACATTTCGGAAAAATGGCCCGAAATCGGTGATGGTACCCCTTTGGAATCTGCCAAAAATGGACCCGGAAGAAATCCGCCCAAATTGGCCCTGGATGGACTTAATCGTCGTAGAAGAATAGCCTCAGGCCGAATCCACCATCTTTGTCCTTCAAAATCAAAGGAAAATGGCCTTACGAAAAAAATTGCTCAAATAATTACGAAAATGCCATCCCAAAATATTTTGGCCCAATTCGGTGCTTAATTGACTTAAACTTTTGCGCAGAATAGGATCAATAGACTCTATTATCGGTGGAGAATAGCCTCGAGCCGAATCCGTGATCTGTAGCCTCCAAAATCGAAAGAAAATGGCATTTCGGAAAAATCGCCCGAAATTTGTGATGATACCCCTTTGGAGTCTGCCAAAAATGGACACGGAAGAAATCCGCCCAAATTGGCCCTAGATGGACTTAATCGTCGTTGCAGAATAGCCTCAGGCCGAATCCACCATCTTTATCCTTCAAAATCCAAGGAAAATGGACTTTCAAAAAAAATTGCTCAAATAATTACGAAAATGCCATCCCAAAATATATTGGCCCAATTCGGTGCTTAATTGACTTAAACTTTTGCGCAGAATAGGATCAATAGACTCTATTATCGGTGGCGAATAGCCTCGAGCCAAATCCGAGATCTATAGCCTCCAAAATCGAAAGAAAATGGCATTTCGGAAAAATCGCCCGAAATCTGTGATGGTGCCCCTTTGGAGTGTGCCAAAAATGGAGCCGGAAAAAATCCGCCCAAATTGGTCCTGGGTGGACTTAAGCGTCGTTGAAGAATAGCCTCAGACCGAATCCACCATCTTTATCCTTCAAAATCCAAGGAAAATGGCATTTCGAAAAAAAATTGCTCAAATAATTATGAAAATGTCATCCAAAATATATTGGCCCAATTCCGTGCTTAATTGACATAATCATCGGCGCAGAATAGGATCAATAGACTTTATTATCGGTGGAGAATAGCCTCGAGCCGAATCCGTATTCTATAGCCTCCAAAATCGAAAGAAAATGGCATTTCGGGAAAATCGCCCGAAATCTGTGATGGTACCCCTTTGGAGTCTGCCAAAAATGGACCCGGAAGAAATCCGCCCAAATTGGCCCTAGATGGACTTAATCGTCGTTGAAGAATAGCCTCAGGCCGAATCCAGCATCTTTATCCTTCAAAATGCAAGGAAAATTGCCTTTCGAAAAAAATTGCTCTAATAATTACAAAAATGCCATCCCAAAATATATTGGCCCAATTCGGTGTTTAATTAACTTAATCATCGGCGCAGAATAGGATCAATAGACTTTATTATTGGTGGAGAATAGCCTCGAGCCGAATCCGTGATCTGTAGCCTCCAAAATCGAAAGAAAATGGCATTTCGGAAAAATCGACCGAAATCTGTGATGGTACCCCTTTGGGGTCTGCCAAAAATGGGCTCGGAAGAAATCCGCCCAAATTGGCATTGGATGGTCTTAATCGTCGTTGAAGAATAGCCTCAGGCCGATTCCACCATCTTTATCCTTCAAAATCCAAGGAAAATGGCCTTTCGAAAAAAATTGCTCAAATAATTACTAAAATGCCATCCCAAAATATATTTGCCCAATTCGGTGCTTAATTGACTTAATCATCGGCGCAGAATAGGATCAATAGACTTTTTTATCGGTGGAGAATAGCCTGGAGCCGAATCCGTGATCTGTAGCCTCCAAAATCGAAAGAAAATGGCATTTCGGAAAAATCGCCCGAAATCCGTGATCATGATCAGGAATGTCCTGTCGTAGTCGACCATACCTTCCCACATCCCAAACTGAGCTTTGAAGAGGCGGGCATGAGTGAGGAGATGCAAGAAAATCTCATGAAAGAAATTGCTTGGCAATTTGCTCTCCATTCCGTGCTAGAAGAAGAAGAGCGAGAAAGGGTGCAGAAAGAAGTTGTGGAGGATGATGAAAGTGAAGCAGAAGGAGTTCTTGATAATTTCCCAGGGGTGATACCACATGAAGAAGGAAGGGACGTTGAAGAAGCAATTGGCGTCCAGGCCGAGGACGAAGTTGAGGTGGAAGAGGCTTGCACCGGCTGTGATTTACATGTGATATCTCCACCAAACTTCGAGGAATTGCTTAGCAAGGACCCATTTGCAGTGTCTCTTTGCCAGACCATGGCCACATCGACATCGGTCCCTCTTTGTGGACGCGATGGTGGTAAATCGATGCTGTCATATCTAGTTTGGGGCAATGAGACGAGAGGAGAGAAGAAGAGGTCTCGAGGGTGGAGAATTCATCTGCATCAAGCGCACAAGCTTCCATCACCTGTCATACCACATGCTCGTGACTTGAGACTCCACCTCATTGACGAGAACCTCAACTTCAAGGAGGTTTTGTGGTGGACCGAAACTTAGGAGGTATCGTCCGGCTCACGACGTGAAAGAAGCGCTTGTTGGGAGGCAACCCAACCAGTCGGTTTGCATTTCTTTCTCTTTTTCTCCTCGGCTGAGTCAGTTTTTTTGTTCTTTGATTTTAGAGTCAATAACTCAACCTTTGTGAGATTTTGTGTGGTGTTTTTGTTCCGACTACTCTCTCTTCCTGGAATGCACCGCCTGTCCCGTCCACCATCATTCACCCTTGATCTGGTAACTTCGTTCTACCCTCCTTATCTTTCCTCCATTGAGGACAATGTCGTGCTTAAGTGTGGGGGGGGGGGAGTTCGATTATGTATGCGGGTGAATGTTTGGCTGTTTGTGTGCTTGGAGCCTAGTCCACTGTCCAAATTTTTAAATTTGAGGGCTCCATGTACGTGTTTCCTTGCAAATTGCCTGCTCAGTATGCTTTGAATTGACAGTCTCTGTAGTAATATGCAACCTAGGGAGGTAGTGTAGCACTATGGAGGGTGTTGAAGTATAAGATTTTCCCTATCTAGCTCTCTGCTGTGTCAGTTGATTTTGTGAATTAGTGGAGCTAAGACCGTTGAATTCATGTGGTAATGGTGACTCTGTTTGGATTGTGTTATGGACTCGTGTATCGAACAGGGTGCTCATGTGAGAAATGAAAAGCAGTTGGTCCTCCATGTCGAAATCATTGAAATCTTAAACATGGGGTAAGCCCAACGTGTGTGGCACCGTTCATTGCACAAAATCGGGTTTTGGAAGAGATTTTAGTGATCCTTAGTGGGGTACTCCTACAAGGTGAAGCTAAGCTGTCTCTAGTACAAGTAAAATTTTCACCCGTTGAACGGTTTGCCTACTCGAGGATGTGTTTTTAAGGGCACGGATAGAGCTTCCGACCCCCCTTAATTTCATTGACCCTCCACACAAGTTGAGGAAAAGGAATTAAAAGAAGTACTCTGGCGAGCGCCAGATGTACAGAAATTGCTCTTGCTCGACTAATAAGGGTCGACCGTGCAAAAGACTGCAGTTGGAACCCCCGCCAAGTGAATAAAAAAGAAAAAAATAAGTAAAATGAGAGTGAAAAAGGGGTTCCGACAGTGAAATGAAGTGAAAGAGCACCCCGGTACAACGAGTCCTTGGTTATGAATGGTGTGAGTCCCTTTATCCATGAACTGACTGTCTTACTTCTACTTCTTCTCATGATCCTGGCTTGAGTCTAGTACTCGCATTGAGAGAGATAGGGAACGTCTTAGAAGACCAGTTGACCTCATAAGCTGCTATATGATCTAGAAAATCCTCTACCGAAGATCGGGGTTGTATGTTGCTATAGAGGTCTGGAGAGATGCATTGGTTTGAGTTAGGTTTTCTTGGGGACAAGCAAACGGTTAAGTGTGGGGGGATTTGATGACTCGATATTTGCACATGTTTTCCCCTTTGTTTCTTGATCGTTTGAGCTTTAATTATCGCGTCTTTGGCCTATTTTATGCTAGGTTGTGTTCCTTTGTTACATTTCAGGTCCTAGCACATAAAGTGAAGCATAGGCGCAAGTTTCAAGTCAATCAGAGATCAATTGGCGATTTGGGAGAAGAAACTCGGGCATGACCTAAAGAAGAATGGATTTCTACCTCACTTTATGGACAAAGAATCATTCAAGTTTGTCATGAAAAGAAAGAGGACGAGACTACGAGCGTCTGGGATCAAACGGCGACTGATTCGGAGTCCGGACGAGAGAGAAACAAAGCATTGAATATAGGGGAACAGGTTCGGCAGTAGAAACACGGGCGCGCCTAAATCAAAACACGACCGTGCCCATATTTAGGCACGACCGTGTTTTGGCCAACGCGCGCGGGCGTGTTTTTAACACGGGGCAAAACACGGGCGGGCAAAAGCAAAACACGGCCGTGTCCTCGACGGTGTTTTGCCCAGAATCGGGTTTTTTAGGCAGATTGAAGCCAAAGGAAAGGGGGAGCTGGGTTTTGGATCCCAAACACCCAAGGGATGAACTCTAGAGAGAGAGAGCGACTTGGGAACATTCTTGGAGCTATTTTGGAGGATTTCTTTGCCATTGGAGATCGGGAATCAAGCTTGGAGATGGAGATTGAAGATCTAGATCAGATTTCTGCAGTCTCTCTCTTCTCTATAGGGTAACTTCTTTTCACTTAGGTTTTGAGGAAACCTAGTTCCATGTGTTAGGATCTTTCTTGTATGAAGTTTTGGATGTTATATTGTTTGATTATAATCGATTGAGGCATGATTTATTGAGTCAATTGAATCTTGATCAAATTCCCTTAATTTCTGCTTTAACCTATGATAGATAGAATCTGATTAGGTTAAGAGAGCTTCCTTGATTGATAGTGGTGAATTGGTTGTGCAAGAGTCAATCAATTCACTGCTTTGTACTGGAATTCATTCCAGTAATGGAGATCTGTGTGAATCGACTTAGCAGTCTATCCCGGTGAAGGCTAGTCGCCTGCCGGGTATTCTGTCTAAGAGGGCTTGGTCAGCTTAAGAGATTCCAAGCTAATTTAGGATCTTCCGCAGTTTAATCAATAGTAGATCAACCAAAGGTAATTGCAACTTGGACCTAATTGAGGAGCTAGGGGGAATCATACCTAAGTGAGTTCCCAACCTGTAATTAGATTAACTTTAACTGTAGTTTGCTAGAGTAGTTTTAGTTCTTTCATCTTAATCTGGTTTGCTAGATAATGAACTGAAGCTGAGTAATAGTAACTCTAGAGACTCGTGGATTTGATATTTATTACTTGAGCCACTATACTGCAGTCCCTTTCATTGGTTACACTTGGTCTTTGTTAGGAGTTGTGTCGTAGCGAGTCATACCCCTTTGGAGTCTGCCAAAAATGGACCCGGAAGAAATCCGCCAAATTGGCCCTGGATGGACTTAATCGTCGTTGAAGAATAGCCTCAGGACGAATCCACCATCTTTAACCTTCAAAATCCAAGGAAAATGGCCTTTCGAAAAAAATTGCTCAAATAATTACGAAAATGCCATCCCAAAATATATTGGCCTAATTCGGTGCTTAATTGACTTAATCATCGGCGCAGAATAGGATCAATAGAATTTTTTATCGGTGGAGAATAGCCTGGATCCGAATCCGTAATCTGTAGCCTCCAAAATCGAAAGAAAATGGAATTTCGGGAAAAATCGCCCGAAATCTGTGATGGTAGTACCCCTTTGGAGTCTGCCAAAAATGGACCCGGAAGAAATCCGCCCAAATTGGCCCTGGATGGACTTAATCGTCGTTGAAGAATAGCCTCAGGCCGAATCCACCATCTTTATCCTTCAAAATCCAAGGAAAATGGCCTTACGAAAAAAATTGCTCAAATAATTACGAAAATGCCATCCCAAAATATATTGGCCCAATTCGCTCCTTAATTTACTTAATCATCGGTGCAGAATAGGATCAATAGACTTTATTATCGGTGGAGAATAGCCTCGAGCCGAATTCGTATTCTGTAACCTCCAAAATCGAAAGAAAATGGCATTTCGGAAAAATCGCCCGAAATTTGTGATGGTACCCCTTTGGAGTCTGCCAAAAATGGACCTGGAAGAAATCAGCCCTAATTGGCCATGGATGAACTTAATCGTCGTTGAAGAATAGCCTCAGGCCGAATCCACCATCTTTATCCTTCAAAATCGAAGGAAAATGGCCTTACGAAAAAAATTGCTCAAATAATTACGAAAATGCCATCCCAAAATATATTGGCCCAATTCGGTGCTTAATTGACTTAATCATTGGCGCAGAATAGGATCAATAGACTTTATTATCGGTAAAGAATAGCCGCGAGACGAATCCGTGATCTGTAGCCTCCAAAATCGAAAAAATGGCATTTCGGAAAAATCGCCCAAAATCTGTCCCTTTGGGGTCTGCCAAAAATGGACCAGGAAGAAATCCACCCAAATTGACCCTGGATGGACTTAATCGTCGTTGAAGAATAGCCTCAGGCCGAATCCACCATCTTTATCCTTCAAAATCCAAGGAAAATTGTCTTTCGAAAAAAATTGCACAATTAGTTACGAAAATGCCATCTCAAAATATATTGGACCAATTCGGTGCTTAATTGACATAATCATCGGCGCAGAATAGGATCAATAGACTTTATTATCGGTGGAGAATAGCCTCGAGCCAAATCCGTGATCTGTAGTCTCCAAAATCGAAAGAAAATGGCATTTCGGAAAAATCGCTCGAAATCTGTGATGGTAGCCCTTTGGAGTCTGCCAAAAATGGACCCGGAAGAAATCCGCTCAAATTGGCCCTGGATGGACTTAATCGTCGTTGAAGAATAGCCTCAGGCCGAATCCACCATCTTTATGCTTTAAAATCCAAAGAAAATGGCCTTTCGAAAAAATTGCTCAAATAATTACGAAAATGCCATCCCAAAATATATTGGCCCAATTCGGTGCTTAATTGACTTAATCTTCGGCGCATAATAGGATCAATAGACTTTATTATCGGTGGAGAATAGCCTCGAGCCGAATCCGTGATCTTTAGCCTCCAAAATCGAAAGAAAATGGCATTTCGGAAAAATCGCCCGTAATCTGTGATGGTTCCCTTTGGGGTCTGCCAAAAATGGACCCAGAAGAAATCCGCCCAAATTGGTCTTTGATGGACTAAATCTTCGTTGAAGAATAGCCTCAGGCCGAATCCACCATCTTTATCCTTCATAATCCAAAGAAAATGGCCTTTCGAAAAAAATTGCACAATTAGTTACGAAAATGCCATCTCAAAATATATTGGAACAATTCGGTTCTTAATTGACATAATCATCGGCGCAGAATAGGATCAATAGACTTTATTATCGGTGGAGAATAGCCTCGAGCCAAATCCGTGATCTGTAGCCTCCAAAATCGAAAGAAAATGGCATTTCGGAAAAATCGCTCGAAATCTGTGATGGTAGCCCTTTGGAGTCTGCCAAAAATGGACCTGGAAGAAATCCGCTCAAATTGGCCCTGGATGGACTTAATCGTCGTTGAAGAATAGCCTCAGGCCGAATCCACCATCTTTATCCTTCAAAATCCAAGGAAAATGGCCTTTCGAAAAAATTGCTCAAATAATTACGAAAATGCCATCTTAAAATATATTGGCCCAATTCGGTGCTTAATTGACTTAATCTTCGGCGCATAATAGGATCAATAGACTTTATTATCGGTAGAGAATAGCCTCGAGCCGAATCCGTGATCTTTAGCCTCCAAAATCGAAAGAAAATGGCATTTCAGAAAAATCGCCCGTAATCTGTGATGGTTTCCCTTTGGGGTCTGCCAAAAATGGACCCAGAAGAAATCCGCCCAAATTGGTCTTTGATGGACTTAATCGTCGTTGAAGAATAGCCTCAGGCCGAATCCACCATCTTTATCCTTCATAATCCAAAGAAAATGGCCTTTCGAAAAAAATTGCACAAATAATTACGAAAATACCATCCCAAAATATATTGGCCCAATTCGGTGCTTAATTGACTTAATCATCGGCGCAGAATATGATCAATAGACGTTTTTATCGGTGGAGAATAGCCTGGAGCCGAATCCGTGATCTGTAGCCTCCAAAATCGAAAGAAAATGGCATTTCGGAAAAATCGCCTGAAATCTGTGATGGTACCCCTTTGGAGTATGCCAAAAAAGGACCTAGAAGAAATCTGCCCAAATTGGCCCTGGATGGACTTAATCGTCATTGAAGAATAGCCTCAGGCCGAATCCACCATCTTTATCCTTCAAAATCTAAGGAAAATGGCTTTACGAAATAAATTGCTCAAATAATTACGAAAATGCCATCCCAAAATATATTGGCCTAATTCGGTGCTTAATTGACTTAATCATCGGCGCAGAATAGGATCAATAGACTTTATTATCGGTGGAGAATAGCCTCGAGCCAAATCCGTGATCTGTAGCCTCCAAAATCGAAAGAAAATGGCATTTCGGAAAAATCGCCCGAAATCTGTGATGGTACCCCTTTGTAGTCTGCCAAAAATGGCCTCGGCAGAAATCCGCTCAAATTGACCCTGGATGGACTTAATCATCGTTGAAGAATAGCCTCAGGCCGAATCCACCATTTTTATCCTTCTTCAAAATCCAAGGAAAATGGCCTTTCGGAAAAAAATGCTAAAATAATTACGAAAATGCCATCCCAAAATATATTGGCCCAATTCGGTGCTTAATTGACTTAATCATCGGCGCAGAATAGGATATATAGACTTTATTATCTATGGAGAATAGCCTCGAGCCGAATCCGTGATCTGAAGCCTCCAAAATCGAAACAAAATGGCATTTCGGAAAAATCGCCCGAAATCTGTGATGGTACCCCTTTGTAGTCTGCAAAAAATGACCCCGGAAGAAATCCGACCAAATTGACCCTGGATGGACTTAATCATCGTTGAAGAATAGCCTCAGGCCGAATCCACCATCTTTATCCTTCAAAATCCAAGGAAAATGGCCTTTCGAAAAAAAAAATGCTTAAATAACTACGAAAATGCCAACCCAAAATATATTGCCCCAATTCGGTGCTTAATTGACTTAATCATCGGCGCAGAATAGGATCAATAGACTTTATTATCGATGGAGAATAGCCTCGAGCCTAATCCGTGATCTGTAGCCTCCAAAATCGAGAGAAAATGGCATTTCGAAAAAATCGCCCGAAATCTGTGATGGTAGCGCTTAGTAGTCTGCCAAAAATGGACCAAGAAGAAATCCACCCAAAGTGGCCCTGGATGGACTTAATCGTCGTTGAAGAATAGCCTCAGGCCGAATCCACCATCTTTATCCTTCAAAATCCAAGAAAAATGGCCTTTCGGAAAAAAATGCTCAAATAATTACGAAAATGCCATCCCAAAATATATTGGTCCAATTCGGTGCTTAATTGACTTAACATCGGCGCAGAATAGGATATATAGACCAATGCAGTCAAAATCTAGATTTTAAGTAAAATCGAAAACTGCGGTAGAATCGAAATCGTAGATTAAAATCGTAAAATCGTAAGATTTTAAGGTTCATATTAAAATAAATACTTAAAACACTAGATAGTAATAAAAATGCATATCTTTAATAACAGTCAACTACATGAAGCATAATTACTTCCCAAGATAAGTTTGTTTGCTAAACAAACACAACTAATCCATATATTTTTCTTGTACATAATAGAAACACACAAATAAGAAACCTGAAACATTATAGATATCACTGTTAATTAATTGTTAAGAGTAGAAAATCACATAAGATCGTTAGGATCAACATTAACATCACTTACACATCATCGTCATCATCCTCAACCTCACCCTCACTCTCATCGTTTTTATTTGTTTAAGGACTAATATCATTACTCTTATGATCACTTGAAGTACTTTCACCATTAACCATATTTCCTTGATTACCATCATCTGGAAAAGATAACTCATTGATTGATGCATTCCCTTCTTAATTGATAAAAGGTCGGGTTAGTGGTGCTGAAGGATTGGGAGATGAACAAAAGCTTGCATTTTAATGGAGATTTGGATTATTGTGAGGGTGGTGGGAGCAAACTACAAGCTAATTGGGAGGATGGAAGATATCGTTGATGGAAGGAGTTGGGCGCCGACGTGCGAAAGAGGAAGATACGAGGAAGAGAATGACAATAGATTGAGGGTTAACTATCAGGTTGGGGTTGTGTTGTTCATTATGTTGGATTGAGGAAAGTAAATTTGACTCGGTTCATGGGCATAACCCAACTTGACCAGCCTAATTTTGATCCAATTGATATGAACCTTGAAATCGTACAAAATCGTAGATTTTATGGATTTTAGAGTTTTAAATCGGGATTTTATGGGATTTTAAGGTTCAAAGATTTTACAGTAAAATCAGGATCGGAACCCATAGGTAAGATCGTAAAATCGTAAGATTTTAAGATTAAAATCGGGATTTGGACTACATTGATATAGACTTTATTATCGATGGAGAATAGCCTCGAGCAGAATCCGTGATCTGTAGCTTCCAAAATCGAGAGAAAATGGCATTTCGAAAAAATCGCCCGAAATCTGTGATGGTAGCCCTTTGGAGTCTGCCAAAAATGGACCAAGAAGAAATCCACCCAAATTGGCCCTGGATGGACTTAATCGTCGTTGAAGAATAGCCTCAGGCCGAATCCACCATCTTTATCCTTCAAAATCCAAGGAAAATGGCCTTTCAGAAAAAAATGCTCAAATAATTATGAAAATGCCATCCCAAAATAAATTGGTCCAATTCGGTGCTTAAATGACTTAATATCGGCGCAGAATAGGATATATAGACTTTATTATCGATGGAGAATAGCCTCGAGCCGAATCCGTGATCTGTAGCCTCCAAAATCGAAAGGAAATGGAATTTCGGAAAAATCGCCCGAAATCTGTGATGGTACCCCTTTGTAGTCTGCCAAAAATGGCCCCGGAAGAAATCCGACCAAATTGACCCTAGATGGACTTAATCATCGTCGAAGAATAGCCTCAGGCCGAATCCACCATCTTTATCCTTCAAAATCCAAGGAAAATGGCCTTTCGAAAAAAAAATGCTTAAATAATTATGAAAATGCCAACCCAAAATATATTGCCCCAATTCGGTGCTTAATTGACTTAATCATCGGCGCAGAATAGGATCAATAAACTTTATTATCGATGGAGAATAGCCTCGAGCCAAATCCGTGATCTGTAGCCTCCAAAATCGAAAGAAAATGGCATTTCGAAAAAATCGCCCGAAATATGTGATGGTAGCCCTTTGGAGTGTGCCAAAAATGGACCTAGAAGAAATCCACCCAAATTGGCCCTTGATGGACTTAATCGTCGTTGAAGAATAGCCTCAGGCCGAATCCACCATCTTTATCCTTCAAAATCCAAGGAAAATGGCCTTTCGAAAAAAAAAGCTCAAATAATTACGAAAATGCCATCCCAAAATATATTGGTCCAATTCGGTGCTTAATTGACTTAACATCGGCGTAGAATAGGATATATAGACTTTATTATCGATGGAGAATAGCCTCGAGCCGAATCCGTGATCTGTAGCCTCCAAAAGCGAAAGAAAATGGAATTTCGGAAAAATTGCCCGAAATCTGTGATGGTACCT